TACTTTTAACTTTCACATGAAAGACTTACTAATTAATGCTAGAATTTAAAGATCCTAACCTAAGAATTCATAACCCTTTCAAGAAAAAAAATTTTTTTATTCCGAGACAAAACTTATATAAAATTTTATAAGTGAAGTTTGTGAAGATTTTTATCAGAAATGGGTAAATAAAATTTTAATAAAAAATCCAAACCAATAGATGAATAGAATTCAATGTGAAAATCAATAATATGTAAAAAAGTTATTAAAAATATTATTTATAATTTAAATTTGATCGATATCTATTCAACGGTAAAAATTTTATTAATATTTTTACTAAAAATATCTATTTAATAAATATATCAAAATTTATTAAATTTTTTTCAAATTTTACTCAGTTAATTTATGTGATGATCTTTTAATTTATCAATTTTAATTTTTTATTTTAGTTTTTATTTACTTATTTCTAATATAAAACTTCATGAACTTCACCTTTACAATTTCATGTAAGTCTTTTCCTTCCTTCCATTACTTTTTAATTTTAACATATTATACATTAACCAATGGACATATCAAAAAAAATTTTACATGATACTAGTCTTTAGAATTACTCCTGGATATATTATATACTAAATAAAACATAAAAACAATTAGACGTAACAACAAAATATCTCAATTTCAGCTAAGACAAAGCACCAGTATATATATTAGATCATTGGTCAATCCAGCTGGAAGTTTTGGAAAACTGCACATTGGATTCTCCTTCAAATTGCCAGTCATGTAACAAATTTTCGTTAGCTGGCGTTAGATTGAAAAACAGTGCTTAAAACCAGTGGCTTATAGTGTATGTAAAAATAAATAAAATATATAGGGAAGTTAATATACCTGAAAAAATAAACATTATATGTCGATAAACCAAGATCACACAGAGGCAATGATATCATTTAGAATCTTTAATGATAGGATTTTGAAATAATTATGGAGATGAAAAAAATAAACAAAATAATAGAATAAAAAATAAATTAAAGGGTCGAACTTATATTGCAAGTATTGAAAATTAAACTCCAATCTTATACGAACTCATCTTTAAAAAAAATGGATAAACCATTTAATTTAAATTTCTGGGTTCGTTGAACATATAAATTGATTCAATGGAGTAGTCATTATCGTGACTCTGAAATGGAGTTCCTTCATGGGCAGAACCATGTGAGCTTGCATGTGTTCATGTTTCCGTCCTCTTGCAGGCTGACCAGTTTCTAACAGACCTCAGAGCCAGAGGTCGTCCTCAGTCCTCTCTCCATAAAATCATGGTCTTAAGTCTTAATTACCCTTTATCTTACATTTTCCTTCTTCATTTTCAATTTAATTTTCCCACCAAATATTTATGATATAGCGCACCTTCTTTTGATTTCAAAGATTAAATAAATCATTTATCTTAATTAAAATTTATTGCAAAATTGAGTTATTATCATTTGATTATGTATAAAGTTTATACATTGACGATGTATCAAATATAAACTCAATTAATTATATGAATTGAACAAAAAACAAAGTAAGGGAGGTCAAGCTCCGAAACTGAGCTTTGTTGTGATCGAAAGAAACAAGGGGTTCGTGAGCCCATAATTCTAAACATTGAAGGGACCATGGCTATAGAATATGGGATGTTGGCTATTCTCATAACAACCCATTTTGGCCGGTTTGTCCCCTTCCATGGAGGACTCCATTGACTCCATTTTATTTGATAGAAGCAACTAAAGTCTCTGTCTCCTTGTTTGGACTTCGGAGCTTATCTTTGTTTCTTTTTCTTTGGTAGAATATGTAAATATATACATGACTTATCATTATTACAGGCTGGATCTTTGTCTTCCCACATTCATGTGAACGTTAAATCTCGAATATTTCTTGCCATTCTGGCTCTAATTATGTATGATCATCCAAAATAAGTTTGATTTTAATAAGCTCAAATAATTGGAATCAACAACTAGATTAAATTCTACAACTAGGCACTGGTATTTTAATCGTAGTATAATAAGCCAACAACAGCATAATCTGTTAATAGAATATTTGAATCTTAAGTCATGTTTGATACATAAAATGATGGATAGAATATGATGATAATTATCTTATATTATATTTGGTTTGTATTTAAAGAAAATGATACGATTGTAATGAAGATGATTATTTTTAATCAATGAAATTGAATTTACATATCATATTATATCCTTAAAAATTATATTAATAATTTAAATTATACAAACTTGAAAATGGATAATTTTGACTAATAAATAAATTATCATATTCTAATTCTTACATACATCAAACGAAAGTTAATATAATATTATTTAATCTAATGTTAATTATAATATTATCTTATTCTATTATATCATAATCTTATACATAAAACAATTAGTGTTCATAATCATAATAGTATGACATTATTTAATCCACTATAAACGGATTTTGAGCAAGTCATGATCAGAGCAATTGTTCATAACCATAAACTCTAGCATGTGGGGGCCCAAAATTTGCTCTAAAAGCCCAATGATGAATACCTCGAATTGGATTTGGGATTAGAATAGCAGTGGATTTAAGGCCCATAGTTTTTTCCTTTCAATTCTTTCGGGCCTCTGAATTTTCAGCTTGCTCAGCGTTAATTTTTGGGCTTAGAACAGTGATGAAGTTGGCTTATACATAGATTTGATAATTTATGTATTTATGTTACGTCTGTTTCATGTTAAATATATATAAAATATGAAAATTATCTTATCATAATTTATGTCGACATTTAAACATAAAATATTTTTTTCTTTCACCACTTTTATATACAATTTTTGTTGAAATTTTAAATTATATCACTTTTATTTTCTATTATTTTTATATCTTATTATCGTATTATATCTAAAATTATCACATATACTTATAAATAAAGTAAAATTTACTAGATAAGAAGAGTAACCTTTTATTGTCTAACCATATCACATGTACCCAAAAAAAACATTAAACATAAATTCTTAGGTACAAGAACAAGAACATAAGATAGATTAGAGAGGTTCAAAATTCAATTTTAATTGAATTAATCTATCGAATTAATTTAATTTAGTTAATCAATCAGTTATTAAATTAATTTTGATTGAATTATCAAAAATTATTTTTAAAAAATTTTAATTTTCAATTAATTTGATTTGAAAATTGAATTAATTAAATTAATTGAAATTTTAATTGAAATATAACAAATATATATAACTAAAAAATATGAAATTAGCCATTTTATTTCAAGTTATTAAAGTTTTTAAGTTAATACTTTAATATTTAAATAAAATTTTGGATGATTTTATTTTTTTAAATATAAGAAATTATGAATTTAAAATATAATTTAACTTAATATATTTTATTATTTGGTTAACAAAAAAATTTTGTCGAACTGACTAAATTAATTTCAAGAGATTAATTTTTTAAATTAAAAAATACAATTATAATAACGAAAATAAAATAATTTAATTTAATTAATTCAATTTTTTATAATTTAATTTGAAATTAATTGAACCGACAAAATGAATATCTTCTAAATAGATACCTTTAAGCTTTCTCAAATAGTACTGACCATTAGTGGGGTGTCCATGTACACCCTTAAATTAAGATAAAAAAATAAATTTTAATAGAAAATTTTTTAAAAGACACCGTAAAATTTTTCTATGGATATCTTAAAAATGAAAAAAAAAAAAATGAAAGAAAATTTTGTTGGGAATAATGATTAAAATTTCTTAAGAGATTTGTTTGAGATTGATTAATATTATCTGATTAACAAAAAAATTTGTAAACGAATAATTCTAAAAAACATAAATTCTTAATAAGCAAATTTAATTTTCATAAGAAGATTTTTTAAAATAAAGAGATTTTTTATAGATCAATTTGTATACTTATAAATAAATAAAATATTTATTAAATTAAATATGAAAAAAAATATAAGAGAGTTATAGGGTTTTATGGGATAAACATCCCATAAAATTACATGAGATTAACATTCTTATGGTGTGTATGTTTGAGTGAACTAGAGAAAACTAAGATAGTCCGTATAAATATAGTGTTATGAGTAAATTAGAAGAGATTAAGAAAATTCACATAGGTATAATGTATTTATGCACATTTGACTTGAAATACTCTATAAGATTATAAGAGATTAAGAGTATCTGTAAGTATTAATTGTGAGTATTTGTTTTGATATTTATTTGTAATTCTCTATAATTAATAAATTTTATTTTTTATTCGTAAATATAAATTGATTGAATCAAATCACGTTAAATTATAATATTTTATATAATTAATTCATTATTTGATTTTACTTTTACTTACGTAATTGAATTTAAACTTTTTTACTTTAACAAAATTTTCCTAAATTTCATAAAATTGATACACCACGAATTTCATCCCCAACTTCAACCTTCACTTTTTTATTTTCCACTTATTGACTTTTTTCCCTTTTGTGGCTTAATAATACAATGTTCCTCAAGTCAATGCCAAAAATTGGTGGCAATATTAAAAAATATTGTTTCTATTTAATTGTGAGTTACCTATTTATCAAGTGACGGAATGAAAAAAACTGTTCAAAAAATTTAATTAAAACTATTATCTTATTATCAATGGAGTTTTTAAAAGTATAAAATGAAATATTTTTAAAAATATATTTAATAAAAATTAAAAATAATTAAAAATAAAATATATGTGAAATTTTAAAAAATTAAGTATATCAAACAGTAACTTTATCATAATTTTCTACTCAAAAAATAATATAATATAAGATATTGACAGCCACTGAACAGTATGTTCTAGGCTCCCTAGAAAAATGCGATTCCATTATCCGACAACGACCTCCGTGGGAAGCCCCACGTTTTTCCGACGCCTGGAATAACGGCCCTGATGTGGATGATCAGACGTCGCTTCCCATTGGCGTTCATTGAGTCGACAGCGTTCAATCAACGCAGCGTGATGTAAACCATGTACTGATATTAATTATCACGAAACTTAATTATGGGACGGCTCTAAACTGGACACGTCACGAACTCTCCACTCAAGACCCGCCATTTTCTGGTTTCCCGCTTTACTTTTTCCCTTTAAAATCTCACTTTTCACCGAATAAACTTAATTTACACCATTTCTGTCTCCCACTAATCTACTCCTCAGCTTCGATCAACTTTCTTTATCTGTTCTATCACTGTGTACACTCATGGGTAATTATATCATTTTATTGCCATTATTTTTAGAATTTAATCTATTTTTCTTCGTCTAATCTATTTTTTTTCTTTGATTTTACAGTCAAGGTGAAGATCGGAATCAACGGTACGAGATTATGATTTTGTATATATTTTTTCGATTTTGATCTTTTAAATTATGACCATCTAAGTCTTTTTTTGTTTATTACAAATGAAAAAAATTAGGGTTCGGTAGGATCGGTAGATTGGTGGCTAGAGTTGCTTTGCAGAGGGACGATGTTGAACTCGTCGCTGTTAACGATCCTTTTATCACTACTGATTACATGGTATTTCTTTTTTTTCTTTCTTTTTCCAATAAGCTTTGGTTATAGCGGATCGATATTTATTTGCCCTTTTTTTTTTTTTGGTTATCTGTTTTTAGACGTATATGTCTAAGTACGACAGTGTTCATGGGGCATGGAAGCAGCACGACCTCAAAGTCAAGGATTCAAACACCCTTCTCTTTGGCGAGAAGCCAGTTACTGTTTTTGGTATTAAGTATGTAAATTTGCTCTTTAATTTTTTTGGAATGCTTAATTTTAACTTTTGTTTGATTATTATATGAGTAAATTGTGTTTTGTCTAACTTTAGGAACCCAGAGGAGATTCCATGGGGTGAGGCTGGAGCTGAATACATTGTTGAATCAACTGGAGTGTTCACTGAAAAAGATAAGGCTGCTGCCCACTTGAAGGTATTTTATTATTTGTTAATTTGTCGTTGTATTTTTTTATTTGTTTTATGTTATTTTCATATATGATTTTGTTTGAATTATGATTTATTAATGCCATGCAGACGTGCTACTTTCGATCAAACCCTTTCTTTCGTTTACTTATCTTAAGATATATATGTTATTCACTTAATGTCTATTTGAATGAACTGAAATTAATTTCAACGAGATTGAAAATAATAATAGTGCTAAAATTGATTATTGTAGTGATGAAATTAGTTAATATAGCAGTAAGTTTAAAATCAATGATGAGATATGTATTTGGATGTAAATGCATTGTTGGTAGTTAGATGAGAATAAAAATAACAATTAAGGACTTTATTTTAATGGTGCATTTGTAAATTAATTATATATTTTTATATTATATATGATATTTATAATTTTATTTTTATTATCAAAATATTAATATATACTATTTATTTATTATATAAAAAAACTTAAAAAATAAATAATACTCTTAAGATTTTTAAAAATTTAATAAGTTAGAAATTTACAAATAAAAATTAAAATAATTATATTATCTAGAGGGGACCATTCATTTATTTTGAAAAGTATATTTAAAAAATTAATTGATAACATTATATAAACTCAAATAATTTTTAAAATTCTTGGGCGCCATGGCCCCTCATTCCCCTATGTGGCATTGCCACTGATTTTTGGTCTGTTCCTTTGGAATAAAGTTTCTGTGTAATGCAAATGGATGATTTGATTTATGAACTCTTCAGCTTGAATGGTTAAGGTTATTTGCTTTGAATTGTATTAAAGTTACCTATGGCTTATCTTACATGGATTGACTACCAGGGTGGTGCTAAGAAAGTAATCATCTCAGCCCCTAGCAAGGATGCTCCCATGTTTGTTGTGGGTGTCAATGAGAAGGAATACAAGCCAAAATATGACATCATTTCCAACGCTAGCTGCACTACTAACTGCCTTGCACCCCTCGCTAAGGTTTATCTTTGATTGTTATTTTTGAGTGATTTAATCTTTATTTTTGAAATTATCTTAATTAATCTTGTCTTGAGTTACAGGTCATTCATGACAAATTCGGCATTGTTGAGGGTCTTATGACAACTGTTCATTCAATTACTGGTAAGCTTTACAACTGAATTCTCACACAGTTAATTAACTTGGTCTGTTCTGTGTACTAATTGTGTTATTTTTCTCTTAATCAGCTACACAAAAAACTGTGGATGGTCCATCAATGAAGGACTGGAGAGGAGGAAGAGCTGCTTCATTTAACATCATTCCTAGCAGCACTGGAGCTGCTAAGGTAAGAACCGTGTATGGATTGTAGCTTTAGGGAGTTCATAAGAACTCTTACTTTTATTTCATAATTACCATTCTCATATTTTCTAGAGATTGATTTCTTCAAGAATACTGTTCATTGTAAAGCAGAAAGAAAATTAGTTCAATGAATTCCCTTTTCCCCAGTTATGCATATAGGCCCCTAGTTCTCGGTAGGTTAGGTTGATTTACCTTGGTATCCTTCACAACTTATCAACATCCAATGGTAATATTTTTTGGGATGAATTCTGTTTTTTCACTAGGCTGTTGGAAAGGTGCTGCCTGCCTTGAACGGAAAATTAACTGGGATGGCTTTCCGTGTTCCCACTGTTGATGTTTCAGTGGTTGACCTCACAGTAAGACTGGAGAAGCCAGCCTCTTATGATGAAATCAAAGCTGCTATCAAGTAAGAATTTGTTTTGATTGTGCTTTAAAGTGTGCCCCTATTGAAGTTATTTCTATTATATAAGTGTTAGTATTCCCGTATGTTGCTGGCAGATGCAATACTTCTAGTTTGAAATGGTGGCACTAATTAAAAATAACTTGTTGACTAAACAGTTATGAAGTTCTTTTTGTAAGTCCTTTTCTACCCTTCTTCGACTTCAATACCATTTTCTTTTTGAATTGTTATAGGGAAGCATCTGAAGGAGAACTGAAAGGAATCCTGGGTTACACTGAAGAAGATTTGGTTTCCACCGACTTCGTTGGTGACAGCAGGTAAAGACAGATTTACATCTATGATAACATTAGCGGTGAATCATGTGCAGTGTGCTGCGTTCGTTTAGCCATGGGTCTGTTAGTGTTAGAAGCAGTGATGATATATGGCTCCAATTAAATAAATAGCCAAGGGTGTGAGTCTGGGACGCATGTATACAGGATTGATTGATTCCTTCATTCTGCATGTTTGTCATTGGTTGAAAGGCTCGCATATGTTGCAGTAGTTTGAAACTTCTGTGTTCATGTTAGTCTAATGGTGTAAGTTGTCTGATAAACACAATGAACTGCAGTAAAGTGATAATATGTGCTCAATTATCCAGGTCTAGCATCTTTGATGCAAAAGCTGGAATTGCTCTGAATGAAAAGTTTGCCAAGCTTATCTCGTGGTATGACAATGAGTGGGGCTACAGGTAATTAATTTATGCTGCAGTTTTACTAGATTGCTAATTTCTGACAACCAACATTTATACCCCATTTGAACCAACTGAAAATTTATCTCACTTTTCTTTGCTTTGTCAATAAGCCATGTGACAGTTCTCATTTTTTTTCTTCTATTTTCCATTCATGTTTTACTTTGGTTTTGCAGTTGCCGTGTTGTTGACCTGATTATCCACATGGACCGCGTCTCAAAAGCTTAGAGAGTTGCTTGGGTATTGTCTCGGCTACTATATTCTTCCCATGTTCCGTATCTATAGTGGAGGCAATGAGTTGAAAATAAACCTTGTTTTCAGACAATGTCAATAGCTTTTACCGCTATCTAGTTTGAGTGAAGCTATATCCTGGTTTCACGTTTGTTCTTCGAAATTGCCTTATACTTGCTGCTAGTATATTTTGCTAAGCTAGTTTGAATACGATCTCTCTGTCTCCTGCATACACGCACATAACTTAAAGAACTCTTGTAAGTAGTGAATTTTCAGAGTTAAGTTTGATTTTATTGTAATTTAATGGCTCGAAGCCCGAAGGATCTCCCCAAAAAAGTTGCATTTGTCATGAGTCTTGTGGCTTTGGTTCATATTTCAAAACACTTCTACTTGTCTCTAACTTTCTACAGAACTGTCCTTCTTCATACACGAAAAAGGTAATCACGGGGGGCGATCAATGTGTGTCATGTGAAATTGGGGACGGTGTACCATATTTGAAAGCCATTGATAAAATGGATTCCAACTACTTCACGAATAGGAGTGGTGATAAGAATGAGAGGTGAAGCTAAATGCGTGACAGAATATAGCAGGAAGGATTGACAGCCCTTTGGTCCCAAAAAACTATAAAGCCTTACTCCTCTTATTCACCCATTGCCACTTCAATTTTGTTTGGTCACAATTATTGAATTCGAAAGCCAAAAAAAAATAACTAAATAAATAAAAGTTAAAATTATGCCATTAAGGATTGGCGTTAAGTAGTTAAAGTTTAGAATTTTGATGATTTGCATTTAAGTTTAAAATTTTACGATTTTTTTCTTGATAAGTAATTTGAAAATTTGAAAAATTTTAAAAAAATCCATAAATCTTTTTATTAGTTGATAGCTTATTTTGATTTTGCCTTGACTTTTAAGATGAAGTAATTTTTCCTATTTTAAACTTTTAATTCACCAAAAAAAAAGTTTAAAATGAAACATAAAAAATCAACATATATTAAATATTGATGAATAAGATTGATTTTACAGACAACATTTCCATATCTGTTAAAACAGAAAAATTTTACAACTCACCTGCCCAGATACTGTTGAAATGTTAAAGCGAAAAAAAAATTCCCATATTTCAAATTTCCCCCAACCTTCGATCTGTCCGCCAATTTCCCCATTTTTTCAAACAAAAAACCTTCATTCTTTCTTTTCACTCTGTTTGCTGCCTCTTCCTTGTTTGCTAGGTTTTTTTTTTTTTTTTTGTACGTTTCGATTTCCTGATTAAAACTAAGTGGCCCAAATGAAACCCTCTCTGAATCCCTAATAAATTCCACATTCAAACACTCTTCCTGTAATAATTTCCTCCAACCTCGTTGCCTCCGCTCTCCCTCTGTGTTTCTTTCAATGGCAACTTCAGCTTTCAAGTCAACGACCAGGAGAACTTCCGTCGCCAACTCACCCCAGGACTCTTCTTCCTCTAACCACACCTCCGTCCACCGCCGCGCCAGGAGTCTGAGCAGATTCTCCCGCCGCCTTCCCGGAGCTGCCGACGACGATGATGAGACTACTCCCGCTCCGAGGAGCAGAGGGAGGTTCGTCAATACCGTCAGGGGATCGGGTTTCCCGGAGATTAGTCTCGACGATCTCGCCATCGAGCTCTTTGACTCCTCCCTCAGAGGACGCTCGGCTACCCGTAATGGTGAAGGAGGAAAAGGAGGAGGAGGAGAGAGTGTGACTCAGAGAAGAGGACGGTCGGTGTCCAGGCAAGGATCCAGGGGTAGTTTTGTACATAGTGGTGGTGGTGGTGGTGGTGGTGGAAGAAGGCTCTCCTCGGACACCGCCAACTCCAGGAGGAGAAGATCGGTCTCGGTTGTTCGGTATCAAATTAGTGATTCTGAGGTACCGTTGTTATTATCATTATCATCGTCATCCTCATTAAGATTGTTTTTGTTCCTAAGACGCGTGCTCATTATTTAGAAGAATTCATTAGGCATATTAGAATGTTTAGGCTTTAGCTGCTTTAAGGTTTATTGGTCTAATCTAGCTGTACAAATTTGGATGTTGTAACTACAAATTATCTGGAGACCGGACTTCGCTATCTGATTGCTTGTTTTGCGGTTGATTTTTGCTTAACTTGGGCTCAAAGATCAATTTATGTAGACAAGCCAACTAAAAACTTTTATCATATTGGGCATGCACTTGTAACATCTCCTTAATGAAAAAAATGTGAGATTATTTGGTAAGGACTTTTGGATTCGCTTTCAAGTATTCAATAACTATCAAACTCTTTATGGTATTGCAAGTGTCATTGCTAAGTTTATGTTCTGAATCTAGAAGCTTAAGTTCATTCATTGGCATTTGTTTTGTGGATTTTCATGATTTAGATGACAATTCATTTTCCTTTAATTGAACAGTAGATCATCTTTTATCAGCTTAGGTAGTTTGGCGTTGCAATTGGAGAAAGTAAATGAGGAATTTTGGAAATTTTGCACAATTAGTCAAATGCGTTTATTTTCTTATACCTATATTAGAGATGAAGTATCATTGATGATAGACAGTAATGTACTACTACACTTGGTCAACTTGAATGTTGTGGTTGGCTTTAATTAAACCCATTGGTTTTTCTATAATACTAGGAATAATAATAAAAATACTAACTTGTTAATGTGTATGCATTTCTTGTTCCTAAAAATGGCAGAGTGATCTAGATCCATCACAGAACTCAAGCGACCGAGCTAGTATGAGGAGTTCCATTGGTGGAAACAATCAGATGTCCTCAACTCATAAGCCAACAGCTTCAAATAATAGACAAGGACTGAGAAGGTCTCTCAGCCAAAAGGACTTAAAGTACCATGATGGTTACTCTGTAAGCATTATCTATCTCTTGGAAAAATATTATTCCTACTTGTATTTATCACCATTTAGTTGAGCAGGATTTTTATCTAAGGATGCTATTTAGTGTTTGGGTTAATCCTCAATGTACCTGGATCATTTAGCATCTTTCAAACTCATTTTTGTCAAATGCATTTTATAATATATGGAATCAGAGCCACTCTTCTGCTTTAACCGATGATGAAGGTAGGGATGCTTTTTTCAATAAAAATGGGATGGAAAGGACAATACAGGCGGTTTATGCACAGAAAAAGGTTGGTTTTCTCTTTTAGAAAATCACAATTATATAATAACCACTAGGAAGATAAGATGTTTTTTGCTAAATCTGTCACTCTTGTGTTTCCTACCCATTAGGGAGAGCATCCCATTGGGGATGATGTGAATGGTGGGTTGTATGCCACAATGCGAAAAGAGCTTAGACATGCTGTGGAAGAGATCAAGACACAACTTGAACAAGTTTGCAATTCTATGTCCTATCAGCATGCTTAATGCTTTAATTTGCTGCATAGATTTTGTCTGCTAAACTTGTTGGATGGCCTCATGGTTTATGCAGGCAATGGTGAAAACAAAGAAGTCTGGCACAGCAAGCGATGATAGTTTGCAACCTGACAATTCTGATGTTCTTCAGGCTGTCTCTACAATTAGAAGGAAGTGCACAGCAAAATTGGAAAAGGTGCCAAGTCCTATCATGAGCATTCTATGGTGCAATACTTACTATTTATGTAATGGTTATGGTTTCTATGATGGCACACAAAAGAATTAACTAATAAATGCTTTAAATCCTTTCTTTCTGTTTTTTCCCTGTACAGCTGGGTTTCTAGTTCCATGTGCATGTGCCTCTTTATTCTTAACCATGTAGAATGCTTTTTTCATTGTTGAAGATGTATTAATTCTAGTCAGAGACTTCATACTATAGGTTCATCATAATCCTGAACTGATGTTTCTTCCAGAGTTTTTCTTTATGTTGGAAACCAAAAGTAAGGTTGCATTTAAGTTTCTTTTGATGAAAAAATTAACTTTCTGTTGTACTTTTCATCAATATTAACATGGTTTTTGGTTTATGCTTAATAAGCAGGCAGTTGTCGATCTATATTAATTATTTACATTAAATCTTTGATGCTGTTTATTTCCTTAACTGAAGCTCTGCACCTCGACTGGAAATCATTAGTGATTGGTTTTATTTTTCTATTTGGCAGTCAGAGATGCGTAGACAAGATTTATTAGCTGAGATTCTGTTGGAGGAGCAGCATGGGAGAGAGCTCTCTAAAATTGTCAAAGAATTGCTTCCTGAACCACAGAACTCTATTGTTGAGAAACCATTGCAAGCCAGAAAGGTACAACTTCCTCTTACACTCCCTGCAATAATGCAGGACTTGTATTGTATACGGTATTTTCAAGTCCTCGCCATTTTCTGTTAAAATTCATTATATTATGATGTTTTTGATGTAAAAAAAGGTGATTGATATTTCTTTTGATTGTTTAATCAATATACAAATTGTTTCCCAGAGGAGCAATGACAGAAATAGGATGTCCAGGCAATTGACTGAGGAGGCCGAAAAATATATTGAAGATTTCATTTCAAATGTTGAAGATACCGATATTTCATCATTTGATGGAGATAGGAGTGATACTAGTTCAAGTATAGGGGGAATAACAAAGACACCAACTTTCCAGAGTCCAGCAGTGTTTAAATCTGTCCCTGTCGAAATGGATGGTGTAATGCTACCCTGGTTACAGTGGGAGACTTCAAATAATTCTTCTCCATTACCATGCAAGAACAAACACAATCTTTCTCAGGTAATTTGTGACATATGCTTGCTTCATATTACTCAGTGACTTACATCACAACATTTGTTGAATAGGAAGCACCCTCTGCGCTAGATTTAAGCCATCAATTTACCAGCAGCCGCGGGAGTTGGAGTCCAGCATTTACCGACTGCCCTTCAGTAAGTATTGGAGAAGATATAGGAACAAAGTTTGGCGAACCTGGAACTTACCAAAGGCGATCCTCTTCACATGGAACCAATTCAATGCAGTTCGATGTGGATGATTATCTCAACTGCAAAAGCAACGAAGCTTTTCTATATGAAATCTGGAGCCAACGACATAGAATTAGTTCAGGTGGTCTTCTGCTTTGTAATCAGATGTTCTTTTAGGTACAATCCTTTCTACCTGTTTTCGCCAATTCAAACTACAGTAATTACCCTGTATAGTTATTCAATAATTTTTAATAATCATCTAACAAACTTGAAGATATTATTCTTGTCTACCATGGTCTAGATTGGAAACACGGCAGTTTAAATCCTGATAATGCAGTTTAATTTTCTTTCAATCTTAAAGCTGAACACTTATATTATCCTTTTATATTCAGATTTTTTTTTTCTGAAGTACTCATGATAAAATCAAAACCCAAAAAAAAGAAAAAAAACTCTATTTATGAATTGGACTAACCTCACAATCTTTGAATTTTTAAACATTGGCAATATTTTTTGCCATATATATATATATTTGGGTGTAACATAGCAATTTAGATATAATTTAATTTAATCAATTATATCATTATTTGGTGAAAATAGATTCTCTTTTTAAATTATTATTTAAAATAAAATAAAAACCATAAAACTTTATCCATTATTGGTTGCATTTGATAGAAATATCCATGCTTTGATTTATTAACCTAAATTTCATATTTTTCAAAATTTCAACTTCAAATTTATGTAATTGCTAAACCAAAGGTGTCAGTGTTACTAATTTTGGCCAATCCATAACTGTTTAAAAATTCAATATTTTTTATTTATTCATCAAACTGTTTTAGAATTCCCATAATTTTTTTCCATTTTTTTCCTCAACGTGAACAGTGACTTAAGTCAAAGCTTACTATTATTATGACCAGCATAAATCCATCTCCCGTAGCGATCTCTAATCATGCAGTAAAAATATTTATAATTAAAATATAAATATTTTATCTTTGACCATCCATATTTGGTCACGCCGAAATTGCAAAATTTAATTACAATTAAAAAAAATAGTAATTTTGCAGCAAGTTTAGTTGCAAAGGGAAACAAACTCTGTAGTTTTTCGGATACTATGATACATGTGCTTTGTACTTATAGATTACAATCCCGCGATAAAAGTTCAGGTTCAGCTTAGCTTGAGAGTTTATTTATAATTTGCTATATCTGACTGTTACTCAAAGTAGTCAAGTTGGTGAACGAAAAAAGATGGGGACTCGAGCAGAGAAGCAAGAATCATCGAGGGTGGAAACTCTTAACGATTGGCTTCCCATTACAAAGTCCAGGAATGCTAAGTGGTGGTACTCTGCCTTCCACAATGTCACTGCCATGGTTGGTGCTGGTGTTTTGGGTCTCCCTTATGCCATGTCTCATCTTGGATGGTATGTTCTAATTTTCTCTGTATGTAAATGATTAAACCTTGGTTGGTTTCCAAGAAAATCCTAGAAAAATTATTCAAAAGAGAAAATAGAAAAAAAAAATTATAGGCTTCAGCCGCATGTGGGATTAAAGCAATTTATACGTACCACAAGGGTTTAATCCAGTTGATAAAGAGAGAAACTATCTTTTCTTGTCGATGTAACTTGATTCTAAACAAAACCTAAGAATGTCTCTGGCAGTACTAAACAAAAGAAGTCATATGTTTTTGTTTAGATTTTTGCTTTGTAGAGTTTTCATGATACTTGATTTTTCTAAAAGAATTATATTTGAATCATTAAGCTAAGAGTTTACAGGATCACGAAATAATTAGACATTAATAATAGTTTTTACTTGAATATTTCATCCAGGGGTCCTGGTGTTGCTGTCATGGTACTGTCATGGGTGATCACTTTATACACATTATGGCAAATGGTGGAGATGCATGAGATGGTTCCTGGAAAGAGATTCGACAGGTATCATGAGTTGGGGCAGCATGCTTTTGGTGAAAAGCTCGGACTGTGGATAGTGGTGCCTCAGCAATTGATGGTGGAAGTTGGTGTCAACATTGTGTATATGGTTACAGGTGGAAAATCCTTGAAGAAGATCTATGACACCGCAAATCCAAATGGCAAAGACATTAGAACAACTTACTTCATCATTATGTTTGGAGCAATTCACTTTGTTCTCTCTCATCTCCCCAGTTTCAATTCCATTACTTTTATCTCATTTGCTGCTGCTGTGATGTCTGTTGGGTACCATTGTCTTTCTTTTTTTTTGGTACATTAATTTCCATGGATCATGGTAGCCTGTGCTGTTCATATTAATCAGCTAATTTTTCTTGTTCGATTTCAATTGCTCTACCAGCTATTCTACAATTGCTTGGGCAGCCTCTCTTCACAAAGGGGTTCAGCCAACTGTGAATTACAATCCCAGGTCCTCAACCAGTTCAGGGCAAGTGTTCGACTTCTTCACTGGTTTGGGTGATGTAGCCTTTGCCTTTGCCGGGCACAATGTGGTATTGGAGATTCAGGCAACAATCCCATCCTCCCCGGAGAAACCATCCAAAAAACCAATGTGGCTAGGGGTGATTGTGGCCTATCTTGTGGTTGCCTTTTGTTATTTTCCAGTTGCCTTTGTTGGTTACAGTGTGTTTGGAAACAGCGTACAAGACAACGTTCTCATTTCATTAGAGAAACCCGCTTGGCTTATTATAGCTGCTAACGCGTTTGTTGTTATTCATGTCATTGGAAGTTACCAAGTAAAGCTTCACCCTGTCTTTCCCATTGTGAATGAATTGCATCAGCAAGATGTTATCTGGTCTGTTCATAACTTTCCCCTTTTTTTTCTCTTTGTTCATCCATTGCAGGTCTTTGCAATGCCAGTTTTTGACATGATTGAAGCATATCTAGTAAAAAATATGCATTTCAAGCCAAATCTAATGCTTCGAATCATTACAAGAACCTCATACGTCGGTAAGCATTTTCCCCAATTCAAGGCTTGATTTTCAGGATATGATCCCATGACTGACATTTGTGTCTTCTGAGTTTCCAGCCCTCACCATGTTCATCGGAATGACATTCCCTTTCTTTGGTGGACTGCTAAGTTTCTTTGGAGGATTTGCCTTCGCTCCCACAACATATTATGTAAGGCACTAGTATTTTCTTTTTCCTCAAAACACTTTTAACCTTTACAAGACATATCTCAAATGATCTGAGTAATTTCCTTTTTATCAAATTGCAGCTCCCTTGCATCATATGGCTTGCAATCTACAAACCAAGAAGATTCAGCTTGTCATGGTACACTAACTGGGTATGTTCATTCTGATTTTGTACATATTTGATTGTCAAGTATCCAATCTGATACTGATCATATGTTTCATTCCTGTTGCAGATATGCATTATCATTGGTTTCCTTTTGATGATTTTGGCTCCAATAGGTGCATTAAGGCAGCTCCTTATTCAATCCAAGAACTTCAAATTCTACTCTTGAACAAACTTTCCTCCTTGAAAGATAGTGGACTGCATCAATTTAAACCCTACTGATCTGCTATTTAACATCTATTCTTTTCCTTTTCCTTTTATTTTAATTTGTTTAAAGACATAAGAGACCTTGTTTAATGTAGTACTAGTACATAAGTAAGTTACTTACCTGATTATTTTTAGATAAAGTGGGTTTAGGAAACATAAAAATGTATAATATCTTCCAATTATTTGCCAAATGTTTTCAAATTTCCATTGTCTTCACTCAGCCTTAGACCAAAGGTATAGAAGTACTTAAATTTCTTTCATTGAGAAATGAAGATAAAATTCTCTAAACTAAGAAGGAACATTTTTTTTTTATTTTTAATTTATCTTTAAATTTTCTCCGCCTTACTATTGTGTGATCGAAAAAAATATTACACACGTAAATTTATTCGAACACTTGATTTTCAAAAATTATAAGTGGTTCTATCACTCCTTTAAAAAAAAAAAAAAAAGCGTAATTTTTAAGTGCCGATTCGTACGATCGTTTGTTAAAAGGTGGCAACTTTTTTGACCTTTTAAACAAACTTTATCCGTTTGCGTCCTCACTTCACTCTTTCTCAATCAATATGCAAATCCTCCAAACCCCTATATTCTTCTCGTTCCCTAAAGCATTAGCCTTAAACCCTTCCTCCCCAAGACAGTTGTTGCACCGCCATCCCCACCGCTTCCATTGCTTCCCTTCCTTGTTCAAAACCCGTTTCCCTAAACCTTTAAACACCCCAAAGTGCTTCAGCTCCGAGGAATTCCCCGTCGACGAAACCTTCATCAAAAAATTTGCTCCCAAAGACAAAGAAACCGAAGACGAAGCCCGTCGCAGCAACTGGATCGACCGAGGGTGGGCCCCGTGGGAGCAAATCCTAACCCCAGAAGCCGATTTCGCTATAAAATCCCTTAACGAAGGCGAAGAGGTCCCTCTCCAAACCCCTGAAGCCATCGAAGCTTTTAAAATGCTAAAGCCTTCTTACAGGCTTCAAAAAATTAAAGAAATGGGGATTACAGAGGATGAATGGTATCGAAAGCAGTTCGAGATAAAACGTGATATTCCGGAGCCTCTGGAGACGTTGTGGGCAGGGCCATTGGCGTTGAGACTCGTGCCTCCGCGAGATTGGCCCCCCAGAGGATGGGAAGTGGATAGAGAAGAGCTGGAGTTTATAAGGGAAGCACATAAGGTACAGGCGGTGAGAGTGGATTTGGAGAAAGTGGAGAAGGATGTGATAACTGGTGAAGCAGATATGGGTTTGGACAGATATAGAGTGTTTTTGAAGCAATATAAAGAGTGGGTTGATGCTAATAGGGACAGATTGGAAGAAGACTCTTATAAGGTTTGAGATCTTTTAAAACAATCTTCATTTTGCCTTTGAGGAACTGCTAGTTCTAAAGGATGGAAATTTTTGGAGCAAATTTGAGCATTTTTGGTTAATGATTTTATAATGGGGTTTCAAAGAAGGTTATGGTTAATTCTTTCATTGAGCAGGCATATGAGTATATTAGTATACAAATTCTTAGAAGTGTGGTTGAAAGGGGAATGATTAGTTGACATTTGATGCTTATAAACTGTGTGAATTTGCTCATGAATTTTGATATAATTGAATTCTAGCTGATTAGAGGAGGAAAAAAAAAATGGTTTTTTAACTTCCAAATGGCCGACTTTTTATAGTATGAAGGATGACATGCTAATGAGTTTATGTGCTGGGTTGTAAATTTGGGATTAAGGATTTGAAAGGGATGAGGTGTTGTTTTCACGATGATTAAAAGAAAATAATAGGAAAGAAATTGAATATATATTTGTTTCTTTTTTTAGTTCAATTTTGAAGAGACCTTATTAAGCCGTTGTATGGTGGTTTGATTCCTGCTTGCTGATGCAGTATGACCAAGATTACTACCCTGGTAGGAGAAAAAGAGGGAAAGACTACAAAGAGGAAATGGTAAATTGAATTGCCAATTTCTCTTTTTTTTTGTTAGTTTTTTCCTTTTCTTTAAAGTTGTTCCAAGCTATATAAAGGTATTGATGATGATCATTTATTGTATTTTAACAGTATGAGCTTCCATTTTATTATCCAGGACAGGTAAGTTTCCAAGGTCATTGTTTCTTATGGGAAATGCTTTTTAAGTTTTTAAGGATCAAATAAGAAAGAACAGGTCTATGATGGATACATTCTTTGCAGATCTGTGAAGGCAAAGTGACTACTGTACACCTATATCAAGGAGCATTTGTTGATATAGGTGGTGTACATGAGGGGTAATTATCATCACGATCTAGTGTAGTTTTCGCAATAAAATTGTTTGTAAAAAAAGTAATTTATTTTTTCCTAAGTTTTGAACTTTTACCTTAAAATAGTTTTGCTAAACTTTCTCACCATGTCTCACCTAAAGGCTTATATCTAACCCAAGATCACATTTAACAAGAAAAACCTCCTTCTAAAGGCTAAAGGTCCCTATATTCACAATTTGATTTGTTTTTGAACTTCAAATATGTGTGTCTCTGTGCTCCTTCCCTCAATCCTATTATCCACACTCCTATTTTTTTTTTAACTCCACACTCCTGCTATTATGTAATTTGAATTTGCGGTTCTTGGGAAATTGACTTGGCAGAAACTGTGATTCTCACCCTTTTGGGAATTCCATGTGGCATACTGCAAAGAAGAAACGTAAATTTTTAGAGTACATCATTTATTCAACAATTTGATTACTAATGATTTCAAATATTAGGCAGTAGTTGATTAATGGCTATCACAGAGGCTTGATTTGTTATAGTTGATTCAGTATCAATTAGTTCAATAGGTGATTACTTGATTTATGATTTCACACTTGACTAGTAGTTAAATTAAGCCTATGTTTAACTGTTCCTAATAGATTAATATATTGTATTTATATATTTCAGGTGGGTCCCAATCAAACGTAATGATTGGTATTGGATCCGCCATCATATAAAAGTTGGTATGCATGTTATTGTTGAAATTCTGGTGAGTATTTTTTGGCTTTTCCTTTGTGTATTAATTTTTTTTCTCTTAATCCCTTTTTCTACTAATCAACTCCCTATCAAACTTAATGATGAATCTGTTAATTGTATGTTTTACTTCTATACATTCATCTTTTCTGCAGGCCAAACGAGATCCTTACCGGTTTAGGTTTCCTATTGAACTGCGTTTTGTCCATCCTAACATAGATCATCTGATGTATGTAATTCTGGACATTAATAGTTATTTCATCTATATTGTTTATGTGGTACAATATGGAAGTCATTTGCCATCTAGTATCACTAAAAGTTCATGTTGTTGTTTAAGTTTGTTACTTCTTATCTGCTTCCTCATTTTTTTTTCTGATTTGCATCCTTACTTCCAGATTTAAAAGATTTGACTTTCCACCTATATTTCACCGTGATGAGGATACTAATCCAGAGGAGTTACAGGTATGTACCTTGTTGCAGTTGTCACCTATATTTAAAAATATGACTTTAAAAGTTAGTGCAACTGGGATATTTAGTATCACCTTGTGATTTTGTTTGTAGTTTGTTCTATTTACTATTTTTAATTTCTTATTTCTACCATGATTATCTTTAATTTCTTTTTGTTCCCTTTGCAGCGTGATTGTGGAAGACCTCCTGTTCCTAGAAAAGATCCAGGAACAAAACCTGAAGAAGAGCCATTGTTGTCAAATCACCCTTATGTTGACAAGGTAATTCAGTAGAAATATCTTTGTCGATAATTACTATTTTAGATATGAATGCATCCTTTTTCCTCCTTTTGGTAGGAGTCAAACATAATTTTGATAGTAATGTGCTAAATCTCTGGCTAATAAACTTCCTAATAGTTAGTTCATACATGTGTATCAATGCATGCCCTAGGTTTGGGCATTCAAAGAGCTGATGCACCATCTGACAACAATATTTGTAAACAGCTGTTTTAATAATGGTTGTCCAATGCTATTATTACCCACCCGGCCACTTCCTCAGTGAACAGCAAATGATCATTCTTTTTACTAGATTTTTGTCTGTTATGCAGTTGTGGCAGATCCATGTTGCTGAGCAAATGATTTTGGATGATTTGGAGGCAAATCCTGAGAAATATGAAGGTAAAAAGCTATCAGAATTAACCGATGACGATGACTATGATGAAGAAAACAGTGTTCAATACACCAAAGTACGCTACAAGAAAAGCCTAATTCCAAAAATCATTATGGTGAGATTTTTTTATTTTATTTTTGATACTGACCATGTTATCTGCCTCTATCTACCTGCTAATGGTTTTATTTCTTGATAGAAAACAAGTGTTAAAGAACTTGATTTGGAAGCTGCCTTAGCTGAGCGTGAGGTAATTATTTCTTGGATGTTTGCAACCTCTGTTGTTGATGTTTTTGACGTTTCGCTCTAATCTTAACAGAAATCTGTTTTAGCCACCTTATTGCTTGGTAGTTTATTTGAAAGATGGATTGTCTTCTGTTCTTGGAATATTCTATGAACAAGGCATTTGGTTCTGGTGAACTAGAATAAGATGCAAATTTGTTGGCCTGTTGCTCTGATAACAAACAATTTAGGCTTGAGAAGGCCAGAAGGGTCCAGGTGGTCACTAATCAAAAGTGATTGTGTTCATTTATGTATTCCTTACAAACAGGTCAAACAAATTCATAAACATACATCCTCTCAATATGATATTGCTTTCTCAACACGAACCGTGAATTCTTTTATAATAAATGGTCTTTTATAATAAAAGGCTCAATATGATATTGCTTTCTGTTGTAGTGGTCTTTAAGTTACCATATAATCAAGCTTCTGATAGAGATGTATTTTTCCCTTGAATCTGATACAGCTCCATTATAAACATAGAAGAGAAGCAAAAGACAGGGGAGAGGAATATAAAATCAGCAAATTCAGGCGCAATATTGAGATGGATGAATATGATTCTTTACATTGGCGCCGATCATTAGAGGAAAGAGAAGCTTTGATCAGAGACATCAGCTGGTATTTCCATTGTTCTTATTTCCTCCTTCCTACCCCTGTTATTTATAGATAAATTGCAACTGGTGAAAAACTTGACTGTATAAAAGCCTATTTTCTTGGCTTCCACTAGTACTATGCATGATGAATTATGAGAATCTTAACCATGCATTAGAGTTAGCTCTAAACCTCTGGTTCTTAGTATCAGGTTAACATAATAGTCTTTCAGTCTAACCGTCTTTGATCTTTTCATGATATTGTTTTGATTAACCTTCTTGCTTTGTGAAAATTACTGTCATTTCCATGTATGTATTTTGATTGACCAACTGCATTGATATATAGTTTTGCAATTTTTTTGCTTTTGGCTGATTATTGGCACATTGGAGCACTTACAATTTCACTTGAGTTCGTGAAAAGATTTTGTTGCATTGCATCACATGTTTACCACTGTGAAGGCGCATGTTTATGCTTTCTGTGTCTTACTGATTTTTCACAGCCGTCAAGGTCTGGGTTTGCCGTTGGAAGAACCAGGAAGATATAAAGATGAAAGTTTTTTTGGGAAGGATCAATACGATCCTTCAAATCCCTTGTATAGATATGACTACTGGGGAGAACCCAAGAACTCTGAAAAGACAAAACAAGAGCGGATGACAGATGCCCACAACAAGTCTATTGTGGGAAAGGGCACTGTGTGGAATGAAATGTCTTATGATGATTTCATCAAGCAGAAAATGCGAAGAGAAGCCCGTTCAGAAGGAACAATGCAAAAGGAAGCTGACGAAGATGAAGAGAGAGAGCAAGAAAGTGATGAGGATGATGATGATGATGATTTTGACTACAGCATTTTGAGTGATCCCAGCATTGTATTCCCAAATCAACCTCTTGTCAATGGGACTGAATCGTCTAGTATCTCAGATGAGGGAATGTTTGAGAACTAACATTAGTGGAGAATCATGCTTGTACGATATTTGATGTATAGTTTATAAAGGTGAGAGCTGATGAGGCTCAATCACTGACGAAAGAGAAAATTTTGATTCTAGTGCTTGTCATATTTTTTGAGAGAAATAAAAACAAAACCAAACATCAAATTGCTGACAATAACTTTAATTCCCATTCTCTCTAATTAAAATATGTTACATTAAGCAGACAAGCCAACCAACTACAATTCCCTTCCTGAGCCCCTATTGCCTCATCGTATCAGAAACATTAACTTTCATTTTACCCAAAAAAAAAAAAAAAGGGAAACGATAAAAAACCTGAACCTCACTCAAGCAGAATCCAACGACCAACTGCCAGTCACAATATCTGAGAAACGGTAGCAGTTCATGCAAAAGAACTTTCCAAGCAGACCATGACGGCAAGAAAATCTTGAACTTAATCATGCCCCGTAACACTATGTTTCTATTATGATCTTCGTTTCTCCCAAATGGTTGCGCTATCGGTCTCAAAGGGACGGAAACATAGTGCTCGATGTGCATCGTGCAGAATTTTGCAGAATCTCAGTTACTTTCTACTCAACAAGCTCAGGAAGAAAACAATCAATCAATTTCACCTTCCTCCACATCATTTACTGGCTTTGAAGCACTTTGGGGAGGTTCATCTTCTTCATCCTCATCATCTGCCTTCATGTATAATCCTAGTTGTTCGAGGGGATTACTTCTCCCCTCAAGTTTGAAACTTCCCAACCCATTTTCAGAATGACCTGGGCTTGTCTCCATGAAGTTAGGCAAATCTTCACCATTGGAAGTCCGAAGCATTTCTAAATCTTCCAAAAATTGACTGTTCTCATTAATATCCACAGTCTTCTCCATCTGCAAAGAACATAAACTTCTTAGTAGCATTAAGACAAGGCCGCACCACTTCTTCACATAAGACCGATATCCAATTTACCTTTAAAAGTTCCTGACGTGCAGCTTCTCTCTCCAGCTCCCTCTTCCTTTTGGCTTCAGCAGCGGCTTCTGCTTCAGCTTTTCTCCTAACCTGTTCAGCAGCTTTGGCCTCTGATTGCAATCGTGCTTTTTCTGATAACAGAATCAAGGAAAATGGGATCATAGAGCTTCAGATATTCAGAAAAAAAAAAATATATATATATATATATATATATATATTTGCTTTCGATGAAAGGAACATGGGTCCATGAAAAGTAATTCAACAATAATGTAAAGTCTAAACCTTCTCTCTGTCGCCTTTCAAGTTCCTTCCTCTCCATCCTCAGTTTCTCAGGATCACCCTTCTCACCCTGTGCTCAACCACATCAATGCCGATCAGTGAGTCAGTTAACTTTTGAGTCTTTGACCATATTCCAAATACACACATGCAAAAATAACTGAATATAAGGAGATTGTACTAACCTTTTCAAGTGCCTTTTCTCGAGCTTTAAGAATGGTGTCAGCAAAACGGCCCCTCACTATAGCTGCATGATAGAGCTTTTCAGGGGAGACTTGTCTCTCGGATGGAGCACTCTCCTCTATAATATTATTAGAGCATTATGGGTGAGATGATACCCCAACAGTAACAGTATAGAGCCTTCTTAATAATTATGCTTACCATCTTGTTGGCCTTCTACCTCAATAGCACTAGGCTTACCATGAGAGCTTAACTTAACTTGACTGAACTCGTTTAAAGACTCTGTACAAGCAGAAAAGAATTGGCATTTTTATAATACATTGATCCAATATAGATTTTCCAGAGGCATGCATGTGCATATAAAAGAATGAAACAACTTACGGTTTCCATCATCAGGAACAGCAACATTGCCATTCTTTAATTCCACATTTGTTCCTGAATCCAAATTTTCCTACCACATGGGCACGGGAAAGAAAACCCTTAGAACAGTTATACAGTGAGTCTCAAACACACTCAGAGCAGAGAAAGAGAACACATTCGTTTACAATTCACTAAAGCACTCAAAATTTCCAAATTATCAAGAAATAGAGATACCTTCATAGAACTATCAGGAACTGCAGTTTTAGCAACATCTGATTCACTACCAGAATCTGAATCTGAAAAGAAAAATATCAAATGAAAATGAAATGCTTTTAAAAGAAACAACAGAAGTTTACAATTGCTGTGAAGCAGCTTCCATTTGCTGTCAACAATACACACAAAAGGCTAGAAGTCTTTCCAATTTACCAATGCCAAGAGTACAAGACAGAATCAGGAGATTAAAGCAGGCAATCAAACATAAATGTGATAGTTATCGCTTGATTCAGATGGCCCACAATTTTACTTAGATCACCAACTAACATTAAGTAGAAACTAGGCAATAAATCTCATAAAGCAAAAATAATTAACAAGATGGTTCTAATTTGGGAAACTCTACTCTGAAAACCAGTAAACTGGGAACCATCTGGAGCCCCAGTTCTATTGGCACATATTCCCATGAATGACCTAAGATAATAAATTCCATACTTGATGGCAAGAGTTTCACAGTCAAAGATCCACACAGTGAATATTACTCAAAAGCTATTCCCCGCATTTTTTTGGCAACTCTCATATGACAGCATGCTCATACACTGCAGTTGCTCAAAACAAGATCTTTGAGGCAGAATAAATGAGCAAGGTTCACTATGGTACAAACCACTAGAAGAAGACCCTGATTCACTGCGGGATCTACTGCGTCTACTGTTTCTATATGTAAAATCCTTCTCTATTTCTTTTGGACAGCAGCTCAAAGTGGGAGGATCATTGCTACCAACTATATCTATGACCTCATCTTGATCGTTACCTAACAAGAAAGAAACAAATATCATTTTCTGTCATGATTTGGTTTACTATCTAGCTATAAGTAAAGCCAGCAATGCACAGATGAGCAGTAAATTACCTTTACACGGCTGCATGGATGAATTGCTAATCCCTGACTCATTAAGAAGCTACAGCAACGAAAACACAAAGCAATATCATAAATGCCAATATGGCATTCTTGATAGAAAAAGCACTAAAGGATGAGATAGAGACATGGGAATACCTCCATTTCGCAAGATTCAGCTTTTGCCTGGTTTTTCCGCTTCTCCAGCATATAATCATCCAAAAGTTTTCGCAATTTGAACAAGGTTTCATCACTGAGAGCATCAATATCAACCTCAATCTCGTCCTCACCCGTTTGACCTTCACAAGAACTCTTTTCTTTAAGAAAGTCAACAATATTTTCAGGCAATTCTCCCAACAAAGACTCCAATTCTGTGCTCAAATTATGCTTCTCCTGATGGGTCATGATCTGTCTAACAGGCTCTGGCTTGATCAGAATGTCTTTTGGGTTTATTGTTTTCTTTTTCAAAGGTAGAATGTTACTATTTGTTTCAACTTCTATGGGTGCTGCTGCTGTACAAGGCACAGCATCAACATCCATGGTTACAGGAAGCTTCTTTTCTATAGCTTTCCATCCTACTTCAAAATATTTACTTAGTGTCTTGGCCATGTAGTAGAAATCATTTCCTGGTGGGTTATACGTCATTGCATTAGAGAATGTAAGGCGAACGTCAGCAGCAAAGTCGAATGGACTTGAACATTGCCCTGAAGTTATCCTCTTCTTCACAGTGCCCAAATCCATGGGGTGCTTAATGACAGTGAAATAATCCGGAATGTTCAACTTCACCACATCAACAGGGTTGTTAAAAACCCAACCAAATTTATGCTGCATCAAACGGTTAAGCAAAGTATCACATTGCCTCATCATATAAGCATTTGAATTATTCACTGCCACCGTTGGCTTCAGAGATTCAAAACGCCCAGATGTGCTCTTCTTTTTGCGGGCTCCATTATTTCCTCCAAAAGGTCGTTTCTTCCCTTGCAAATTCATTAGTTCTATTGCCTGATTAACTCTCTCTAGCGGAGGCCTCTTCTTCCCATCACTGCAACTCCTGTTATCAGTAGACGGTGAAAAAGGAACAACACCCGAGCCTAAAGAACCAACGCTCTTCTGTAGCACCTGAACCTGTTCTAGCTCCATTTTTAATCCCAATTCCAAGTCCTTTCTCTCAGGTCGTGACATCTTAGACAACGAAAATACTCGTTTGGGGCCACAAAAATCACCATAACTATTGGCATTCAAACTGATACATTTCCTTTTAAGTGCAGATGAATCCTCTGATGCCGCCATCTCAGCATAAATCGGTCCAGAGCTCCCAAAGACCTCTGATTCACCCATGGTCTCAACCGCATTCGGGTAATCAACGCTGAAACCAGAAGAATTCCTTCGCTTAGAGAACTTCTTAGACTTCCTCATCAATTGTGAATTTGAACACTTTCCAGATTACTTCTGTAAGTCATATAATCTCACACCCAGGGTCAAAATGTACAATTTCACGGCGTAACAACACTGTTTTCGTTTGTTATATGCTTGGATTCCAACAAATGTTAATTATATCTATTTATTCAGATTCTTTTAAAAGTTAACAAATAGGCAGTTCATCAGAGAATCAAATGTTCAATTATTACTCTAATAAAAACACCAATCCATATCTAAAAAAGATAACCCAAAATTATGAACTTTTCTTTACAAGTTCCCAATCGATGCCACCTCAAGAAACCCTAGATCTCTTACTTCCTTTTTTTCGCCGTTCAAAAAATTAAAATTTCACTTCTTTTCCCCTTTCCAACCAATCATTGAAAATGAATTAACGGCGTGATTTAAAGGAAAAACTATTGAAGAAAATAGGAACGAATCAATACTTACGAGCAAAAAACAAAAAATTGAAAATCTAAGCTAAGCTCGTTTGTGCATAAACCCTTTAGAAATTGGATCGAATCCAACCAGAAAAGGAAGAATGATATGAAGCTAAAACCCTAAATCTGCTCCACAAGAATCCCAATTTCAAAACCTAGATCTCCCAAAAGACCCGTTGATTTTCCCGATCAGAAACCCTAAAATGAGAAACTGAAGCCTCCACCCCTTTAGAAATTGGATCGAATCCAACCAGAAAAGGAAGAATGATATGAGGCTAAAACCCTAAATCTGCTCCACAAGAATCCCAATTTCAAAACCTAGATCTCCCAAAAGACCCGTTGATTTTCCCGATCAGAAACCCTAAAATGAGAAACTGAAGCCTCCACCCTCTCACTCCTCGACAAATCTAGGCTTCGCAGCGCGAGCAAAATGAGAGAGAAAACGAAAGAGAAGAGAAAGACACTGAGAAAGAGATTATGACGGTTGATGTATGGGCGAACCTTTCGCGTTTCGCCGCTCTACTTAAAGGCCCAATGGCCTCTTCACCAGCCGCAATTGAACTGATCTCAGCCGTTGATCTGTTCAGTCGGTGAAATCTAACGATTATGATTTTTATTTCCATATCCACCGTCAGGGTCTAGATCTGACGGTTGTTATAATTCTGTGTCAAATCTTGATGACGTTTCTTGTTTTCCAGATTATCTGGTTACGTAGGAACCGAGGCAAGTAAGCGATACTCTCCCGTGTAGATGAATGTCAATTACTCGTTATGATACAAGACCACGTTTCTAACAGCTTCCATAAAAGGACAGGTGGCATATTAAAATCAGCGAGTAACAATTTTTCTGGAAAAGTGGAAAAGTTTTGACGGGAAATAAAGAAAAGTTTTCCAACCACGTGTCTGTTTTGACTTTAGACTGTCGTGTGACGCTACATTGCCGACATGAAGCTAGTCAGCCAATTTTGAATTCTTCTATGCCTTTTTACGTCATCAAAGATTAAAAATCAATTTATTTTGGCTAAATATTCGGTTTAAAATATAAATTTTGAAAATTTTTAATTAAAGATATAATTTTTAATTAATTTAATATAAATTAAATTTTGAGTCTTGCTTCTTGCGTCAGACTCTCATTTGTCAGCCAATCCGCTAACTAATTTTTTTAAGTCTTAATTTATTTTAAAATTTTTTATTTAATCATTGCTTAATTAAAAAAATTTTATTTTCACATTTTCACGTACATGAAGAAAATTATTTTTAAAATTTTATTTTTTATACAAGAGAAATTTTTATAATTTACTAGTAGTATTAAAAATTGGTCAATGAATTTTTTTAATTATATTCATTTTATTTCTATAATATATCTTAATTGAATATGTGAAAATCATTTAATTTCGTTGACGGTATAAAAATATTTCACCAAACATGTATGAGATTTTTTTTATTTTTAAATGCTATCAATGAAGTTAGAAGATTGTCTCATCTTATTAAACTATATTTAAAATAATTAATACATAAAATTATTTCATTATTTTATGTTGTGATATATCCAAAGATAGAACAATAATACTACAAAAAATTGTAAGGGACCGCTTGTTACTTTAAAATTTTCACCACTAATATATAAAAAACGAATTCTAACTAATAGAAAAGCACGTGATGTTCTGCGAGAAGCCCATTGGGACTTGTTGGGCAGCCTAATGGACTCAAGAAAATATTATTAACTCAGTCATGGGAATCATTTTGGGCCTTCAAAATATCAATGGGACAAGATTGGAAGGTAGGGATTTGAGAGTATTCTATCTTGACGTTCAAGTCCAATGACAGTCCAACAATTTCGTCCTTTTTTTTTTTTCTTTTTTAATTTATAAGAGGAAACGTACTCTTTTTATTGAAAAATGAAAATTTTGGTTAACAAAATTAATTAAATCGGTAAAGATCGAATATTTTAATTGTATGATTTAATTTTAATTATTATTAGTATGGATGATCTGTAAACTCAATATTTCTGTATATATATGTATTATTGGGCTAAATAGTCGAAAGTCTTGTTTAAATTAAAATCTAATCACTTCATTAAATAAATTGAAAGTTTTATCACTTCATTAAAAAAAATTAAAATCTCAATAATTCCTTGAAAAGTAGCAATTAATTTAAACATATATAATAAGAATTCCTTTCCGATGGAATCATATATACTTTTTAGTACTTAGAAAAAGCTAAATGTGGAATTTTCAATTATTTAAATAAAATTTTTATTATAATTCAATTCTCAAAAGAATAATAATAAAAAAATAAAAAGTATCGATCGAACGAAACCTACTTTTCATCGAAGAATGAGCGACCCGCAAGTGGCAAAATGAAAAACATTAGTCCTCGATAGAATATTAAAAAAAATAAAAAGGAAGGAACACCTGTTAGGCCAATTCCAAGTGAATTATGTGTTTTCTTCTTTTGGCCTATATTCAACTAAGATATTTATAAAAAAATAATATATATACATTTCTCTATTTTACAACTGTTTGCTAGATAATAATTAATATATTCATATAGTATAAACTATTAATAAATTATATATTTATGTAATATTTTATATAAAAATTATATGTTATAATTTGATATAAAAATATAAAATAATTATTTTTTAATTTTATTAAATTTATTAATATTTTTTATTTAAATTTTAAATTATATTATTTTTATATTATATCATTTTATCGTATTTAAAATTACCATTGCGTGAAAAATGTATTGAAATTAACAGCTTTAGTCAAGATTTAGAATTAGAATAAAAATAGTATGAGGTGCTTAGCCGCAGCCATAGCCAATGCGCCAGAACATTGGTGCATTATTGGACCACGAGAGCAATGCTGCGGGCACACTTTTAATTTGGCTGAATAATTGCATGCAATTAGAGAAGAAATAAAACCAACCTTAAGCTTTGGATGCTTTTCTGCTACATTATTTTTATTGGTATGAGGTCATTGCCTAAGCAATCACAATCACCGATTTGGAATTAGCTCAGTTCGTTGAAATGAATGAATACCTAATTAATAAGTTTAAATTTTAAATTTCAATATCTATCTTTTTTTTTTTTTTTTTTTAGATTGTGACTTTAAATATTTAACCAAAATTTTAATACTACAATCTGTAAATCATCCATTAAATGCTGTATATAATATATATTTTTAAAAGGAAAATAAACTAACATCTACTCGTATATTTGATATGTTACATAACTCGATTAATTTTATAGGAAGAAAATATATTAATTAATCATTGAATCAGATACTTGATATTATCTAAATAAACAAAAGCTAAAAAAATTAAATTTAAATTAGTTTATAAATATTTACAATTTTCATAATGAAAAACTGGGTTTTGTTGCATGATGAGTATGATTTAGCAAATCCTAGAGGAAGATATTAGACAAGAATAAGATCATTCCATTTCTATTTATGGTAGATTTAGCTCATTCAAAGAATATAAATTTGTTGATGTATGGTGCTGAATTCTTGATTTTAAGAAACAATTCAAATTCTTATAGTTTCATCTTCAAATTAAAAAAAATAATAAAGTTTGGTTGTAAGAGAAGGCCTTGGGTAGCTACATGTAAAATGTGAGATTACATGCCAAAGCTGCCAACATATTTACTAGTAAAAGATGGGAGATGAAGGAATTGGGAGGCAGAACAAAACCCAAAAGACAAAAGCATAAGCAATATTATTATTGAAATTCTTACTTAAATTGTAAAGAGCGTACGTGAGAAATGAGAAATAGTAGTAAGGATTTAATTGAAAAAAAAGGAAAGAAAGGCTCCCGTCGAAGGAGTTTTGGAGAATATACTGGACTCTCATGTGCCAACTGTCTTTCTGAATGTAAAAACAAGAATATAAACGTAGTTTGTTTCGATATTTGAGCATATTTTTGTACTAATATATATTATTTCATTCAAATTATTACATAATCACATTATCAAAAAATCAAATATTTATTTAAAATTAATTAATAAATATATTAAACTAAATATTTATCATTTAAATTTTAATTATATGACAATTTAAATAAAAATATAAATGTTAAAGTGGCATTTCCTTTTCGTTTTTTTCATCCACAGGTCTATCTGTATGTTCTTTCTCTTGAACAAAATTTACATAAAATTTAAATAAAATTTATAAAATTTTTTTGTTAAAAATGATTAATAAAAATTTTAAAATCAATAAATTGATAATATTTAACATACAAAAAATTTTATCAAAAATATTATTTATAATTTAAATTTGATTAATTTTTATCGATGATAAAATTTTATTTACAAAATATCAAAATTTATTAAAATTTTTAAATCTTATACATTTTGTCTTTATAATAAAACTTTTATATTTTTTAATTTTAATTTAGCCATTTTCAAAATCTCCTCATTCTCTCTTCCGGACCGGTACTCCCTCTTCTCATTTACTTCACGCTCCTCCTCATCCTTCAAGCTCATTACGTACTTTTTCTCTCTCTATTCCCCGTTTCATTCCGCCATATTTCTCAGCTATTCCCTGTTTCTTTTTACCATCTCCTTTTACGATCTCTTCAACACACACACACTCTCTCTCTCTCTCTCTCTCTCTCTCTCTCTCTCAGATCTCAACATATATACTGAAAACAGCCAAAAGCCCAATCAAAATCCATTTTAAGATTCTGAAAATTTTAACCATCATTGTAAACTTAGTTAAGTAAGCTCAATTTGTACATCCAAACTGCAAAGATAAAGAGAAATAAGACGAAACCAACACAGGAATGAGAACTGAAGAACAACTGGCATACTTTCAGTTCCTTTCAAATCCCTTTCGAAAACATGTTATGCATCTCAAAATGAAACACACCCCAGATCCAGTGAGAAACAGAGAATAAAAGAGGACGATCAAACAACGCAAAACAACAATACAAAGTTGAAACAGGAAAAGGAAAAGCAAACAGAAAAATATTTACAATTCAAAAAGAAAGTTAATGTAGATTGTAAGCTTAGTCATGCATTAAAAGGCTGTGATATTTTATTTTTTTTTGGTTTTTACCGGCCCAAGCAAAGAGCAGCGTTGGTGTCAAGCCTCCATGCAAATCCACCGCCGTCCATTCTCCAAACATCGCAAGGCAGCGTCAAGGAACTCCTGTCCTTCCCGCACTTGTACTGCACCCTTACCTTGCACGTAAACGCCGGGTAGGTTATCATCAACGGCAGCCTCTCCTTCATCACCAACCACACCATCATCTCCCCTCCCACCATTTCCTTGTACGCCTCATTAGTCCAGGTCACTTTCCCCATTCCATCAGATACAAACCCCGGACACGTGTCTCTCCCCAGATTAACCTTCCTCTCCTCGTCCGTACTCCCCAACCCATCCCCAATCAGCCACGTGTCCGTCACGCATTCCACCGTGACGCACGACGCCACCGCCGCCTGCGGTTGCATCACCCCCGACCGATCTGCTAACCCACAACCACCACCGAGAAAACCCTCCTTTTTATCATCAGCTTGACCGAAGCTTAACCATAAAGGCTTCATCTTTTGGACTACTCCACCCTTTTCCTCCTTCAAAATGGAGTCTTTGCAGTCAGGGGTTTCAGGGAGAAGTGGCAACGTAACCCTTTTCTCTTCGCACAAAACTCTTCTTCTTCGGGTGCACCTCTTCGTATTACTCATAGTATTACTTTCCTTGGAGTGTCTTTTTTTCCCTCTCCCTGATTTAGAATAAACCTCACGGTTTCCCTGAGGCGAAACCGATCCACCCGTGGCCGGTTTGGGAGCGATCGGTCTGAACCGGAGCATTATTCGGTCCACTTTCGACATATCGTAAACCCCAGCAGCAGTTGCATATCTCGCTATGCAACATCCTCCTCTACCCTCCATTCTTTTATCTCCAAAAATCTCTTTTCTTTTTCACTTTGAAAATCTCTCACTCTCTGCCTTTTTTTCTCTCTGTTTTGTGCCAGCGTTAGTCCGATGCGGACGCACTTCATGGGAAGGAGAGTAGTGTGGAGATTTATACGGAGGATGAAGGTGACACGTGTGTAACTGTGGGACGAACAGCGCAGAAAAGGATTGGTCGAGAAGCGAAACGTGGCAAATCAAAATAGATGGCGACCCAACGTAGGGAAAAAGGTCGTGAGTGGACCCCATGATCAGCCAATGGGAAGGCAGGAAGTGTCCCCCTTATCGGCGCCAATAGAGAGTCACTTAGTCTCGGGGATCGAGCTCAACGCTTACGTGTGAATCGTGGGAGTTAAAGAAAAGGACACGTGGGCCAATGGCAATCGGATAGAAATTTGGGGTAAGTAGTTTCTTGTTTCCACAAATAGTAGGGGACGATAACTGCCGCGTGGACGGTCGGATGATGAGGCGGATCTCAGAATGATCGGGATGCGTGACGTCTGAAAACTTTGTTTGAACGAAGAGGCGGGCTGGGCGGGGGAAAGGACGACGGAAATGGGACGATGACTGGTTTTCTTTTTATTACTGAACTACCCTTGTGTTTTTAATGTGTTTTTGAAAAAGACCTTGGTAGTTTGGGTATATTACAAAAATGGATTCCTGGAGAGGTGACATTTTAGTTTGCCTGATTCGAAGTGTCAAGTACTAAGATTTGCTTCTTTTACATTTTGGGTTTCGGATGTATACAGCCGAATCAAAATCATCAAAAATTTGACGTTATCTGTAAGTTAAAAATAATATTTTATAAATAATAAAATAAATCATTTTATTTTTCAATAAAATAAAATAAATTTTAAATGAGTAATATTTTTGTTTTTAATATTTTAACAAATAATTCAATAAAAAATTTAAATTCAAGCAAAATTTAATATATTCGTACCATAATACCAAATGAAATTTTAAAGTCAAAACTTAAATTTTTTAGAATTAATAAATTAGTTGAAAAAAAAATAAAGAAAATGGTTAATTTAGATGAAACGTTAAATCCATCATTAAACGTTAGTTTTATTTTTAATGTAGCCAAGTCTAAATTTAGGCCACAGAGTTTTTCCATTGGGTACTTTTTTTTTTTTTTTGAGAAATAGTTAGGCCCTAAGTTTTTAATCATTAAAATAATTAGTAATTAACGCTTTAATGGTGTCAGTTTTAATACCCTTTTGGCTAAAGATCAAGTTTAGTAATTACAAATATATAAATGAAGTTTTAATGTGTGGAAATTTTACATATATATTTATGAACTCCAAATAGTCACATGCAAAACTTGGCCTTGCTTGTTTCACAAAGCAATGGCTACATTAATGCGTATCATCACTAACTCAAACATTTTTTTTTTTTGGGGTGCATATTAATACCTGCATGATCACTAATTGAAGTGTAGTAGGTCGTCTAAACTTGTATAATTAATGTATAATTTATACATAAATAATATATGCACAAATATATAAATAATTTATTTTTTAATAAATAAAAAAATCTATTTTCCTTTTATTTTTTTAAATTGTTATCGTAAAACAATTATGTATATACGTGTATTTATAATATTTTTTTATATAAAAAATTTAATTTTTATATTTGATGACCTCGTTTTAAATTCGAGTTTAAGGATAGAACAAAAAATTGAAGGAAATCAAGGTCAATTATCAAAATAGCATATATAGGCATTTCCCAATCGCAATTGGAACTAATATAATATAAGATATCCAAATTGCTTATAAATATTATTTAAGGATAATTAAGATATTATTTAAAAAAAAACATATAATGCCATGATTTCATCAAATTTAAAAGTTGGAAGCAATAAATTAATTAAATATTTCTTAACATTTCCTAATGTTTAAAACTGTATTCTAATTCTTTCAAGAAAAAAAAAAAAAGGAAATTGCATTCTAACAATTACCGGTAACCATAAAGGTCTGATTAACAGATGTATATAAACATTAATTAAGGATAATAAATTTTAAAAAATTAATGAAATTCAAGATTTAATTTAATTAATTTATACAATTATCTTTAAAAAATATATACTATACAAGTCCATATGTGTATTTTTTATACATATTAGGTTTTAATTTGAAAATAAAAAGAATTATAAGCATTTGAATTATAAATCAGTTAAATATTATTTTTAAAAATAATTATATTAATTAATTTAAATTTAAATTTATATGTTTATTGTTTTTGCGTATAATATTAGTTTGGCTTTTGGTTTTGGTGGAACAGGGGATAGAGAGGTAATTTAAGTTAACTTTATATATACTTTTGGTGCTAGCTAGCTATTGAAGCGACCGGGCACATATTTACCAACACATGAATGTATTGGTCCATTTGTCTCCTCGTAGAGAAATAAACAAAAGAAAACCCATATTCCAAAAACTTTTAATGAAGTTGAAACAACGTATAATTAAAATCATATTCCAAGAAGAAAACAAAAAATAAGTATTAGTGATTGAATGATTGGTATATGAATAATTTCATTCAACTCATTTTCTATTGGATAGCTTTATTATAAGCATTTGCTTATTGAATAAAAATGTGTACTCTCCTTAGTGTTCAAAACACTACTATGTTTCATATATATATATATATATATACATATTTATATACATAAAAGATTTTGATTTTGAACTATACATCAAGAGATGCCTAGTGCTTGTTTTCATATTCCTCATAAATCTTATCTTATCTTGTCTTTTATTTAAAAAAAAAAAAAAAAGAGGTCCAAATTTCATAATCAAGGGTTCATTTTTTAAAAGAGATGAGTAAACTATTAGGGATCGTTTTCTTAATTAAAAAAAAAATAATTGGTGTATATATCAATGCACTCTCCTAGCTTACTCTTTCATATGTTTGATTTTATTATAATAATAAAATTCAATTGTGTTGCCTACCTTTGCAGTATATTATCCAATCCGGATATGGACACATATGCAATATTTTTCTACTAAAAACGTTCAATGTATTGGACAATAGGGGATGGACCATTGTACACAGACATTTATTTCCTATTCCAAATGAAGAATTGAATACCACAAAAAAAAAATTTAATATTAAAATTAAAGTTTCATGTTTTTTAATATAAAAAATTAAAAATTTATAAAAAATAATTTTAAAATAAAAATAAAAATGTTAGATATTAGAAAAAAAAATTTTGAGACATCTAAAAAAAAAAAAAAAGGAACAAATGAAGTAATAAATCATAACTAGTAATCATGATTGAGACACTTTCATTTATCTTATACAGCTTTTCTTTCAAGCCTTCTTCCTAAATTATTGCATAATCAGCAAATATTTAATCCCTTCAATTGTTGTCAAAGAATCTAATCTAATCTTAGTACAAGCAAAGCCATCAAAGAACCCAATACAGAAAAGAAAGAAGGTGAAATGTCCCCTCAAAACTCCAAAAGCTTTTGAACTAACCTGGTACCCTTAATTTTTTTATATATTTTATATGAAACAAGATCAGTGTGCTATTGTCATTGCTTTTCAACTGTGAGTTTAAGGATGTGGTTGGATTGGGGTGTGTGTGTGTTTCACCGGCTCTTTTAGTGCGTGGGCAAATTAATGAACTTTCAGAACTACTCCTCGCCCTCCTCTGGATTTTTTTCTTGCCAGCCAAATAGAAAAGTTTTGGAGTATGATTTAATTATGATGATAACTGTCGGATTAAATTAAATTTAATTATTTTTTAAATAATAAATAATAATATAAAATTTAATTAATTAAAATTATTTATTTTAAATTAATTTGATCTGAATTAAATTTTATTTATTTAATTTAGTTTATGTATTTTTAAAATTTATTTTTTATTTAATATATTATTATTTTAATAAAAACTTAAATATATTTATATATAAAATAATTATTTTATTTTTAAAAATTTTTAAAAATATATAATCTAATTCGATTTATTTATTTTTTTACATTTTAATCTAAATTTTGATTTAAATTTAATATATATTTAATATTCAATCTTAATTTAAAACAAATTAAAAAATCAATTCAAATTAAATTAATTATGATAATTTTAAATTATTTTTTTTATTTTTTGTTTCACCGTTTAACCAAGATGATAAGCCACTAGAATTGTCGCACGTTACATCAATTATAAGCATTTCTTTAGACATTAAAAAGAAAAGTAAAAAGACTAGCAGGGCTTTTAGCGCATCGCCAAGTGTCCATTAAAGCACTTAAAAACTACACCAACCTTCCCTTTTCCCCCTATTTTTTTTAGATTTTTGAAAAATCAAGGAGACAAAGAGACAATTTGTTCAATAATTCCAGCAAGACAACATGTTTCGGGTGGACCCCATGGCTAAAACTCAACGTACAAATGGAAAGATCCTACACGTTGAGTTTTACCGAAGAGCTGGCCCACGAATCCGATGCAAGGTTATGGCGAAGATTGAATCGTACGACTGAAAATTAGTGGTGAAAAAGAGAGTTGATCGAATTTTGGTTGGTGGAAATGATAACTGCAGTGCGGAGGTGGGGAAGGGGCAATTGGCAAATCTTGAGCCATACTGCGTTAAGACTTTTTATGTTGGGGGGTCCTCAGTCCTTTCAACGATGAACAACATCGGCTGACGTTTTTAAAGCATGTGAATCGTGATCCTCTTTTCCTGTTTTCAACTTTTGCTTGGGTTTTAATTTATCAGAAAATGATAAATATGGAACATGCATCAAAGGTCACCTATAGCAAAGCAATGAGCAACGAAAAAATTGATTCGATGGGATTATGATCTTCAGCTCCTTCATAATATATACATATATGTATGTATGTATATATGATGTAAGTGATAAAAAAGGCTGGTATTTGCGTACAACTTCGTTGAATGGTTGAAATATAATCTTTTGTTAATCATTAGATATCATCATCACCGTTTCTATCGTAATTTTATTGGTTTTGTTATTGTTGTTATTCTATTCTTCATTTATTGATGCAAACATATTTTTTATATACTCCAAATTAATTTATGTATTTTTTATTGAAAAAATATTATTTGAAAATTTTTTTTTGTTAATAACAGTTTTGGATGAAAGAAGATTTTTTCAATTCAAGGTTAGAATCGTAAGTTCAAAAAAATGAATTTATATATCATTTATTAATTTAAAAAAAAAAAAAAAAAACTATTGCTGATGGGTACATTTACCAGAACTCAAAATGGTTGGTACAGCGGAGAAGGAATTGCGCGAAAAGACATTAAGATAAGGTTGCCAATTGAGTTCGCTTTTCCTTTCCTAATTAGGGGTCGACATGCCGAAATCATCTTCAGCATGTTTAGCCAGTTATGGAAGGTGCCACAAACTGCTAATTTAGCTTCCGTCAAACACACCCAACAACAAACGAGCACTGTATCAAAAAACCAATATGGTAGATTTCAATATATGGTTGAATCTCCAGAATAAGATTCTGAACCCTTGTCAACGAATTAAAACCTGACCTCTCTCTTTCTTTCTCTTCTAATTTCTTCATACTGATATCTCCTTTCTCGGAAATCATCGTTTCTGAAATTTCATCAAGTTTATGGAGGATATATTAACAAATTAACCAGACAGATAACAACAAGAAGAAATGATCAAATAAGGATATATGGTAATTGTTTTCATCAAATCAGCTACATATCCAGTTAATTTCCTCTATGCTCATGAACCTTGTAAACCTATGATGACGATCAGATATAATTCCAATCAAAGGCAAGAAATAAGTTTGTATGAATCCATAAGATCAAGTGATTGAATGAATCAATTGATATAAGATAGACTATTACATGTTACTATGCAGTGATCATTGTCAAGTTAGGTTAAAATTTTCCTTAAAGACAAGACAGCAAGTTATTAGCTTTGGACCTTAAATTGGTGGTTAATGTTGAAAAAGTGGGGGATTACTATAATTGTTGACTAATATAGTTTCTTAGTGGAATCTAGGTTAAAGTGACAAAGACATTTGTTTTGGATTTCAAGGGGGGACAAGATCATCTAGATGCCAAATTCTTTAGTATTTGTACCAATAGAGTTAGGTCACCTTTCGGATAAAGAGTTTGGCTTCCTCACCATAATAAGGATAGAAGAGGTTGCTCTCCTCGTTTTACTTTTTTTTCGGTATTGCGGAAGCAATGGCCATCAAAAGCTTTAACCATGCAATAATCTTTAGCCAACTGTGTTCTCTAAACATCTTCAACTTCCTATCTTTCCACTGTTTATAATCAAAGCCATTTATCGTGCTGTCTCTCTCTCTCTCTACATATCATGAGTTACGTGTAAAATTAATCTACTTTATAAAAAAATTACAAATATTAAAATTTAAATTTTAAATATCAAATTTTAAAAATAATTGTATAAATCACTTTATTTAAATTCAGATTATATATATAAACAAGCTTCGAACATTGTTTTCCGGGTCTTATCTCTTTGATATCCTTCACCAAAGTGGTGGGCAACTCACGATAAAAAGTAAATCAGACTCTGGATATTGTCTCCTGCAAAGACGCCCTCCATTCCGGGGACTTGAAACTTGGTGAAGAAATTGGTGGTAGTTTAATTTAAACTTTAAAAATCAGTTAATATATATTCTCTTTTCTTTTTCTTTTTTGTTCACACCCAAAAGTTGTTTACTACATATGACTATAAGCTGACATTGATTATGTCGCATTGGAGAATCCTTGCATTAATTTAAGGGTAATAGACTATAGAATCACAAAGGTTGATTTGTTTATTAATTTATTTAACTTATTTATTCGCTTTTGCTTGCCATATTTAGCCAGGGAAGGTGTGGGTGAAGCCATCCAGCTCCATGATTTGATCACCTGCATCCAGTAAGAAATCTCCACGAGCATGCAACTAGAAAATCCCATTAAGAATATTAAAATGGAAAAGGACGACTCAGAAATTATTTATGCTTATCTCTCAATGCTCCGAATTATTTGACCTTACCTAAGTTTGGAAAGTTTTATTGGGTTTTTGACACGTGTTGAAGTTGGCACCAGCCAGGCACTGCCAGGGCATCCGAGCTATTTCAATGGTAGCTCAAAGCTAGGGACGATTGGGCTTAGGTTCCTGCAGCTTTATTATAAAAAAAATCATGGGAAGGGACCAGAAACATTGTTGCAGCCAGCTCGTGGAAAAGCAACAAAAGAGGGAATGAAACCTATTGCCTATACTCTACATTGGAGTTTTCTCTTTTTCTGTAATATATATCTGATATTTCAGGATTTATCAGTCTCTTCTCAATGACAAAGCACCAATCTCTCTTTCCTACGGAAGGCAGCTTTTGTACAAAGAAATGCTTTTGCTGACTGTATAAAACCTAAAACGAATTTGGACCACAAACATGTTATAGATAGGTTTGAATACAAAGTTAGGCTGCTAAACGGGATTGTGGGAATTGTTTTTCTCGATCCATCTCTCGGGCGTTTTGCTTTTTATTCCTTTCTATTTCTATGAGATTTGAGTGATCGTTTATCGCATAGTATTTATGGAATGTTTTCTAGTACTAGTGCCAGATGGGAAAGACGCATAGAAGGAATAGAAATGCAAAAACTTTTCCAACATATGCATGTGCGCAACGAAATGGAAGCCCCTTTTTGGAGAAAAAAAAAAAGAAATGGGATGAAAATTTCTGTACTTAGGAATTTAAACCTCAAGCCTCCATCTCGGATTCATAATCATGGCCAATTTAATAATCGAACAGTTTTATTTGGAAGAATTTCGGATATTAAATTTTGAATTTTAAAATTATTAAATATTATTGTTTAAAAATTAATTGAGTTAAATATTTTTTCGAACTATTTTTACTTTCTTGCAAGAAGAGCAACACCTCATGAAATAGCATGTTGATCAAAACGACATTTAAGCCTGATTTGAAATCAATCATGCCTTATATTATAAAGTATTTTTTGATGTAAAAGTGTCGCAGATTTTCGTTTGGTTAACAAAGTTACAGCACGATTATGCTGACATGGTACCTGTGAAAGCCCCATTGTCGTCTGGTGAGAAAAGGGCGTGGTAAGCCACCGCACTTTTTTTGGACTCTTTTGTCCTCTAAATTTCCTTTTATTACTAGTTTACCAAAAAAGTTGATAATTCAAGATATATTTAAAAAATCATTTAACATATTATTATCATTATTATTAATTTTTAATTATTTATTAAAAAGTTTATTATTTGACATAAATATAATTTTAATATTTTTAAATTATTTTTATAAATGTCAAATAATTAAAATTTTTTATTACATATAAACTTTAATATAATACTTTTAATGATCATTTCTCTTTTTATCATAATTCATTTCATTGACACCGTTGCATTTGCATCTAAATATATATTTTTATTATTTATTTAATTTTACAGTTACAATTATAAATTTTATTACTGTAATAATCAATTTTACCGAAATCAATCTCATTACTCATCCAATTAGGTGATGAGACTAATTATAGTGAGATTAAAAAAATAATAATGTTAAGATTTCTTATCGTAATAATGAAATTGAGTACTGTAACAATGAAATTAAAATTAATAGTGAAATATATGTTTGGATGTAATCGCAGTGGTGACGATGAGATGAAGAATAGTGAAAATAGAAAATGACCATTAAAAATATTGTATTAAAATTTAAATTATTTTTCATTTATAAAATTAATAAATAATTAAAAATTACGAAAATTAGTTTTATTTCAAATAATTATTTTATTAATAAATATTTAAAATTTAAGAAAATTGATAATAATATATAAAAATGATTTTTAAAATTGATAATAATTATTTTATATTAAAATATTAATTATTTTTATTCAAAATAAAATTTAAAATAAATAAAATAAAAAATGAAAAGAAATGAAAAAAACTTTTAAATAAAAAATAAAAAAAAAGAACAAAAATGAACTAAATACATTGTCATTGCTACATTAAAATCTAAAAAGGAAAAAGAAAGACAACAGGGGCTTATTTGAAAAAATAAGATTCATTGGTGATGAGTTTTTTTTCATTAAAGCTTGAAGCACTTGTTGGATTTTAAAGCTATGGTACGATGATCATGCATTCCTACCTCACCATTCATGTAAACCAAATGCATTTTTTTGCATTGTACAATATAGTTAGCACAGGTTTTCATGATAAATGCAGCTCCGTTTCAATCCAAATGCAGCCTTAATCTACTGTGATTCATACACTGCCATTGAAGGTGAAATGTAACAAGGAATATAATTTCGCCTTATATATCCTCTGGCCAGCCTCACAAGGGGAACAAAATGAATCCGATTCCTAGTCGTTATTTTTGCAGGTTTTTATTCTATTGTATCAGAATTTCTAATTGGATTTTTTAGGTACAAGCTTTAACTTCCCATTTTTTTTCACACTACTTTCATCAGTCGATTGGTTAAACAAGCATTGATGTCTTTTTCTTTCTTTTAGCCATTTTGTCAACAATCAAACAAGATGATGGCCGTCTAATTACTTTCATTAATTTCCTTTTTGTGTACTTCACTTTTCCTTTGGAATTTTGGAAGCTTTTGAAAGTTTACCAAGGTCTTTCATTCTTTTTCCTTGGCCCTTTAATTCAAAGGAGAGAGAGTGCCATGGTTGTCACTGCTGGGGCTGTGAATTGGGGCTCAAACTTTGGCTATGGGCTGGGCCAGGACTCAGGACAGTCATTCAAAAGTGATGAGCTGAATTAACATAGCTGAAGCTTTTCCCTAAAGCCAACACCGAAATGATGATTGATGATTTACTTATTAGCAGTAGCAGTAGTTTTTGACACAACACAAGACCGAGCCCAGGATTCTAGGCTTCCACGGGAAGAAAGTGATGAGCTCGTTCAGATCTTAGATACACCCTCAGGATGATGCTTGACAATGTGATTATAGGCATCAAGAGTGAGGAAATCATCCAGGGTAGGAGCAGTACATTGGCGGGTGAAAATCTTGCAAGCTTCTTTGTACAGTCCCTTTCTGAACTTATCTTTTCCAACCTCTCGCTCAATCCTGGCCATCTCTTCTTCCACCACTCGCCAAAAGAGATCACGGTTCACTCGAACCCCAACTCCATCTCCATCCAATTCCACTCCGTGTTTCAGCCATTGCCAGTTCTGAACTCTGCTGATCTCAGCTGTGGCAGCATCTTCCATGAGGTTGTAAAGAGGGACTGACCCTGTGCCAGTTAGCCAGGCTGCCAAGTACTGGATCCCAACACAAGTATTTTGGCGGAGGCCTTCCATGGTACGGAACCCTCTAGGCCTTTGCAATAGGTCTTCTTCTGTTAAGTTAGCTGCATCTTCTCGTTTGGCGGTTTGGATTTGATTGGGAGCATTTCCCATGTTGTTGGTGAAGACTTCCGTGCAGGCTTGGATGAGTCCTGGGTGAGCTGCCCAAGTTCCATCATGCCCTGCCTTCACCTCTCTTAGTTTATCCTTCCTTACAAGATCAAGGGCTGCCTCATTTGCTGCTGGGTCATCTCTAATTGGAATCTGAGCTGCCTGTTTCAAGAAAATTGGGCCTTCATTTCCAAATACGCTCTCGAAATTATAGGATTGTTCCAACAGATAAACAAAATGAAACTAAAAAACCATAAATTTGCATGAGATGAATTGGAATAACATACCATTCCACCCATGGCATGGACACCACGCCTATGGCATGTCCTGATGAGGAGATCAGAGTAACTCTTCATGAAGTGTTGAGTCATACCAACTTGAACCCTGTCTGGCAACAATCTATCCAGGTGACCTTGAAATGTCTTAACATAGCTAAAAATGTAATCCCATCGTCCACAGTTTAGACCAACAGAGTGATCTCTAAGCTCATAAAGGATTTCATCCATTTGGAAGACAGCTGTAAGTGTTTCAATTAGAACAGTTGCCCTGATGCTTCCTTTTTCTATTCCTGCCATCTTTTCTGCCTTCTCAAACACAAAATTCCATATTTTAGCTTCCCTGCCAATAAGGTAACTTTTCTATCACTTTCCTGAATCCAAACTGTGTTTTTCTTTTGTACCAATTGTACAGTTACAGTTTTAGTTCACCTCCTAAAAATTCTTGCAGTTGTCTTTCAAAGCAACATGTCAAGAAAAATACTTAAATTGATCTAGTTGCTGGCCTTTGAAAACGGAGAAAAGCTTTACCTTGAATTCTCCATCTTAGGAAGATAGAAGAAGGGCCCAAATCCTTCACCCAGAGTGTTGCGGAAAGAGGCATAGTTGTGGTAAAAATAAAGGCCAAAATCCACAAGACAACCAGTTGCAGGCTCCCCATCAATGAGAATGTGAGCCTCAGGTAGATGCCAACCTCGTGGACGAACAAACAGCTTAGCTATCTTGTCATTGAGCTTGTAAACCCTGTTCCTGGCCCTGTCATGGAAGGTTATTGTTCCATCCACAGCATCCTTTAAGTTAATTTGACCCCTTATAAGATTTTCCCAACTTGGTGAGAGTGCATCTTCAAAATCAGCCTATCAAAAACCAATCAAATTATCAGCAAACTTTTTACTCTTGCAACAATCAATATAATCACTTACCATAAACACTTTAGCTCCAGAGTTGAGAGCGTTGATGATCATCTTCCTCTCCACAGGACCCGTAATTTCCACCCTTCTGTCAGCCACAGCTGGTGGGACTGGTGCACAAGTCCACTGCCCTTCTCTGATGTACCTTGTAGCTGGATCAAAACCCGGCAATGCCCCTTCATTATACCGCCTTTTCGCTTCCTTGCGACACTCCATTGCATACTTGATATGGTTCCTGAACTCCCTCTGCAAATCAGCCACAAATTGCAAAGCATCCTTTGTCAAAATCTTACCAAACTCTTCATCAAATCGACCCCGAACGTCTACTCCTTCAGGGACATTATAAGCATTGATCTTCCTCGCAGCTGGCGCACTACAACCGTAAGTCCCAAGGCCAATCATCTTGTTGTCTTTACACTACTAAAGCTGGAATCGAATGGTTTCTCGAGTGTGCTTGCAATGTGAGAAACTCAGAATTATATATATAGAGACAATGAGAGAGCAAGTGGATAGCTACATTGAGCGTTATCGTTTGAATTTTTTTCCTTACTCAATTCACTTAACCGAGTCAGCAAGTTAATCGGTAATGGCATTTTGCTTCGGTGGTTGAGGCGTGTCCGCTATTACGTCTTGTTTGAACAACCGACTGTCATGAAATGAAAGCGTTTTTTTTTCCTATTTAGAGGTTTGCATGGCTTTATGTGCGTAAACAGTGACGCCAGTCATTTGATCAAAAATGGCAGCGCAGGGTATGATAGATGAATTGTTTAGAGTTGTGTGCCTTCCTCGGGATGTGCAATTTGTAAGGATATGAATATGATGGCTGCATTCTACATTTTCTGCCATGAAATTTCGGAAAAGATGAGATTGAACTTTACCATGCGTCAGTTGATCCAAACCAAATGTTGGGCTGTATGAAAATTTTAGCTTAGATAGATTTACACCTTCATTTGGTTAAAAAATTTCCAACATAAGCTCAGACCAATAAAGATGTGCTTACCTCTAACTTCCAAGCCCAAGGACAGTGTTTACTAGTTGTTTGTGTTGTGCATCTTGAGTCTGAGTAAGCTGGGGTCCAAGGGGAACAAGCCAATCCATGAAAAATGGATCTAAAAGTTTGAGTGGAAAGTTATATGAACGTGTTGCGGTATGAAAATGATATAAAAAATTAAAATTTTATTAAAATTATAAATAAATTTAATAAAAATAAAAAATATATTTAATATTTAATATATTAATATAAATTATGATACAATAAATTTTAAATTTTATACATATTTAAAATAAAATAAATATCATATAAATATATAAATTATCAAATATTAATTTGTCACTACCCAAGAAAGTCGAGATTTGAGGTTAAAACAGGCCTTGTTTTTCCGATGGGGCTATGGCTTCTTCTAATTCAGTAACAGCCCCGCATTGACCAGTTGCCATACCCATGCCCAAGCAAAAGCCTACCTATGGCATTGCTCTTTTCAAACAAATTACAATTTGGACTGAGCTTGCAAGCCCAAATTTCCAGTATAAAAACTTATCTTGAGTCCAGTTTTGCAAAATTGGCCCAAACCGAAATTATGTTGGGCTTCTAAGCCCATTTGGCTGATACTCTAAAATGGTAACCCTAACTTCCCTAACGCGCTTTCTATAAATTACAACGAGGGTTAGGGAGTATAATCGTGAGGTCAATGCGTTAAACGAAGAAGCGTTCGCAGCGATCGTGTCCCGATTCTCTGTTTCTCATTTTTTCTGATTTTCTTTGCGTGTGGTTTCCGTCTCTCTCTCTCTCCTGTTCTTTCTGGTAAGATCTTCAAATACCTCTGATTTATCTGAGGTCAGGTCAGATCCGCCAAAAGAAGCACAGAATTTTCAAGTTCTAGGGTTTTTGATTGTCGTCATCTATTTTCTGTTTGATCGTTTGTTTTTTACTCTGATTAATTGCCATATCTGAAAATCTACGGTGTGGTCTTTGTTTTGCTCGTTTGATATTGCTATTGTTTGTTTTTGTGTGTTTGATTGGGGGATTTGTTTGGTTTAAAATTTGAGTCTTGAAATTTTTTTTTATTGAGAAGTGTTGTTTGGTTCTTGATTGGTATGGCGGCAGGGCGAGTTGATGTTCCAAGGAGAAGTGATGTTGGGAAATTGAATCGGGTTTATGGTCATGTTCATGCTATTCCCGATAAGAATGGATACGATAACCCATCTAATGGGAGGAATTTGGTTGCTTGGCATAAGAATGGGTTCAACTTGGCTCCTAGGCGATGGGGGTTAGAGGATGTTGTGAGAGTTAAGAATGATGTAACACGGATATTGGATGATGGGGCTCAGCAGCCGCCACAGAAAAAGAGGAAGTTTTCCCCTATTGTTTGGGACCTAGAAGAGAAGGAAGTAAGAATTTCGTCTAGGAACAGAGTTGTATCGGCAGCTACCACTCTGTCATCTCATCCTTCACCTTGCAAGTTGTCAAATATTGTTTCCAATCAGGCTGTTAAGAAGCAACCAGTCAATGGAAATCTGATTGAGGAGGTGGAGCATTTGCCACCTAAGTCTCCACTGGCTGATTTTGGTTGTGTTTTATATCCTTCACAGCCCTGTCAGCAATTTCAGGATAATGAACAAGGACAAGATTTGATGGGAAAAGAAAATTGTCAAGCGCCTAACATATTCACGTCACGCTGGGCATCTGATAGTGATGATGAAGATGGGTCTCAAAGCGAAGAAAAGATTAGGAGTTCGAGTCTTGAGAGTGGGGAGTTTGAAAGAGATGAATTTGAAGGAGACCGGGTATTGTCTAACCAAAGAAGCTGTAGTGTACTGTCTGCATGCCAGGACGAAGATATGGAGTGTAAGTTGGACTCTAATGGTGTGATGGACATTGATGATATGCGTGATGAAGATGCTGTTATGGAGCAGTCAGATTTAGATGTTGAAGAGCCAGCAGGAAGAAGTGTGAACATGCTTCTGGGTTGCAGAAGTGTTTTTGAATATGAAAGATTGAACAAAATAAGTGAAGGTACTTATGGTATTGTTTATAGAGCTAAAGATAAGATGGGAGAAATTGTGGCCCTGAAGAAGGTAAAGATTCTTGACCGAAGAGATTTAGAAGAATATGGTTTCCCTTTAACATCATTGAGGGAAATTAACATTCTTGCATCTTTTCACCACCCTTCAATTGTGAAAGTTAAAGAAGTTGTTGTAGATGACCATGACAATGTTTACATGGTTATGGAGTACATGGAACATGACTTCAAGGGGCTAATGGATTCTATGAAACGGCCATTTAGTACAAGTGATGTTAAATGCTTGATGCAACAGCTATTGGAGGGCGTCAAATATCTTCATGATAATTGGGTGCTCCATAGGGATTTGAAAACATCCAATCTTCTCTTGAATAACCAAGGTGAACTCAAAATATGTGACTTTGGTATGGCACGCCAGTATGGAAGCCCCCTAAAGCCATATACAACCAAGGTGGTTACTCAATGGTATAGGTAAGTTGCATTCTTTGTATTTATTTTCTTTTTACAGTTTTAATTTTTATGAATTTGAGATTATCTATGTTTGATTTCTGCATCTCAGAGCACCTGAACTTTTACTTGGAGCAAAGAAGTATTCAACAGCAGTTGACATGTGGTCTGTGGGCTGTATAATGGCTGAGTTGTTAGCTAAGGAACCCTTGTTCAAAGGGACTAGCGAAATTGATCAGCTTCGCAAGGTAATTATTGTTTCTATTGAAACTTTAATCTTTCTTTTATTTTATGGCTATTATTTTGTTTTCTGATGTTTTGTTATGGTTGATTGTTGCAGATCTTTGATACTCTTGGTAATCCAAGCGAGAAGATCTGGGCTGGGTTTTCTGAATTACCAGGGGCCAAGGCAAATTATTCTAAGCAACCGTGAGTATATCTCTGGACAATTACTCCCATCTAAATTGCTACTATTTATTATGGTTTTCTATTTGTTCAGTATTTATTGATTACCATGACATGTGATTTGCATTTTAATGAGTAGTTGTTTTTGGTTTCTTTTTCCAGGTATAATTTGTTGCGTAGAAAGTTTCCTGCAGCATCTTTCATAGGATCTCCAGTTCTTTCTGATACTGGATTTGACCTGTTAAACAGGCTTCTTACTTATGATCCTGAGAAGGTAAATTTCCATAAGTTTCAAATATTAATTTCTTAACTTTTAGTTATATATTTATTGTATTGGTTTCAGCTATCAAAGTTTCTGTTATCTGTGCAGAGAATAACAGCAGATGATGCTCTTAATCATGATTGGTTCCGTGAGCTTCCTCTACCAAAATCTAAGGAATTCTTGCCTACTTTCCCCCCAAAAATGTGAATGGAACAGGTATCTTGGCCTGATTACTGAAGCTGGACATACCGAAAATCATATTTAGGCTGCATTTTAAGTTTGCAGTCATAGCATTTTCTTGATTTTGTTCCAATGAATCTTAGGCATATACAAGGAACCATGAAGAATCTCAATCCAATGCAGTAGTGGTAAAAAAATTTTCCATCCATTGCTAGTGCCGTGGGACAGGCAGACTGGTGCATACAGGCAATTGTATCTTAGACAGATGATTGACCAGAGGTGAGGTGCAACAGTTAAATGTTTGGGTGGCAAAATATTGTGAGAAACTGATATCATCCTTTGGCAGGCACATACATGACATGCTTGTAGAGATTAATATTTTGAGGTGGTTGAGTTACAGCCTTGCACAATCCAGTTATTAGTTTGGATGATTTTGCGTTGAATTGTAATGGTCCTTAGCTGCGATTGAATATGAAGGTTCAGCTTATCGACAATGGTTCATCTCCTTGATATTGTATCAGATTGTAACTCATGAAAAATTCTTTACAACATTTAAATTTTCTTTTTTTATTCCAAAACTGGTGCTTACATTGTTTCCTTCAATTTTTTCACACTGCTTGCAAGAGTCTACTGATGTTTTGAAGCGAACAGCATTGGTCTTTCCTGCTTATGAGCAGTAAGTTTTGCGCACTCAAGGTGCTTTGGAAATGAATTAGTTGATCTTTTAACTTGTGAGATTTCTGTTTTAAGTGTTGCAGCAGTTGGGAGGTTTGCAGCCTGCACGTGTATACATAATCACTTTGTGTGCGAGTAAGATGCTATATGCATTGTTCATATTATCTTTTCCTTTGGTGATATCTTCCCTAACAATGACAAATTGTTAATATATATATAAATTATGACTAAGAATTGATGTTATCTGGCAAGGGGATGGTGATATTGATGATGCAGAGGAGGTTCTGATTAACATGCAGGTGTTACTGCTGGGGAAAATATAACAGAACCATGAGTATAGGAGGCTTGTTCTCTTTCTTTTCTTTTTCCCTAGTTATTTCTTTTATGTTTACATTGTTGTGATTGAATTCTTACTATTTTTACTCTCTCGAGTGTCTGCAAGATACCTTTCTGGAAAAAAATATTGGTTACAAGAAGATTTCATTTTTCCAAATTTGGAATATGTTCATACTGAACTTGGGAGATGGTTCTAGCGGTTGCTGCTAAAGCATACCCCTCATGGCCTGTGTATAAATGTAGATTCTAGTACTATATTTATTGTTGTAATGCATGGTTGAAATGCTCATCTTTGCCTCTTCTAGTTTCGGTAATAGTTGTCAGAATCCTACAAGTTTGAATCTATTGATGGAAAATTATTATTCTCTTAATTTGAATATTATGATTCTTGGATTTGTTCATATCATATATGAAGCTTAGGATTTTAACAATTTTAACTTAAAATTACATTCAACTAATCCAATTAGATATGGTGAACTGTTTCTATTATGACAACTATTCTTTAGTTTTGGGTTTGTATATTGATTATAGAAGAATAGGATAATTACCAAGAGTGTTTTAGCATCCAGTTATCGTATGAGTTAAGTTGCTTGAAAATTTTGTTAGATCTGCATATGTTTGTCATCATTCTATCTACCCCTCTAAACTGTATGTGCCAAGCATTTTCCATGTTGGTGCTGAACCTTTATTTGTTTTGTAAAGAGTGCTGAACTAATTTTTTCATGTAGGAGTTATTGAAAAAAAGAAGAGGCTTTAAAAATTGCAAGGAAAAAATGGGTGGTGCTCATAAAAGGCTTACCATCTTTATGACCAGTAAAAAAAAAAAAAAATGATGGCCATAAAATTTGAAACTCTCTCTTGGTTTTGGAAGTTATTTTTCTCAAAAGAGAAGAACCAGTGAAAGCTCGATGAAAAGATGGTGGTATGATGATTTGTGTCTTTAAACTGTTGCTTTTCCTGGGATGAACTGCAAATACATAACTTAACAGTAAGGTAGCTTTAGTGAATCGTTTATCAAAACCAGAATAATAAAAAATAAAAGGGGAATATTGGATGGTCTGGGTTGGCTGTCGTGGCTGTCGTCATGGATGTCTTCTTATTCTGAAAGGGGAAAATACTGAATGGTCTGGGTTGTTGTAGTTGTTGTTGCAGTTTCTTGTGCTATGGCTCACTGTTGCTATGGAGAGAAAAGGCATACTTGATTTGAAGTGGATTCAACACTTGTGCAGCACATGCAATATTAAAGTCTAGAAGCATTTGTGTATATATTCTTGGTAGAGGAGCTATTAATATCCATGATTTTTTCCCTCCTTGCATTATTCAGCTATTGTTGTAAGAAATAAGACTTTAAACAGAGCATAGATGAACTTTTATGGCTGGCTTAACCAATAGCATTATTAAGAATTAGCTTATTAAATGCCAAATGGAAACGTGTCAAGGGAATTTCATTTCAATTTGAACTGTAATCGATATAACCAGCCAGCAGTGATAAACAAAGCTTGAAGCAAGATGCGAAGAAAGTTTCCATGTTTATTGCAGGTCCTTCTCAAAACCCGGCAAAATCTCGTGTCGTGTATTCCAGATATGGTTTATAATTTAGACAAACCACCAGCAAGAGAATGATTAACCAACTCCCTTCTCAAGATCTTTCCTGCTGGAGATTTTGGAATAGAATTGATAAATGCAATTCGTCGGATCTTCTTGTATGGTGCAACCTGCAAGAACAAAAAAAACCGGCTCCTAGTATCAGGTTGTCTGCATATACAATTAAGAAGCCTAATACACCAAAAGAAGAAAAAAAAAAAATATATATATATATATATATATTTTCTGTTGCTATTTTAGAAGCATGCCTGTTTTGCAATGAAATCCATGACTTGAGCCTCAGTGATGCTACTTCCAGGGTTTCTTACTACATAGGCCATGGGAATCTGCCCTGCTTCTTCGTCAGGGTACCTGCTCTCAGATATAACGAAGTGATATGAGGATAATAGGTGAAACTACCATCACAACAGAAGTGCTAGATCAACTTAGGAACCGTGAACCACCATGCTATCATATATTCCTGGAACTTACCGGTCGAGGCTGATGTTATTACACCTCAAAAAACATAGATTAAAAACTACTCTGATAATTAATCTTAAACTTTTTCACTCACTTAGACGCTCCAAAAATGTTGGGCAAGAAAACCGTGTTCAGAAATGTGAACTGGTTTGCAAGTTGTGTCTTTGCTAGAATAAAGAGTCATAGCGACAAAAACAAAGTCTAGCCTTCAGAGACAGTCATTCACAAGAAAAATAAAGAAAAAGAAAACTCAACACATACGGAATCACAGCTGCATCAGCAATTTCAGGATGGGAATGAAGTATATGTTCCAATTCAGCTGGAGGGACCTGCAATTTGGTTTAGATATAATGAGATTATTTTGTTCAAAAACATAGAAGGAACACTCCAAATCACATTCTCTTAAAGATTGGAAGTAGGGATTCAAAATTCAGGGTGACTGATTCACCTGATATGCCTTGTATTTGATTAATTCCTTCAATCTATCTACAATGTAGAGAAACCCCTCGGAGTCAAAGTAACAAATGTCACCAGTTTTTAACCAGCCTTCTGAATCCAAGGTTTCAGCGGTTGCCTTCTCATCACCTACATAACCTGCATTGACTCCCATTATTTCACTTATGAAGGAATAAGCTTTTATAAGAGCGTTTGCTAATTAAATATGGAGTTTCGACTGCAATATGTAAACGAATGAATTTCACATTTCTCACAGCTTTTATACTTCCAATGAAGCCAGCCAAAAAGAAGCATTCTATGAATATGGAATTTTCCAAATTTATGTCCATGCTTACAAAAACCAAGCTTCCCAAATCAAAAAGGTAAGAATTGGAAAATGACAGGGATCAATGATACGAATGCAACATATTCAAATTTATGTTTTTTTTTTCTTTAGTCAATCTGTCTGTCTTCAAAATAAATTTATAGGCCTAGAGATCATATCATAACACAAGTTAGGCAACCAAACTTTATGGAGAAACCTAACTTCCTACTGCAATCCACTACATTTTTTTTGGTTTCCATTCCCAAGAATATGCAAGTCTGTCTAGCAGCACATTTACTCATTTAGACACTAAAATAAAGCCAGAAAGAGTAATACCCTTCATTACTGTTGGCCCTCGCAACCATAGTTCCCCTCTCTGTCCAGGAGGAAGGACCTCCCCAGTTCCAGGATCAACAATCTTGGCTTCCATGTTTTCAGCAAGGCGGCCAACAGTCCCATACCGAGCTGCCTCCTCTGGCCCTATCACCCTAGTTGCACCTCCTCCTGTCTCAGTCAGCCCATATCCCTTAACACAAAGAAAATGAACCAAAACAATAGTATTAACATTCACCCAAAGAAGATAGTACTAATTTGACATTTTTAGAACTCTTTTTAAAGTACTTTTCCATTACTTAATGCATGTGTTCAAAGAACAGGATTCGAATCCTCTCTTTCCAAAAGAAAGTCAAACGAAAAGCATAGATAGATAATTACTGCATAAACCATCAACTACTAAGAATCATCATGTTGATAGACATAAATCAAAATTTCCATACATGTATATTTGGGAAATTTAAGATTGATGTTGAGATGATCATTGTAGTATTTTAATTTGTTATTAAGCCGGCATTATAGTAGAAAAGATGACAGCAGTTGCTCCTTGGTTAGTTACAAGTACATTTCTTACTTGAATAAGTTCCACGGTGGGGAATTTCTCCTTGAACTGCTCAGCGACCTCCTTGCCAAGCGGAGCTCCACCGCATCCGAGCAGCAGAAGGGAGCTGAGGTCATACTTCTTAGTCAAATCTGATTTAATAAACGCCACGACAAGCGGCGGGGAGACCGGCATGTAAGTTATCTTGTACTTCTCTATGGCTCTCAACATTCCCTCAAATTCAAATCTCTCAGTGAAAACCGCAGTTTCTCCCATCGAAAACGCCCTCGCCAGCATGAAGAACCCGAACACGTGAAACAAAGGCACCGTGAAAAACGACACCGGGTGCGGCGCTTCCTCCCCCTGGTGAAATTGCCGTAAGTGGTAAAACCCGGCAATTAATGCTATTAGGTTCAGGTGACTCAGCATTACGCCCTTGACTCGCCCGGTTGTCCCAGAAGAATAAAGTATCGCTGCTGCGTCGTGCTGACTCACCTGGACTTTGTTGATGACGTCGTCATCGACCTTGGGTTGAGCTAAGAAAGAGAGGAACTCAGGCGAGTCAAGGAGGACAGTTCCGAGTTTGAGAAATGGAAGCTTGGAAGACGTCTTCGAGGTGGCGAAGGCAATGACGGGTTTACTGAGTTGAACCTGGTGAGTAATCTCCGACTCGGAACCCAGCGGGTTGCCAGGAGAGACGACGATTCCTAACGACAGAAGAGCGAAGTAAAGCAAAGGGACATGTAGCGAAGGAGGGGAGAGAATGAAAGCGACGTCGTTTTGGGAAAGCGAATAGTTTTTCCGGATGGAGTAAGCGAGGGAATGGATTTGAGCGATAAATCGGGAGTACGAGAGGGTGTGACCGCTAGTAGCATCGACGATGAAAGTGGTGTCGCCGCCTCTGGGGGTGGTGGAGGAGCGGAGGAGGGAGAGGGCATACTGAGGGAGGGAGAGAGGCTGCGAAGGCGGAGGGAGAGGTACGTGTGGTCTGAGACTGTGGTACGTTGCTGTTTGGGGACAGAAGCCGGTGTTTGGATCTATCGAATGGCGGGGATTGGCTACTGCTTTTGCCATGGCAGTGAGTATTATGTGGCTGCAGTGACTTTTCACTTACCACTGTTTGCAAAAAGGTCTCTGAAGTTGACAAAAGTAACGAGAAAAGGACTGATCGTTTTCTAATTTTTTAAATATTTTTTGTAAGTTAATGACGTTTATTTTTTCTGGTTTCTCGACGGTTTAATTATTGCAAGGTAAATGCCCAGAACAAATGTAATCATGGCAGAATCTGAGAAAAGAGTTTTTACTACAGAATTTATAATCAGGGATTAATCAAATTTTTTATGAATTTTTTATTTTAATTAAATAATTATAGAATTATAATTCAAATTTAGACAAAATTTACCCAAATTTTCATTTTTTTAAAACATAAATTATAATTTGATTGAAAAAATTAGACAAAAAAATCGTTGAAAATGGAATCTTTAACTTTAAAAATTAATCTTTTAATGACTGTCTGGTATTAGGTGATATATAAAAAAACTACATCAACTGTTTTAGAGAGTGATATGTTTTCAACTTAAAAGTTGAAAAAAATTTATCATTGTAAAAAAATAACTTTTAATCTTATTTTTTGATTAATTTACATTGATATAAGATGTACTTAAAATTACCGTAAAAAGCTTATTAGTAAAAATTTTCAAAATTCTATTTTTTGATAATTAATTTAAAAATATTTATTACAATTGACTAAATGTTTATTGATTATAGAAATAATGAATTTATTTAATAATTTTTTATAAATGAATTTTCATCAAATGTAATTTATTCTTTATAATTTTTTATAAAATAATATTTAACTATTTTATAAAATATTAATTCAATAAGTATTAAATTTTTTATTTTTTTATAAAATTATTTTGGATTACCTTACTATATATTTGGATACATATAAATAAAAATAAATAAAATAAAATAAAAGAAAAAAAATTAAAAGAAATGAAATGATACATGTACTCATTGTTTGTATAGTTAAAATTAATAAAAAAAATAAACAAAATTATAATAATTATTATTTGGATAAATACTGAAAGTAAAAGAGATAATTCATTATATTATTTGTTTTCAATTATAAACTTTTTTTTTTATAAAATAACATATAATTACAAATATATTTTTATACTACTTGTATAAATAAATCTTTTTAAATAAAATTGAATATGTTTAATAAGATAAGATGTATTAGTTAGTTATTGATTTACGCTTAATTTTGTATTTAATTCAACTTTTTAGTTTATTCCAATAATAATTTGGCTTGTTTATTTTTAAGATTTAAAAAATTATAAAATATTTATAAACTTTGATGTTATATAAAATACTCATAAAAAATTATTTTTGTAAGAAATGTCAATTATTTAATTAAATTTAATGTTATAATAAAAATATAGATATAATAATCTTTTTACAAAAATAAAATTTTTTTAACTTTTATTTCTTTAACTTTTTTCCCAATTTGAGATATTAAAAAAGTAAAAATTATAAAAAAAATTAAAGGTTATTAAATTTTTATCTTTTTTTTCTTTAAATTAAAATTTTATTCAAATAAAAAAGAAAAATTTTCTGTTTTCATTATTTTTCTTTATTTTCTTTAGCTTTATTTTCTCTCGCCTCAATCCAAACATAATATTAAAGAAATAAGTGCATTTTTTATAATAACTTTCCATTTTTTATTTAATAAATAAAAATTTATATATATTTTGAAGATTAATTACAAAATATCAATTAAAATTAAAATTAAAATTTATTAAATATTAATTTTAAAAAATAATTATACCAATAAATTAAATTAAGCCAAGCATTTTAGTTAATAGGAATGGCGAACTTTATAGTAGGACTAATTCACCATTAGTTTTTATTTTCATTCGTTCAAACTTCAAACTGCTAGTGAAAGAGAAAAGAAAACGATTAAACATTAAAACTAGATAAATAAATAGAAAATACCTGCAGCAATATCACATTGGGAAACTTCTCGTTGAACCGCCAAGCAACCTCCTTGCCAAGCGGCGCGCCACCGCATCCAAGCCCTTGAAGCGAGCTCAGGTCATACTTTTTCGTCAAATCTGATTTAACAAACGCTAATACAAGCGGCGGTGAAACCGGCATGGCAGTGACCTTGTACTTTTCGACGGCTCTCAGCATTTCCTCAAACTCAAACCTCTCCATCAAAACCACTGTATCTGCCGATAAAACCGCCCCTAACAACATAAAGAAACCGAACACGTGGAACAATGGCACCGTGAAAAACATCACTGACCGCGGCGGCTTCTCATTATCTGCGCTTTCGGTTGTGTTGTAGTGATGAATCGCCGCCATCATTGCGATAAGGTTTCGGTGAGTCATAATCACGCCCTTGACTCGCCCGGTGGTTCCTGAAGAATATAAGATCGCAGCCGAGTCAGACTGCTTTACCTTGACTCTTTCAATAGTGTCGTTATTAATATTGGACTGAGTTAAGAAAGAGAGAAACTCGGGAGAGTCGAGGAGGATTGTTCCGTGTGTGAGAGATGGAATTTTATGAGAGGTTTGTGAAGTAGCAAAAGCAATAACTGGTTTACTGAGTTGAATCTGGTGAGCAATTTCCGATTTGGAGCTGAGTGGGTTGGCGGGACAGACAGTGATTCCCAACAACATGAGAGAAAAGTAAAGCACGGGGATATGAAGAGAAGGAGGGGAGAGAATAAAAGCGACATCTTCTTGGGAGAGAGTATAGCGTTTATGAAGCGAGTAAGCGAGGGAACGTACTCGAGAAACGAATTGAGAGTAACTTAGCGCTTGACCGGTGGTTGCATTGGCGACGAAAGTAGTGGCGCCGTCGGTGGAAGTGGAATGGAATAGGGAGAGACAATATTCGGCGACGGAAAGTGGTTGACTAGTCGGCGGAAGAGGGATAGGCGGTTTTTGGCAACTGTAAATTCCTGTTTGGTAACAGAATCCGGTGTTTGGATCCATTGAACGGTTTGGATTTGTTTCCGCCATGGAAATGGAGATGTAGGTTGATCAGCAGATAAAGGCGAGGATGAAAGAGGCTGTTGGGTTTAGTTTAGGACTTCAATTACGTCTCAAAATTGGATTTTGCGACGCCTTTGTTAAATTAAATGCACAAATGCAGTATTAGACAATGTTTCGAAAAAAATAGAGTTTTAAGTTTGGACCTGTCCTTTTTGGAAAATTTTTATTAAAATTATTAAATAAAACTAAAATAAAAAATCTAAAATATTATGTTATTTTATATAAATAAAAGGTATAAAATTAAAAAAAAAACTAATATATTTTTGTATATAATAATGTTTATTAAAAAATTTTACTTGAATAAATATGAATCAAATTTAAATTATAAATAATATTTTTATATATTATTAATTTTATTAATTTACCTATTTAAATTATTTATTAAATTATTTTTACTAAAAATTTAAGTAACATTACTTGAGTTTTGCCATGTTATCAAAGCATATCGTTTTTCTCGTTTTAAATGTTTTAAGTAAAACTCTATACTTTGAAAAAGTACCCAAAGCCAAACATGTATTATTTACTCTCGGGGAGAAAAACATTCTCTTTCGTACGTTGTCTGAAGTCTTAAATGTTTGTTTATAAGTGATAATTAATTAAATTAATTAAAATTTTCCAATAATTTTTTTATTTTAAGAAGTTTTTATTAGATGTAAATTACAAATACATAAACATAAAACCTAAAAGTATTAAATTTTCTTGCATTAATTGCACGGATTTTAATTTTTTAATAAGCTTACAAAAATAAAAAATTACGATTATAAGTAAATATTGCATAGATATAAAATAATTATTAAATTAAATTAATCTATAAATTGAATTATTCAATATAAATTTGATCAAATTTGAATAAGATGAATTTACCTCAAAATTTTAAAATTTTCTTTTTACGATTACTAAATCAGATCGCACATAGATTTTGATTCTTAAAATTACCAAATTGAGAGGAAAAAGTAAATGCAAATGGTTAAAAACTCAACGGAGAACATGGTTTTGTAACGTGGACAACTAAGCATTTAATGTCGGATTGGGGGATTGTTGGTTGAAAGTCAAAGCGCCTTATATGACTGATGACTCTTTCAGTTTTACCAATTTTCAATTGCTGGCAGTAATTGTCGCGAAACGGTTGGCAGGTTATTCTAGAAATTATGCCGTTTCGTGCGTGGACGTCGGCACGGACATGGCCTGATGGTCGCACGGTCAGCATTCACCAGTTCGCTGCCTCAGCCCTCTGAGTATATTTGGCATATCAGACTATTTGCGTTCATATTTTGTTTGAGTTGAAAGAGACTCCCAACCGACGTTAAATATGTGGGACCCTTTGTAATTAATTTCTAGAGAAAAAGACAAAAATGTAAGTGGTTGATCGGATCACATTGGGTCGGTGATATTTTTTTAGTAAACTAATAATAAATATAATAAATTAAATAAAAATTAATTATTTTATAATAAAATTTTTTGTTCAGAATCAAATTCGAATTGGATTTTATATGTGATTCAACTCGGGAATAATTGTCCAGATAAAAATATTGAGATTGAAATATTTTTATTATTATATATATTTATATATTAATTATTATTATATTTATACTTAAGATACCGTAAATTAAACTCTGAACTAATCTTTCAATTCACTAATGGTTACTAATTAACTATCAATTTATGATTATCATAAAGAAATTAAGAAAAAGTAAATGTCACTTATAAGCTTTTGCCGATCAAAACTTAGGACTCATTTGATATATACTTTCAATTTTTTTCTTTTGTTATTTGTTTATAAAATTTTTTTCATTTTTCATTTTTTTCTATTATTTTTTATAAAATAAAAATAAAAACATTTTCCAAGCAAAAAATAAGTTAAATTATTCAAATCCCATATATCCCACTCAACTATTGAAAAATCTTGTTTACATGTATAGGAAGTCGTAATTTTTTTTTTGTAATTTTCTTATTTGACCCCAATAAAGTCTAACAATAACTTAAAATGAAGGGTCAAAAAAGTAAATTTATTAAAATTTTTTATGATCATAATGAGCAGTATATATGTAAAAAAATCTTTAAAATTTTTTATATAATATTAGTATAAATATGATCCTACATTATTAAGCTTTAAAATGTAACGTGGCACAACATTAAAATATAATTTTTTTATATCATGTAAATATATATTTATGTTTTATTATCATAAATATTATTTTTTAAATTTATACTTATTTAAAACTATCAATTACTCTTATATTTAAACACGTGTTTCTTTTTTGTTTGGAAGGTAATCGAAATACGTGCATAAAAACTTATAAAATTTAAGAATAATTATATTTTAAGCATGATAGTATTTTATTGTAATAATTTTTTAAAATAATGAAATAATATATAATTTTTGTTATCTATTTAAAATCTTTAAATTTATCATAAAAATTTATTTAATAAAAAAAATGATCATATTATATAATATGATTCACTGAAAAATTTTTCTGATTAAGCCAATGGCATTTAGAGTCCATTTAAGAGTTTGGTTGTAGGACTCTCACCATATAAAAAATGTATTTTATGATTGGACCGACCATTAATCTTTGGATTTTAAATTGATACAAATCCTTGGTACAGGGTGAAAATATTTAAAGATAAGGGGTGCCAAATAGAAAACCAAAAATATTGTCGTAAACACCTAAACAGAGTGGTTTCAAGGGTTTTTCTGAGCCACCGTGTCCTACGCAAATACTCACCACAATCAGCCGATAAACGACAAGGTTGCAGAGGATGCCTCGCACGACCACCGTTGAGTGCCCCGGTTGTCCTCCATTTCGAGCCTTGACTTTCGATGCCCTTGGTCTCATCAAAGGTTTTTGATTTATATCATCTTAACTAACTTTAACAATTCATTCAGACGATTGAAATCGTCACTAGTGTTTCCTTTTCTATTGTCATTGATGAATAGTAATCGAAGCTCGAGGTAAAGGAGGAGGAGTTCCTCAAGTGGTAGACAGATGGGGAGATCCTGACGCTTCCAAATGTGTGCTTGCCGCTTGCATTGATGACCGCAAAACCGACCCAGTGAGTTGTTTGGTTTTAAAACAAAAAGAATCAACATGGGTATTGAGAAATAAGTTTTTTATATTGAAATTTTGATTTTTTTTCTTTGCAGTTACTAGCTGTTGCGAGAAAGAGTGGTGTGGTGAGCAAACCTCCTCGTTCTTCTCCAATCCTAGTAGTTCAAGGCTTTAGTATGATTTGTGTTGAATATGTCTTTGTTCTATGTATATACTGCAGATTGAAGTACTTAATCCCCTGAATGGTGAACTTTCTGTTACGGTTTCCAATGTTAGTAATGTTGGTGTTAGACCAGAAGATGATGCTATTGTTGGTTTGCATTTATTCAGAAGACGGAGAATGGAGTTAACATCCAGGTGTAGTTGTATTGTTACTGTTTTCTGAGTTTATTTCAGTGTTAATGAAAACAGGTTCCTCCACTGGTCCTCCCGCCTCTCCTTCAGACTAAGTTGTGGTTACAGATTTTGTGTGCCTTTCTTATTTATGTAATTTACTGTAGATACTGACATAGATGGTTATTGGTGGTCACAGTTCCTTTACTTAAATAACACTGTTGATATATATGAATTGATCATTCTCAGGTTATGCACTTTGCTCACATGTACAACAAAAGGAAATGCAAGCATAAAAACTGTTGATATGACTGATTCTCCAGCATATTCTGGTTCCCCGAACACATGGAATGTATGTGCCTCCGGTAATATCCAATGTTCTCAAGTGAATGGAAGTGAAAACTATGCCTTATTTGGAGGGTGAGTGTGTTTAGGTTGTATGACTCTGCATGAAAGCTTTGGACTTGATTTTATCTGCATTTGCTGATTGGGTATTTTCATACTCAACTGGATTATTGTTAGTTTGGTAGATAAGATTGATTCTTTTCTAATTCAGGAAGGGTGTTGAAGTTAATATGTGGGATCTTGACAAATGTGCTAAGATTTGGACAGCAAAACCAGTGAGCCTTTTCAACCTCTCCAATTTAATTAAAATAAAATAATTTATATTTTAGCAACTTCCATGTTTTCATTTTCTTAATGCATTCCATCTTGGACAGCCTCCTGCAAACAGCCTTGGTATTTTTACCCCTACTTGGTTTACATCTGCAACATTCCTCAGCAAAGATGATCACCGTAAAGTTGTGGCTGGTACCAATAGTCATCAGGTAATCTCTTGTAGCCATCAGGTAGTTCTTGAACATATATATTGACATGTTAGTATAACTTTGATTCTGCAGATGTATATACAGAATGCATTTTTTTTTTCTGAAGGAACTTTTATGGTGGATTGCTTATTGCCAGTTTCTACAACTATTTTTTATTCGGAAATATTAATGCGTGTTGGTTCAAGATATTCACAGATTAATTTCAGTTCAATTTTGAAAATGGGCTTTTCGAACTTTTTTAGCTATAGGTTTATGTTTATGTGATTTCATATATAAAAACTAATTGAATATGAAAGAACATGGAAACAGCAAGTTTTTTTTTTTTTTTTCTTTTATCAATTTTATTTGGAATTGTGACTATGGTTGAGTTGAAGTCTTAGGTCTGTGCCAGGAATATGGAATTGAGTTGTTATCATAGCAATGCATTGCATCGTCTAGCTTTATATCAATTTGTGTTTTCTAGACTTTGGATAGTTTTTTTTTTTTTTTTTAATAATTTTTTATGGTTTCCTTGACAGGTTCGCCTCTATGATGTTTCTGCTCAACGAAGACCAGTTATATCATTTGACTTCAGGGAAACCCCTATAAAAGCAGTTACTGAAGACCTTGATGGTCATACAATCTATATAGGGAATGGATCCGGTGACCTTGCTTCCGTGGATATTCGCACAGGTATAAGATTGGTTCCATATGCTTGTTCTGCAATACTTCATGCCATTCTGCATTTTTCATTTCTGATTTTTGGTCGGTCAGTCATTCTCATGGATGAGTTTCAGTTCCATTTTTCTCTATCTGTTCTTAATGAACTTTTGATTGAATGATTTGAAGTGTGTTTTTCCCTGTAATTCTATTAATGGTGGAAGTATTTCCTTATAGGTAAATTGGTAGGGTGCTTTTTGGGGAAGTGTTCTGGAAGCATTCGGTCCATTGCTCGGCACTCTGAACTTCCTGTGATAGCATCATGTGGTGAGTATATGGAGTCTTTTGTTAAACTAATGCTCTTCTAGTGTCAATGACATTCAGAGTGTTAATATTAATTTTGTAGCCTGTGTTTGCACACACATGCTGCACTTTTGTAGCAGGAATTATTTTTTTGCAAGCAGTTCATATGAATGTGACTTGAAGAGCTAGAAAAGGAAGAAAAAGGATTTCTAATGTGACTTAGATGGTTCTCAAAGCTTCTATACTCATTTTCTCCAAACTCTTGTCATGCTATCAATGTTCCCCTCCCTCCCATATCAACTTTAAATATATTCATGTTTGCTTTTTGAAAAATAGTGAATTTGCAATTATTAGCTTCTCAGTTTGTTCTATTATCAGTTAAAGTTAGATTGCTTCTTTTCTTTGGTGGTGGTGGTGCTTACTTTTGATTGGAGGAAGGGAGTTGCTTAAGCTAATGCATTGCCCATTACATTTTTTGGGGCTAAATCTTTTTATACACTCAACAAAACTGACAAACTTGGATATTTTCTAGGTTTGGACAGCTATCTGCGCATTTGGGATATAGGAACAAGACAACTTCTTTCGTCGGTATGTTCTATTCAGACCTAAGAGGATTATAAAGTTCTTGATTGTGGTTAGTAAGTTTGCATAAAAAACACTGCCTACCATTCCTTCAACTGCCTACATTTTTGGGTGCAGGTTTTCCTGAAACAGCATCTTACAAAAGTTGTTTTTGATACTAATTTTACTGATGAAGGTACCTTCTCTCCTTGGAATCTTTATTGTTGACAAAGCTTGGTATCCATGTTCTGTGTGATTGCTTGTCAATATGTCATGTTATTGTTTTTAGTAAACACGGAAGCGGCCTGTTTTAGTGTTTGGCCAGCAAGCAGGTCTCAGCATTGTTTCTTTACAATTTTTCTTTTCAAAAATAAGACCTCAGTCAATGGCATCTTGGTGAATGGCATATTTCCCCCAATAAAATATATGACTAAGATCTAAGTACTAGGTTCTCACAAGTAAAGTGAGTGGGGGTTGCCCATGGATGGGTTGCCCTTTCAGGTATGAAAAGAGTGTTTTAGAGTGTAGGATTATCACCACTAGCTACCATCAAGTAAGTTGCAATCATGTGATGCATATCATTACTTGGAGGTGGAAAATCCTAATGAATCTAGGCTCAAATAGAAAAAAAGGGTTGGGGGTGGATAATTTCCTGAAGGTTTCTGTTTTTCCTTTAGGCTACCAGATGAAAACAGTATTGCTCAGTGATGAGTTTTGGGAAGATTTATAGTTTTTCTTTTGGGGATTAATAGAAGGATTATGTGAGTGTTGGGACGATGGAGCCATTCAGATATGATTTTTATGATATTATGTAACCATATTGCTCTATTGAGTTTGAATGCTAATTTCAATGTCATTTTCTTATGTGCAAGTTAAACACGATGCAACTGATTCGGCTGCGCATGAAGCACAGAGCATGGGTGAAGTCCAGACTGCAGATGAAACTGAAAAACTGCCTAACAAAAGAAAGAAATCATCTAAAGAAAATAAAGGGAGCAAAAACAAGGCATCTAAAGAAAAGGAGGGAAGCAAGAAGTTGAAATCCAAGAAAAGAAGCAAAAGTCTAGAACATGACGTTGCTGATGATGCATAGACAGATTAAAGCCTCAAAGATTAGGAAGGCATGGTTGAAAGTTGAGCAAAGGAAACAGAAACTACACTAGTCCAACAGGATGGCTTAAATTTCTCCAAAAGAAAATGTGTTTAAGAGTGGTGTAATGGTAGTGTTAAATTGGTTATAAACTATTGAAAAGGCCTGTATTTCATCCCAGTCATGAAAAAAATCAGTTTTATTTTCCAAATATTTCTATCTTATTATAACTAGAGCATCGGATTTTACAAGTTAGAAACTGCTCTGAAACAAATGTTGAGTTGCAGCGACATTCAGTCAAGCAAAGTTCAATTTAGCTTTAACTGTAAGTTCTCTCCATGATGAGTGATCATAAACATGACTTTCTTCGTGCATCCTTGCATTTGGATAATTATACATTTATGATCATTGAAAGTTCATTAAAACGCATGCTGCCAAAATCGTCAACAGTGATTGTAGAATTCTAAGTATTGTACCTCTCACAGGTAATGACAAAGACAGCCAATCAAGATTCATTAAACAGTCATTGGCTTAGCAGTCAACGGAATTGCTAGTTGATTCAAGCAATTCTTTATCGGGTAAGTTCATATTACATTCTCAAGGGATCACAACAAAAATCACTGAAGCACGGAAAGGAAAGAAAGGCAGCTGGGAAGGGAAGCTACTTTACTGAGATGAGGCTTCCTCTTTCTTCTCTGACAAATACCTAGAGAACAATAGAACATACTACGTTAGATGTAGTGGCACTTGTTTTTCACTATGAGAACCCATGTGTTTTAACAACTTGAGACAATAGCTACTAAACATAAACGGCTAAAAAGAACTACGGGTTGACTAGTATATAATTTGGTCATGACCTTGAACATTTGCACAAATTATATATAAGACAAGATTCTTTAGACCAGAATAGAATCTCCCACAAACATTTCTAAAGATGGTAAGCAGAGGTCAGCATAAAGCAAGAAAAGGATAACACAGTTGGGTAAAACAAGATTGGAAACCCAATGGCAATTGCATAGAAAAGAAATTAGCTCAATATGAACTAGAAACACCACACTTACCCCTGAGCTCTAGCCCAACGGGAAAGTTGGTAGAGCTGTACTGTCTCGTTTGAAACATGGCATGCCAGCAGTAGATGGTTTCGTGGCTGTACCATCCATGCAAACCTCATGAACAATGCAGAATAGATGCACATTGCTGCAAAATTGGAGTAGAAGGAAACAATTAGAAACTTGGTCAGGTAACAGATACCAAGAAAAATCCATACCTTCTTCAAATTATATTTTATTTTTAACCTGTTGTCATGTTGCCGGAAATCATTTCTGGGGGCTTCTTCATGTCCACCAATCCCTGACACATTCACCAATAATTTTCAGACATGAGTCATAAAGCACAAAGTTGAATACTTGAATCTTTCTCAGATCAAGTACAATTTTGTCCAAAGGGAGCTTAATGACTGAACATATAAAAAAACATATATTTGTACAATCTTAAATGGATAGTGGTTAAGCATACAGCAAGAACAAATCCCCAATTGGCAACGGGCCCCCAAAAGTGAGTTGTTTTTGGACCAACTGGACTGTTCAGGAATGCTCGGAAGGAAGAAGCCATATGGGATAAATGCTGCTGAAAGTAGCTCTGCAATGATTGAAGTAATAAGTTGGATAGGAATTATTACTTTATAAATTATCAAATTTCAAAAGATAAGTAAATTCAGCTGCAGAAACTGAAGGTTATATTGATCATTCGAAAGTACTGCCACACATATCACTGTTTCAAATTATCCTCAGCAAACAACAAAAATTACGCCTTACTTCCATCCCATCCCAGCCTAGCCTTTGGCGTCTGTCCACCCCATTCCACCTCTCAGACAACATTTATCCTTTTTGCAAGTCAAACTCTACAAGTCATTTAAGTTTTAAGCCTCTGCTTGGTTTAACGATGCTACACAAGCAAAAAGCTTGGCCTCAGGGTCTCACCCCTAACCTATTCAGTTGTTGTAACCATCCCCAAAACTAATAGCTATGCTTTTTCACCTTGAATGGTTATTGACATAATATCAGAGTCTCTTTGCCCAATGAGACTAGTTAGATATCAGAGTGCGTAAGTGGGAATTGCAAGGAAACAAAAACTCTCCTTGGGCAATTGTACAATCATGAACTAGTTAGATACTAATGAAAGTGCAAGAAAATTTTCATGATCAAATTAAGCAGCTGTAACTCAACAATCAACATAACACCAGGAAAATGCAGAGTAAACAATCAATCAGATTGACTCTCTCTTTCTCACTCCCTCACTCACTCACTCACAAAAACACACAATACTTGTTATAATTAGACCAAAAACCAGAGAGTTTAAAAACACAGAACATAAAACTGAAAGCAAACGCTTTTGATTGATAGAAATAGGGTCAAAATCCCAGTCATATGTAAATATATTAATTTCTTCTCATTCAATCAGAAATCAAAAGAGTCATAATTGTATATAAAACTGAAAGACAAGAAACCCTAACACCAAAAAAAGGCTTTATATTCGATAACTATATTTCCCAATTTTTTTTGAAACTAAAAAACCCTAACCCCACCCGCGTCAACATATAGGAACTCAGGAAAAAAAAAAACAAAAAAGAGAGCTAGTCATTGCAACTTGTCGGGAAGCGCCAAAGATTCGAACTTTAGATGAAAATCGATAAAATAAATGTGCAAATTAAAAGAATTGGATCGAAGAGCAAGTCACGGTTCAGCTAAGAATATCAGTGAATCCCGATCAGATGGCGACCACGATGATGATGATGATGACGTCGATGCTGTGTGTAGGTAAGAGCGAGTAGTATTAGTTAAGGCGAGTACCTTTGTAAAAATGTCGCTGGAGGGGTCAAAGACGACGGGCGATTCCAGGGCGGGTGCTGGCACGATAAAAGGGGTAGACGGAAATGTTTGGTGGGAGAGACAGTAGGCGTAGGTGGAATTCGATTTTGGATCCCCTGACTATCTGGCTCGCGACTTCTGTGCTGGAGCAGTGATCTCGTGAGATAGGGTTTAGCGGAGAATTTTATTAGAACTTGACACGTGGCTTATTTTAGTATTTTAAATATATAAAAGAAGGCTAAAAGGCCTGATTAAACTCTACGTGGACTTTGAGCCAAAGCAATTTATCAATTTAACTATCCTTATGTTTGGATGAACATTAGTTAAAAAAATAAAAGTAAAATAAAGTAAAAGCAAGAAGAATTAAAAAAAAAAGATATATGTAATATTTACTAAAAGAAAGGAAAGAAAAAAAAAGAAAAAAAAAAGATATATGTACTATTTATTTAGATAATTAAAATTAATAAAAAATAAAAAAATCTTAATAATTATTATTTGGTTAAATAATGAAAAAGGAAGGAAATGATTTATTATATTATTTTTTATTATAACTTTTGATAATCATTGTTTTTACTATAATATTTATATGTTTATATTAAAGTATTCTATGTTTTCAATTTTTTTTATTTCTTTGTAAAAATAATTATGAATAAAATTTATGGAATTCATAAAAATAAGAGAAAAAATTAGTGATAATAAATTTCTTGATATGATATTTTATATTTTCAATCTAATTTTGAAATTTAAAATCATATACTTTTAATTAAGAGAAATTAATAAAAATATAATAATTATTTTATATTTTAAAAATTTTATTCTTTTCCTTTTCCTTCCTTTTTTTTCTCAATTTGGAGCAATTAAAAAAATAAAGAAAGTTGAAGAAAATCAAAGGGAGTTAAGTATATCTTCTTTTTATTTATTTATTTATTTATTTATGTCAGGCAAAGAATTTCACATTCCTTTTTATTTCATCTCCATTCCTTTCTTTTTTTTTTTTTTACTTCAATCCAAGCATGCTGTAAAGGATTAAAACGTAAAATCTATCTATCTACTATTTACCTGTTATTACTTTAATTTAGTACTTAAAAATATAAAATTTTTATTTTTATTTCGTAAAATAATTTGATACTTAATTATTATTATTATTATCAGTTAAGTGATTAACATGACATAAATACTTAATAAAATTATGTTACATATCACAAATATTTAATTATTATCACATTAATTATTGTCATGTAAAAAAAAAAATTTTTAGATTAATTTTTTATAAAATAAAAAAATTTAGAAAAATAAAAAAGATTGTATGAAAAATAAATAACATGATGATAACTAAATATTTATGTTATGTGTCATAATTTTATTAGGTATTAATATCACATAAACAATTTAACTATCGATGTTAATTTAAAGTATCAAAATATTTAACAAAATAAAAATTTTATTTTTTCTAAATATCAAGTTTATAAAAAATATATAATACATGAACTATTTTTATATTTAACCCTTAACCAAAACAGGTGGACGTTTCTATTAAAAAGTGTATCCATGACCATTACTTTGGCCAAAAATTGGCAAATAGTTTGCACATTGGTTAGTCTCTCTGCAAAGGAAATGAATTTTTTTTTTAATAAAAATTTGCAATCTAAAAATTAAATATATATATTTAAGTATTAAAATTAGAATTTAAAATTATTAAATATTAATTTATAAAAATGATTATATGAACTAATTAAATTAAATTTTGATTTAAAATGAAAATTTTTTGTTCAATGATATTGATGGTAATTTAGCATTTACATTTTTAAGGCTAGTTAATTAGTCAGTGAACATACTCCTTCATACCAAAGGCAAGAAAGATGTAAAATAATTTAATGATATTCTTGATATATATATTTGCTTAATTTTAGTTCATTAATAAAGTCACTTACTCTTCGAAATAATAAAAGCTGGATATATAATTAATTAGAAAAGAGTTAGGTTTCAAAGAGATATTAAGGAGTAGATCATGCTGACATTTTTAGAATTATATATCAAAACCTTTTCAATTCAAACGCATTTGTTTATGTGATTCTGTTACATCGTAATAATAAGAGAAATAAACTTGTAGCTGCCCCCCTAATCAATGTAGCATTTAAAACTAGAAACTGAACTAAATTTTATCAGATAATCTTAGATCACACCAGTTAGATTTTTAAAAGTTACTGAGAAGATTTAAGTGTGTAATATCTCTGACAGTTGCTAACAAAACCGCTTATTTTGGGAACAATTGGTGAAGAAAATGACACTTCATCAACCAAAAGAACATAAACTGGGACTGTTTCATTACTTTAGTGAACAGTAAATGGTACTAAAATCAGGCTTATTTATTAGTTGGTTTAATCAGTTTTGATGGGGTCAGGGTCTTCTATAAAAAGAGAGTTTCATATCTTGTCTTCAGGAAGTAACTGAATCTTTTTCTATATCGATTAAAGTGTTAAAGAAACAGCTGAATAATGTTTCCTGTTTCATCAATTTCGATTACATTAGCTGGGAATAATTCTCATTGGATCTCTGTCTTTGTTTTGCTTGCTTGCTTGTCTGTGCAAGGCCAAAGTTTGTTCAATATCTTCATTGCTTTATTCCTTTGTTTTTGGAACTATTTTTATTTTTGGCTAATTGTTTTGTCTTTAACACTAAAATTTTCGATGCAGTAACTCAAAAATCCCAGAAATGGCTTGGTGCACCTTCGTCAAACTGTGAAGAAAATTTGAATGTAGAGAGATCCGATTTTCCAAGTGATTTTGTTTTCGGAGCATCGACTGCTGCTGCTCAGGTGAGCTGAACCTGATGCAAACCTTTGTATTTTCGGACCGATCTTTTTTTTTTTTTTCTTTATAATCAAATTCAGGGTGTTAATCATATATAGTTTGAAGGTTTGATTCTAGAAATACCATTTCCCTTGTATCAATAAGACAATAACATAAGTAATTAAACTGTGTGAAGATTGAAGGATCAAGTAAATCTGGAGGGAAAGGACCCAGTGTTTGGGACGAATACGTTCGGAAATTCCCAGGTTAGCATGCTGTAGTAACATGATTCTTTGTTGTCATAGTAGCACTTTACAGGATTCTCAGTTGAATTTGTTATGGTTTTGCTCATGCAGAGAAAATAATGAACAGAAGTAACTTGGAGGTAGCAATCGATTCTTATAACCGTTACAAGGTAATAACATGAACATCTCTCATCCTAGGCTTTCAAGTTACTACTAGTTAAAGTTCCATCATGTAGAAAAAATAAGAATCCGAAAGGGCTGGTAAATGTATTTGCAGGAAGATGGGCTGGTTTTGAGGGACCTTGGCGTGGATGCTTATAGATTTTCCATTCCCTGGACCAGGATTTTGCCTGGTAACTCTTCCTTTTTCTGTTCAAAAATAATAAAATATAAAAGAGAAAATAGTTACAACTTTTTTTTCCCCATACATGTAGATGGAACTTTGAGTGGTGGAATAAACCAGGAGGGTGTCAATCACTACAACAATCTCATTGACGAGTTGATTAAACATGGTGATTAATCGAAACATTACTGCAATTAAGTTTTGACGTTTTCTGCCTGGTTCGTTTTTGTCATTTGGCTAATTCCCTTTTATATTTGGTCAATTGAAGGCATCAAGCCCTTTGTGACACTAATGCACTTTGACTCACCTGAAGCCCTTGAAAACAAGTATGGAGGCTTCTTAAATCGCACTGTCGTGTAAGCTCCACTCTAACATATCTACTGTCTCTGACTCTTTGCAACTTGTAATAAGTGTAATTGATGATCACTAATCTGTCGTTAATCTACTATCTTTTCCAGGAAGGATTTCAAGAACTATGCTGAGATTTGTTTTAAAGCATTTGGAGATCGGGTTAAAAATTGGATTACAATCAATGAACCACTAATTATTGCTAAATTCGGGTATGCCATGGGAGTGGCTCCACCAGGCAGATGTTCAGATAGAAGAAACTGTCCCGCTGGTGATTCAGCCACTGAACCTTACGTTGCTGCCCATAATCTTCTTCTTGCTCACGCAACGGCTGCTAAGCTTTACAAAGAGAAGTACCAGGTATCTAAGCCAGAGTATGCCTTCTGTTGGGAGTATTTTAGGACCATAAGCTAATATTATAGGCTATCATGTTTATTTCATTATTGAATTCGGTTCACCAGGCAACACAAGGGGGACAAATTGGAATGAGCCTTGTTGGACAGTATTATGAGCCTTATTCAAACACATTGTTTGATAGAATTGCAGCAAAAAGAGCCATGGATTTCGAGTTGGGATGGTTAGTAAATCACTCTAACGAACAATTTCTCAGGGAATTTATCTTGAAAATCCAACTTATCAAAGGCAAAATTGAGAAGTGATTAATTTATCACTTTCCACTTGACGCCAATGATTGAAACTAATTACTGTAAAATATTGAATGCATCGTTCCTTGGTGGTGTGGTTTCCAGGTTTATGGAACCGCTGGTGCGAGGACAGTACCCACTAAGCATGAGAAGATTGGTGAAGGGTAGGCTACCCGTTTTCACTGAAAAAGAGAAAAAGCTGGTCAACGGATCTTTTGATTTCATTGGCATCAACTACTATACCTCAAGATATGTTAAGAACATTCCAATTAATCCAAAAGCTGCACCAGTCAGTTTCTTGGCAGATGAACATATCAATTCCACAGGTAATCTTAAATTCAACTTTATTAAAACAAACATCCGCTTTTATTCCTCTTGGTAATCCGAATTTTTACTGTCTTTCTGTGGCAGTGGTCAAAAATGGAGTTCCTATTGGTCCAAAAGCTGAAGGGAGCTGGTTCCTTTACATTTATCCCAAAGGGCTGTACAAAATTTTGAAGTTCATGAAGAAACACTACAATAAAAACCTCATAATCTACATTACAGAGAATGGTTTGGAAACTTGTCTCCTCCATGCTTCCTTTCTATTGAATTCTTTTATACTTTTCTTTTTTTTTACAAAGAATGTCGCAACTCGGGAATATAAAAAAGAAGTTGCAGGCGCTTAAATTTGAATTCCAGATAGATGTATGAATCATCCAAACTTTCCATTTTGTGATTGCTAATTACTCTTCATAATCATTTCATATAGGTGTTACAGAGAAAAAGAACGACAGCATTCCAATTCATCAGGTGCTAAACGATCAATTTCGAATTGAATTTGTTCAGAAACATTTGCAGCAAATCAGCAAGGCTGTCAAGTAAGTATTATACTATGTTTTTACATATATTCTTCATTCTTTTACATATATCCTTCACTTGCTTAGGAAATTGATTACTGTGCTTTCTGTTAATTTGCAGCAATGGAGTGAATGTGAAAGGATATTTCTATTGGAGTTTATTTGATGACTTCGAATGGACAGAAGGCTTTGGCGTCGGATTTGGACTTTACTACATAGACTACAACAACAACCTCAAGCGCATACCCAAGAAATCAGCCAAATGGTACCATGATTTTGTCAAAGGTGACAGAAAACAAGCATGCTGAAGATTAAGCTCTGCAATTTATGAGCAAATTTTGATGGACGGACAGGGTCTAAAATCTCATACAGGATTGTATCCATTATTAATATGATCTTTGCCTTATACTTCCTATACAATCTGAAGCTCCCTAGCCAATGGATTAAAAATTTTCTTAAAAACCGAAAAAAAAAAAAAACAAATAGTAGGATATATGATGTCGTTTCCAACTATCAATCCACGAACTGTTAGTTTAATGATATTGAAGTAGCTTTTAAAGTTGAAGGTCTTGAATTTGATTCCAAATATCCAATTTTAGTCCAAGAGATAAAAAAAAAAAAAAAAAATTCAACTCATTGAATTGATGAGCCTCATTTCCAATTCTATGTAAGATCCATCCATTTCAAATGTTCTTTGACAAGCCAGGTTCATTTATGGGGCAATTGGATTCTTTATTATCATCTCTAATGGAATTTAAAATAAATTTAATATTTAATTAGTAATTAAGTTAGACATAAATTCTTTCAAAAGTGATCATGTTTTATGTGTACCAGTAACTTTGTCTTATTGCATGCCAAAAAATTTGTTTTATATTTTATTTCTTTATTTTGTTATTATTAAATTGTTTAAAAAGCTTTTTTTTTATATATGATTTAAAATTACATTTTAAAAAATATAGTAATAACACATATTCATGTATTAATCATATATTAGTCTATATAAAAATGTGTATGTATAACTTTTGATTGACAAAAACACTGACCTTTGTTCATTTTATTTTTTTAAATTTTGATTTAAAATAAATTTTGTTATTATAATTTTTAATTATAATAATAAAATGTTAATAATATTATATAAGACTTTAAATTCTATTGAATCACTTTTATTAAAAAATAATTTATTTCACTCAGAAATTTTCATTCAATGTATATTTCTAAATTGTAGCCATATTAATCAAATTAAATATATATTTTTCTTTTAAATCACTTTTATCAAAATTTTTCCGTTCAAACAGATATTGTTTATAGTTTCTAATAAGAATCATACTCATTGCTGCCTCCTTAATCGATGTAAACTAAAGCTCCAAACCGTATAAACTTTGGACAATTACTAACAAAACTGCCTATTTTGAGGATAGAGATTGACACTTACTCAACTAAAAAGAACATATGACTGGGAATATTGTTTCATTCATGGTTGTCACATAGATATTTTTAGTGAATTATGAACAGTAAGTTAGATTTCTTGTTAGATAGTTTTGATGGGCATACTTATATTTAAAAGAGGCTCATCCCTTGCATTTTTACACATTCAGTGTCTTCAATCCATTAAATCTAAGACACTTTAGAATCTTGTCTTCAGAGAGTAGCTGTCGTTTTCTACATTAAAACTTTGTATGTTAAAGAAACTGTAGGGGTTACAAAAATTAAGAATGTTGCCAATTTCATCAACTGGGAATTCTCAGCAGAGTCTGATCTCGATCTCTGTCTTTGCTTTGCTTGCTTGCTTGTCTGTCCATGGCAAAAGTTTGTCCATCTGGTTTTTGTTTTTTAGTTGTTTTTTTTTTTTTTTTGGATTGTTTTGTCCCTGTAACACACTACGAAATTTTGATGCAGTAACTCAAGCATCCAAAAAAGGGGTTGGTGCACCTTTATCAAACTCTAAAGAAAATTTGAATGTCAAGAGATCCGATTTTCCTAGTAATTTTGTTTTTGGAGCATCGACTGCTGCTGCTCAGGTTAGCTAAATCTTATGCAACTGAATATCAAATCATATATGATGCAATACATACTATTAGTCTTTCGGATGTCTTTTTTTTTTCCTCTATAATTGAATTCTAGGTGTCAGATTCAGTCACCTATTAGTTTTAATGTTTCATTCAAGTAAATAGTAAGAACACAGCATTGGCTCAGTTAGTTTATGTAACCACGTGATATCCAGTAAATTTGGAGGTCAAATACCAGCACTCGCAACACTTTCTCTATCTTCAGGCTACCGCTATTTTGCATAAAAAAAAATAACATGAGAAATTTAATTAAGTGCAGATTGAAGGATCAGCTAAATCTGGAGGGAAAGGACCGAGCGTTTGGGACCCATATGTTCGGAAATTCCCTGGTTCGCATCATGATTCTTTGTTGCTATAGTAGCACTTTACTGGAATTGTGATAGCAGCTAACAAAAGGGATTCTCATTTGAATTATTGATGGTTTTCTTGCAGACAAAATAATGGACAAAAGTACCTTGGAGGTAGCAATCGACTCATACAAGCGCTACAAGGTAACACATCTCTCATTAGGCTTTCAAGCTACTACCATTAAGAGTTGCATGTAAAAGAAACAAGAATCCATATCTGGCCATTGCTTTATTACGGAAATGTAAATGTATATATATATTTGCAGGAAGATGCATTGGCTTTGAAGGACCTTGGCGTTGATGCTTATAGATTTTCCATTCCCTGCACCAGGATTTTGCCTGGTAACTTCTCGTTCTTCTGTACAAAAGTACTAAAATATTAGTTGGAATCTATTAAACTATGTTAATCACAACTTTTTTCTTCTATATATGTAGATGGAACTTTGAGTGGTGGAATAAATCAAGAGGGTATCAATCACTACAACAGTCTCATTGACGAGTTGATTAAACATGGTGAGTAATTGGAATATTACTGCAATTAAGTTTAGAAATTTTCTGTGTGTTATCTTAACTCTTTATTTCATCAACTTTTGGTTTTGCCGTTTGGCTAATTCATTTTTATGTTTCATTTACTGAAGGCATCAAGCCTTTTGTGACACTAATGCACTTTGATTCACCGGAAGCCCTTGAAAACAAGTATGGAGGCTTCTTAAACCGCACTGTCGTGTAAGCTCCACTCTAACATATCTACAGTCTCTGGCTCTTTGCAACTAGTAATAAGTGTAATTGATGATCACTGATCTGTCATTAATCTGCTTTCTTTTTCAGGAAGGATTTCAAGAACTATGCTGAAATTTGCTTTAAAACATTTGGAGATCGGGTTAAAAATTGGATTACAATCAATGAACCACTAATTATTGCTAAATTCGGGTATGCAATGAGAGTGGCTCCACCGGGCAGATGTTCAGATAGAAGAAACTGTCCCGCTGGTGATGCAACCACGGAACCTTACATTGCTGCACATTACCTTCTTCTTGCTCATGCAACGGCTGCTAAGCTTTACAAAGAAAAGTACCAGGTATCTAAGCCATAGAATGCCCTCTCTTGGTGTATTTTAGGACCATATGCTACTAGATTGTAGGCTATTATATATGTTTATTAATTGTTGAATTTGGTTCTCCAGGCAGCACAAGGGGGACAAATTGGAATGAGCGTCGTTGGACAGTATAGTGAGCCTTATTCGAACACATTGCTCGATAGAGATGCAGCAGAAAGATGCATGGATTTTGAGTTGGGATGGTTAGTAAAATCAGTGTCTGATGAATATTTTCTCAAAATTGATTTTAAAATCCAACTTACCAAATGCAAAATTGAGAAGTAAAAAACTAGAGTTGATTTATCAGTTTCCACTTGACACCCACATATATAAACCAGTGATCGAAATTATTTAAAAAATTGAATGCATTGTTGCCTTCTTGGGGTGGTTTCCAGGTTTATGGAACCACTGGTGCGAGGACAGTACCCACTAAGCATGAGAAGATTGGTCAAGGACAGGCTACCCGTTTTCACTGCAGCAGAGAAAAACCTGGTCAAAGGATCTTTTGATTTCATTGGCATCAACTACTATACCTCAAGATATGCAAAGCACATTCCAATTAATCCAAAAGCTGCACCAGTGAGCTACTTGGTAGATCAATATGTTAATTCCACAGGTAATCTTATAAATTCATCTTTATTGAAATAAACATCGGCTTTTATTCCTTAGAAGGAAGAGGGAAAGAATTTTTGAAGAATATAAAATGCAAGTAAAGATCTTATTGCTGTGTTGTTGTGGCAGTGGACAAAGATGGAGTTCTTATTGGTCCAAATGCTGGAGGGAGCCAGTTCATTTATTTTTACCCGAAAGGGCTGTACAAACTGTTAAAGTTTATGGTGAAACACTACAATAAAAACCTTACCATCTACATTACACAAAATGGTTTGGACTGCATGCTTCCTTTCTATTGAATTCTTAGACACTTTATAGTTAGTTCTTGCTGATGCATCTTCATAACCATTTCGTATAGGTTTTACGGAGAAAAATGATGATAGCATTCCAATTCCTGAGGCCCTAAAGGATCAAAATAGAATTGAATTTGTTCAGAAACATTTGCACCTAATCCACAGGGCAATCAAGTGAGGTTTTTTTACCGTGTTTTTCCATGTATTCATTCTTTTATATCCTTCACAGTAGCTTAGAAAACTGATTAATGTGCTTTATGTTGCCAATTGCATAGCAATGGCGTGAATGTCAAAAGGATATTTCTATTGGAGTTTATTTGATGACTTTGAATGGTCAGAAGGCTACACTGTCCGATATGGACTTTACTATGTTGATTTCAAGAACCTGAAGCGCATCCCCAAGGAATCTGCTAAATGGTACCATGATTTTGTCAAAAGTTACAGAAAATAAGCATGCTGAAGATTGAGTTTACTATGCTTATAGCAAATTTATACCATTCATCGAGAAAAAAAAGATTCCGCTTTCTGGTTGATAGCGTCCGTAAGCTCCTTTTATAGGCCTTCTAGTATTTAAGGAATGGATTAATAATTGAATATATGCAGGCTGGCAGGGGATATATAGTTGTGTAGTATGTAATTGTAGATTTAATTCTGCAATTTATGAGCACTTTTTGAAGTACAGTCTACAGTATTTTTTGCTTCTGTACTCGTATCCAATTTTATGTAAGCTGTCAACAATTCAACATATACCCAAGAGAAAGCATTCCAATCTAAAGTTTTTTGACAAACCAATCTGATCTCTTTCAAATGTACAAATATATATATATATATATATATATAATATATATATATATAGACTACTAAATTTCTTCGAAAAGTTTGATCAATACACAAATGGAATGGTGTTTATTATATTCAGGATTTTTTGATAAACTTTGGACAAGTTGTAAACAGTATCATGCACTAATAAAACAGAAAAGGTTGAATGGCTTAGCCAATCCTTGTTAGAATTCTAGTTGAAAGAAAAAACAGCAAATGCTTTTCAGATGATCTACTTATTGAATCTTTACATTGAATTGCTCAGAAAACACCTGTACCGTGTCGACACATGCATTCGGGCACTGGATATGCAATCACGTCTTTGTCTCTCCCTTTCTTCCTTAGCTGAGGCATCATAGAGTTATTGTGCATTGATCTTATTATGCTACTGAATTCTTTATCAGAAATGGAGGAGTCTTCAAATAAAGGAAGCATTGTTCTTTTGTTTGGCCTTATGCTTTTCCTATGGCCCGTATAGGCACGGTGTCCCTGTCAATATTAACATTAAAGTAATAAGATAGTTCGCCTTGTTTCATGCCTAAAGTGCCAGATTCACATGATGCAAACTATAGAGCATTCAGTTAATTACCTGTAAGGATCGGCCCATGTTTCCACCATGGGAAGGTATAAAGATGTCGCTGTTAAATGAGACTATGTAGTCAAGCGCAGATAGAGCAGAGGAGCTGTTTAGGAATGGCGAGAGTTCTCCCTCACGTGCCAAGGTCTCCTTCCTCACCAAATTTGGAAATTCTGCAGTAAGTGGCTGCAAAGCCTTGGAGCCACCAAATGGCTCTCCTCCAGCAATGTAAAATCGAGCACTTCTTGGTGCCCCTAAAGCCTTTAAAAATCTACAATAACATGTTTTAGCAGTCCATAAAACCTGACATTCTGAATGAGAAATTGGCCTTATAAAGTTCAGCTTTCATGTTTCTAGTTTACCTTGCCATCTCTAATGCATTTAGAGGGCACAGTCCAGAGAGCCTTCGTTGAGTGTAGCTCATTTTCACTCTTCCAGTGAGATACTGGGGTTGAGACTTCTGAATCTGGGTGATAATTTTGTCATATTCTGGACCTAAACCAGTGAGACATCCGGTTCTGACCCACACATCTTTCTCCAGCCGGAGATGAAGGGCAATATATGGACCTTCAACCCACATTCTCCTGGCAAGCTGATTCCCAAGCTGAAGAATTGGCCCAGCAAATCTTAGAGCATGGAAGGCTACCTGCAATATAGAAAGCAGAACAAAGGAAGGTTCATTTGATCGCATTATAATGACTGTATATCTAGATTGATGACTTCTGCAATCAGACTTCAATGGTGTTCATGAAGTACCTTACACCTAAGCTTCTGCAGATCAGCGGGAAGATTCTTGGAGAGCCTAGAGTCTAACCCTTTTAGAACGAGAACACCTTCTTGACTGAGCTGAATGACAAAAAATGTTTGAAAATGAGATAAAACTATTTGTTCCTGAACATTAAAAAACAGAAAGAATTTACAGTCAAGGATATAAGAACTTCTTTTGCATGAAATAGACACTAGCCCGGAATAGATATATGTCAAAATCTAGTGAATTTTGTTAAAAAAAAAAAATCACAACCAGCTGCTTCTTTTGAGAATTTCTCAAAGTCTATCCAAGTTGGCAAATAGAAAAAAATAGCAGCAATTACTGGAATGTTGCATTCATCTCAATGGCAATTCAATCATTTATTTAAGATTCATTTTCCTTACTTGCTTGAAGAATTTAGCACGGATCCAATGCGGAGACACATTGTAAGGAATTTGGGCAACAATGGTCTGTTTCACCATCAAATGTGTGGAGGGTAGTGAAGTTACAACTCGTACATCAGCTCGTAAAGTCTTCTTGAAGTGTTCCACATCATATATGTCAGGAAATTCACTGAAATTTTAATGAAACAGAAAGATTAATAGAAACTCCATTTATAACTCTTTCCATCAGACGATATTAGTTTGATCATTACCTTTCATCTTCCCAAATCTGGTTGACCTGCAAGATTGGCACAACTAAAGCAGCTTCAAGAATTCTAGCTATAACAACAGCATCAATTACCTGATTCCTCTGCTGATTCAATCCTCCTGTAGCCACCACAACCAAGAACTTATTTGTCTCCTTTGAAATCTTGGCAGACCTTCTCCGGTACCCTATACTGGAATCCAAGCAAGGTCGGTACCCTTTTCCATCTGGCTGCTTCCAGAACTCCTTTTCCTCCTCAGACAAGTTTCCAGAAACCACATGAACTGGTAATGGCACCATGGCACTGCTGCCAACCCTCGGTTCACTCTCATTGTAAGAGTTTAGACCAGAAAGTAAAGCTGCCAAGATAATCTGAGAGTATGAAGATGACAAAGAATGGTGTGGAGATGGGGATGTTGGAGAAACTATGGAACATTGGATTGAATCTTGGGAACTGGGAAAGAATCTGACAATGGAAATTCCCAAGAAAGTGAAAGAAACTAGGAAAGAAAGGACAAAGATAGAGAGGGATGCTGATGTCTTCTTGGTAGAAAAGATTGAAGTTAATGGTGAGACAGAGAACAACTGAGTCGATGATCTTGGAGTTATACTGATGAAAGGGTTCCTGATGACCCTTCCTGATCTTGCCATTGAAGCCTTCAATCACCAAAGTCTCCTCACTCCTGCAAATTAAAGGGTTTTTTGGCACTGAGTTCCTGATTTGGGTAAGTTTCTTTTTCAACTTTGGCAAAGAAATGCAGAAAATTTCATAACTGAGCTATCAGATATTCATGATTTTGGCAAATTTTCATGGAAAATATTGGTGAATAAAGATATCAAGCACCTAAAAACGAATGGTAGTTATTCAGTCGCACAATCGGTTAATCTTCCCGGCAAAAATCTTGAGTATGACACAATTCCGAAACTATCCTCAAGCCGCCGCCAACCCAAGATTCATCATTTTCAAAGTCACATCAACTTTTTGTTGGATTATGAATTACTACACGGTAATGAAAATTTAAAATGTTCGTACAAATAATACAAACAAAACATTACGGGAAAAAAATATAGCATTCAAATTCACCTTTTTTTTTTTTAATTTAAGTGAAGGAAAGCTATCATCAGGACATGTTGTAAGTCTCGACAAAAAGTTAAATTGAATTATCGAATTATACAAAAAAAAAATATTAACATACAAACTTAAATCTTACGAATAAAATATTCTATCAAATTCATTTAAAATTTTAATTTAAAATGACTTCAATACCCTATCATCCACATATGGTTTTATTATTTACAAGCTTACCAAAATTAAATTTGGATAAAAAAAAAAAGGATGGACAGAATGGTCAACCTTATTTGTTAGGAAGCTGTCACTAATATTATATATATCATAATTAAAAAAATTGGTCCCAGATTTTGACATCATCAAACCCTAAACGTGTTTAATTTAGGCTCAAATTTAATTATTTGAGAGAGAAAATGGTATGATTTGTTGTTGTTGTTATTATTGTTAATTTGGCCTTATCAGTAATAAATAGGAATGGAGTTTCCTTATTAATAATGGTTGAAAAGCTTGGGGATGAAGATATTATATGAAAAAGAACCATGCATAAGAGAAGCATTTAGCATAAGAATATTATAAGATGCTTATTTAGGAATTTTTTCACAGTTGGATCTATTAAATTTTTGTTAACATCTTATAAACTTTCAAAATTATCCATCACATTTTTATTACCAAAAAAAAAATTATGGTTTGAAAATAAAAAAATAAATTACAAATATTAAAATTAAAATTTTAAAAATTATTTTTTAAAAATAATTACATAATTAACGAAATAATTTCGGATTCATTATTTATCACATTTTTAAAAAAGTCAAATGTTAACATATAAAATAAAAATCACTTACTTTTAATTATGTAAACCATTTGTCAATTTCTTTTATTATAATCTCTATCAAAATCATATATATTAAAAAATAGAATGAATAAAAAGATTAAAAAAATTTTATCTATAGTTAATAAAAATGTTTTCCTTACACATAATATCATCTCGAAACAATAATAACAACAACAATAATAACAATAACAATAATAATAATAATAATTTATGTATTATTATTGATATAAAATATCAATAAAATTTTTAAGTTTTAGGAGTGAGAATAAAAAACTATCGGTTAAGATATATTTTAAAAAATAATAACAAAATTAATATAATATATAAATAATATAAATATTGACGGGGGCTATTTGGGCCACGGCCCAAAACATATATGGAATCCTAGGAATTTGTAAATTTGACGCTAGAAATCCGGAGGAAACAGAATCCCATTTATACAAATGGAAATGCTGAAAGAGCAAAACAACAAAACAAAGCCAAGCTAAGTTAAGATCGAAGAAGCTAAGGAAAGAAGGGGCATGGCAGAAACTGAAGTGAGCTGTGTTGTGTCTGATTTTATCAACTTCTTAAACGTTTCTCCTACTGCTTTCCACGCCGTCGGTAATCTTTTTTTCTTCTCCATTTTCTATCATCTCTCTTTGGTGGAAGTTAGCTGATTTAAGCCCATTGAAATCAAACTAATTTACTATTATAATGCATATATATTATTTTTTATTGGATTTTATTGAATTATTTTTGTTGGGTTTTTGTTTTAATCACAGATGAGGCAAAGAAACGGTTGCAAAAGGTTGGGTATGAGCAAGTATCAGAGAGAGAAGAGTGGAAATTAGAAGCTGGGAAAAGATACTTTTTCACCAGGAATCATTCGACCATTATTGCTTTTGCTATTGGTAAAAAGTAAGATTTTTTTTTTTCTTTAGAAACAAAAATAAAAACTTATTTGTTTACTTTTGTAGTTTTGTTTGATTGGCAAGAAAATGTAGGGTAAAAAAGGAAGTAAATTTGTGACAAAGTTAACACTTTTTGGCTACCGTGGACTTGAGAAGAACTCTGGTCTGACTAGGGGTGGTTGGGGGATTTTGTTGTTGTCAATTACTATATAAAAAGATTTAAAATTTATGTTTTTATTGTGATTAGATGATGTTTTAGTTGTTTATCCGCTAATATTTTGTATGCTTAGATATGTTGCTGGAAATGGATTCCATATAGTTGGTGCACATACTGACAGCCCCTGTCTAAAGTTGAAGCCTGTTTCCAAGGTGATTTCTTTCTTCTATCATTAAACTAAGATGTTAAGAGTGATAATTTATAATTGAAAAACAAATTGACTTCCTGGGATTGATCAGGTAAAAAAAGGCGGTTATCTGGAGGTTGGTGTGCAAACATATGGAGGTGGTTTGTGGCATACATGGTTTGATCGTGACTTGACAGTTGCAGGAAGGGTGATGATAAGAGAGGAGAAGGGTGGTTCTGTATCCTATGCACATCAGCTAGTTAGAATTGAGGATCCTATAATGCGTGTCCCTACCCTGGCTATTCACTTAGACAGGTGGGCTTCCTAGATGAATTCTCCAAGTACTTTATACTTGTAATTGGCATAGATAACTGTCTTGTTGGATTTAACTCACTTATCACATTGAGGACTTTGAATTCTCTTTCTTTCTCTGTTAGTGTTGTAGTTAGAAATTTACTATGTTTTTGTATGTCTTGTGAGTAGGGGTGTTAATGATGGATTCAAGGTGAATACACAGAATCATCTTTTACCTGTCCTGGCAACATCAATTAAGGTAATTCTGGATCAATGCATTTTTGCATGCTATCATTTCCAGATTGTAGTTATGTCATTTATCATTTCAGTTCCTACAAGGCTAAGTTCATTTACTATCTTGACCCTGTGTCAAGCACACCACAGCAGTTTAAAAACTTTATTCCAGTGAAATGGGTAAAGGCCTTTTTATGTCTAATGCGGTGATGTGATAATTGCTTCTCAGTTTTACGTTGCTTCATGACTAGAAAGTAGAAACTAAGAATTTAGATGTTCCTATGACTATATTGCAAGATTTAGTAATTCATTCATATTGTTACAGAAACCAGAATCACATCAGGAATGCCTTTGTTGAACAAAATTTTGATAACATCAATCATATAATTATGTTAAAGTCTAACAAGCTGGTTCTTCAGCTTGGACAATTCATAATTGTTTTTGCCAGTTATAGCTTAAGATGTTTAATTGTTGAAAAAGGAATAGCCTAATCTTGCTCAAGTGTTACTTATTTTAAAAATGAGTGAATAGGACATCAATTTTTCTGTATGTCTTCTTTTCCACAGGATTAATGTTTGCTTTTCTTTTCTCTTTCCAATCTGTTGAACTGCTTTTCACAGGCGGAGCTCAATAGAGAGGTTGCTGAAAATGGTCCAGCTGAAAAAATGACTAACAACTCAAGACATCATGCACTTCTGCTGCAGGTTTGATAATTTTTTAACCCTAGCGTTTCATTATGTGCAGCAAGCTACAGCGTTGCAACACTTTTTTTAAAAATAAATTCATTACTTTTCTTGTATCTAGATGATTGCAAATAAGCTCGGCTGTCAACCAGATCAAATATGTGATTTTGAATTGCAAGCATGTGATACTCAACCAAGTATAGTAGCAGGTGCTACAAAGGAATTTATCTTTTCTGGAAGGCTTGACAATCTTTGCATGTCGTTTTGCTCTCTGAAGGTATGAATCGTTTTTTGCTCGTCTTCCCAGGAAGCAAAATTATAGGTTTATAATTGAGTTTCTTGACTAGCAATATGTAGATGTGGTTTATGTGTTTTTCTTTCCAAACAGAGCAATATTTGGAATTTTGCAATTTTGAACCTAGTAATAGTATGTGCATCGTTGCTTCATCCCTTCATGATTTAGGAGGCACTAGTTACTTGGTAGATTAAGTATTAGTGACTGTATGACATTTAAAGCGAATGTTGAATAAATTGGGCTTGTTTGGCTAATACATTTATTTTATGCTTTAGTTTCCCTGGTCTAATCAGTTAATCATGGTGTTGCATTTCTACCTCTCCTCACCAGCTATAATAGATTTGTATTTCTTGTGGTAAATAAGACAATCTTATATATTTTGATGGTCTGCATCGTTTTCTCTTATTTTCATGCCATTGCATTTGTCTTGGCTGCATGTTTGGTTTTAAGCACCAGCGACCATTTAGTATATGTATGCCTTATTTGCAACATGAGGCTTGATGATTCACAAACATATTCTTAACCTTCTTATCACCTCTGCTGTTAAACTACTAGAATCATATTAATCCAATTCAATTCAACTGCCAAAGCAACTTTTCATAACTCAATACATTGGAATTTCCCTTCATTTTAGTGGCATATCCATGTTTTGCAACTGGAAGTTTCATTATATTGTATTCCATCCAATTAGGTATAAATTCCCATTACTGGCTGAGAGGGAAAGGTGGAATGCAAAAAATTTGTCATGTTAATGTGCAGTGGGTATTCTCATACATAACAATGTAATTTCATTCCAGGCTTTGATTGATACTACATCTGCTGAGAGCAACCTTGAAAAAGAGAGTGGTGTTAGAATGGTGGCATTGTTTGATCATGAGGAGGTTGGATCTGATTCAGCACAAGGAGCTGGATCTCCTGCAATGTTAGATGCTCTATCACGAATAACGAATTCCTTCACCTCAGATTCAAAGGTGTTTACTGCTCCATCTTATTTTCTGAATCCCCTTCGATTCAATTAGCTTGTCTGATTACTGTTATGTGAATATTTAAGTTAAATTTTAGTTGTGTCAACTGGACTCACTTGATTTCTGTATGGTTCACTCCGTTTTAAGTCTAAAAAATTTTCATTTACCCATAAATATGGCATCCAGATAACGTTCTCTTAAAATTATGGAAAATTGAAAATCAGAAGCACCTGCATTTCATGATACCTTTTGTTTTTCTTTTACCAATGAAGACCATGATAGTGTTTTGTAAAGATTTAACTTGTATTTTGTATGTCGCTTTCCAATTATTTGCTGTGATTTGGTTTCTGAAGAAATGCTTTCAGACACAATCAATCTGCTTGGAAATTTGCAAGTATATTATCTGAATACTGTTGTCATTAAGTTCTGTATTAACAAACTACTGAAAAGTGTCTACACTGGTGTTGCAATTCCCAGAAAAAAATTTTGAATTTCTTTTATCTCTTTATTCAAAGCTTTTGCCCAAATGGAGTTGCTGTGTTTTCTGAGCTCATCTTTTTAAGATAACATTCATCATTTGCCATACAAGATTTTCCCTGTTTGATGGCAGTTAACACTTATCTGAGCATATAGATTGGCATAACCACAGTCTGCTTGTCTACAAACTTTTAGTAATTGTGCTTTCAATTAAATCATCCTGTTGTTGATTTTTTGTTGCATTGTTTCTTTTCAGATGCTACCAAAAGCAATCCAGAGAAGCTTCCTTGTTTCTGCCGACATGGCACATGCCCTTCACCCAAATTATATGGTATGTTGTTGCATGTGAGTCATAACTTGCATTTGCAGATCATTTCTTTTGTTGCACCATGCTTATATGCTGATATCCACAGGAAAAACATGAAGAGAACCATCAGCCTAAGTTGCACGGGGGACTCGTTATTAAACACAATGCAAACCAACGTTATGCAACCAATGCGGTCACTTCTTTCATATTCAGGGAAATAGCAATGAAGCATAACCTTCCTATTCAGGTCGTTTCCATCCTTAACAAAACAGTTGCTGCGAATTCTTTGATGTTCAAATTCTAGTGAGAATGGAAACATAATTACATGTGTTTTGTAGCATTTGTAACGTCTTAAAGAGCCCTTGATCTTTTGGAATGGAATACGTAATAATCATCTTATTTCTTTAAATAAAACTGAGGATAATAAGAGGAGAGCTTTTGCTGAAAATAACAAATTAATTCAGTCCTCGAAATACCTTTCTAAGGAAACTGAATAAGCTTATTATCAGTACTGGGTATTGCAAACCTACTCTTCACTTGCATGTGGTTCTCAAGGGATATGTTGTCGCATCATGTCTATCTGAAGATGGTGCAGAAAAGAAATGCTTTTTTTTGTTATGACTACTGTTGGATAGATGAACTGATTATTTCAGAAAATTCTGTACATGTAGGATTTTGTGGTGCGGAATGATATGCCTTGTGGCTCCACCATTGGTCCTATCCTGGCAAGTGGTGTTGGGATCCGCACAGTAGATGTTGGTGCTCCGCAATTATCAATGCATAGCATACGAGAAATGTGTGCTGTTGATGATGTGAAGCATTCGTATGAGCATTTCAAAGCCTTCTTCCAAGAATTCTCTCATCTTGACACCAAAATTACAGTTGACATGTAGATCCTCTCATCTTTGGCGGGGTAGTGCAAAAACCAAAGTGCCTTTCAAATGGCTGCTATTTAGGTTCTTGCTCAAGATGCCCCATCCAACCATGAGTATGAATTGGCATAGTAAGTTTGTGGGCTAATTGGTATATTTTTCTGGATCTACAACTTGTATGGTGGCTTGGTAAAGGGTTCTGTGAGTGGCTTATGATTCAGCCTAACAATAAGCTTGGAGATGGATTGGATGTGTCTAACTCTGATGTTTTTCTGCCGCAATAACTATGTTGTCAGTCACTACAAAACTTTGGATGATATTGTTGTAAAACCTAGTATCAGGCTCAAATTGTACCATGATTTCAATTAAAAACTTGGTGAATGAGGAGTTTCCCATAAATTTTGCCTTTGGCAGCTCCTCCAGACACAAATCTAGCTGTTAAACCAATTTATTAGATTGTTAGTATCTAAAACTCATGAATTTGTCTAACCTCTTTAATAAGTCCAAGTAATTTTGTCCCACCCAACATCACATAACAATACCAAATAGGTAACTGCCACTACTCACTAGTTTGATTAGCAAGGGACATAGCAAAGCACCTTTGAGATTACAATAACCAAAAAAGATTTGTTGTCAATCTATAGTATCATTATTCAAGTATAAGCATCACCATCATCTTCAATTCTTGAACAGCATTTGAGCCAATAGCAATGAGCTCATAATGGATCAGAGTATCTGAATGTGCACCCAAAACATGAGCAAAAATCCAAGAAAATTCTTGACACAAAGAAATTTCTGTTTGTTAGTTAAGAGAACCAACATTCATGAGTAGAGCACCTTCTGAACCTCATCCCTAATGTGGTTTCATCATGAAAGTACCTTTTTAACCTCATCCGTAACCTCTTTAGGAGATTTCTCTGCATGAAGCTTTGCAAGTATTCCCTTCTTGGAATAATAATCAATCACCTAAATTTCAAACAACACCATTAAAAATGTTAATGACAATTGAGAAAGTATTTAATTAACATAATGGTGTTCATAAAAGATCAAAAAATTGTATTTGTGATTTTACAAAGAACCATGAAGATGTTCCTTTAGATCCAGCATAAGAACAACCAAATAATGTAGAGGAATATAGTAATCCCTTTCATAAGATTCAAGCCACATGATCTAACAGTTTGTTACGTAACCAGTTCATCTCCCTTTAAGTAAAATGCCTTGCACCTAATATTGTATCCCTCCAATTCCAAATAACTCGAAAAAATTGATGCTAGAAAGATTGTGGATCTTTCTATAAAGAAAGAATTAGGAAACAGAAAGCATACTGGTTCAGTTTGCTTGTGAAATGCCTGTAGCCTTGACTTGAGAACAGCTGCAGTATCATCTTTACGCTGAATCAAAGGTTCCCCAGTCACCTTGAAGAGAATATAAAGAAGGAAGCAAAGTTGTTAATATAACTGCAAGTAGTTCTTTTAAAAATTGGTGATGCAGCTTATATAGAGTTTTGGATTGACATATAAATAAAGCACCAAGAAATTTGCATTAAATTTAGGAATCTAGAGTGTCTTGTGATAAATTGCCTAATTTACCACTTGACTTCATCAACTGGAGAAAAAAATGTGAAAAGGCTGTCCCCAGATCCTTGACAACCAAATTAGAATTTATGTGACAAACATAAGCAAAATGAGGATTATTATGTTCGACTTACATCATCAACGCCAGGAACTTTAGGAGGTGCAAATTTTGTATGGTAGGTCCTACCACTACCAGGGTGGATCCAGCGAGCAGTAATCCTCTCCTCCAAGATCACATCATCAATTTCAAAATCAAGCACCTTATCAATTTTAACTCCCTGCTTGTCAAGCATTTCATCAAGCTGCAAATCAAAGCTCAAGAACACATAATTAGGTGTGGAATAAAAATTTTAAAAACTGAAGGTTTTGCAGGGAGGGAAGAGAAAGTGATAGCATAAAGATTCTTTAGAAGGCAACACCTTCTGTGCTTGGGCTACAGTCCTTGGAAATCCATCAAGAATGAAACCTTTTTGACATGAAGGTTTCTTGATGGCTTCATCAATAATGCCAACAACCAGGTCATCAGAAACAAGTTCTCCCTGATAAACAATCGCAAAACACTTCATCAGTCATCATCAACCTAGTAAGAACCATTAAAACAATCCAGACAGGTGGTGGAAATGAATTTGACTTTATCCATAGCCCCCTTGGCCTTGATACCAAGTGGAGTTTTAGCAGCAACAGCAGCTCTTAGCATATCACCAGTGGCCAAGTGACACAAGCAGTACTCATCCTTTATGATTGGTGATTGAGTACCTTTTCCTGATCCAGGTGGACCTGTCAATTATAAGATTTCTAATAATTAGAAACAGGCCATCCTTCTACCAAATGATAAACAATAGATAACACTGAAAGTAATGTACAGAATGCTAATAGAGTGCAGCACGTTTTTGAGATAGTGCTACAAATCATGCAATTTCCACATAAAACGGACAGTCAACAATGCTTGAGATTTGAATAGAAAATAAAAAATTAAAAAATACAAAACTTTAGTATCTTTAAGTCAAAGAATTAGTTTGCTTATAAATGATACCAAGCCGGGAAATGAAAAGGTAAAGTCCACAGCTTATGCAACCAAAATGTTTAAGGATTAAGAAATTATGCGGACATTGCTGCATGGAACTCTGTCACTCAAGACAGACTCATTTCCTATTAGTATTAGGTCCTGGACAAGGATCATTAATCATTAGTCTTCCAAAACCTATTACTTATTCTGCATGGCAAAAGGTGAATGCAGAAGGAATTTACAGATTCAAAATTGGCATGAAAATTCATTTCATTTTGCTGAAAAGAAAATATGGACTCCGCTTTGTGCAACAAGCATACAAAGGTCCAACACATAAAAATAAATCTATGGTCTTTACAAAGTAATAGGAGGGAAAAGGAAAACCCTAGCAACCCACTGTTCATTGATCTAGAGTTTGCTCAGGAAAAGACCCATTTTTTCTCTAAATGTAAATTTCTAAAAATCAAAATTTCCCAACACTCCACTTTTCAGAAACAAAAACCATTAGAAATCCCCCAAGCCAAAGCCCCCCCTTTGCCTTCACATACGTACTTATTCATTTAAATTGTATGAAAAGTGAAAAAAGTTTAAAACTTTCAGTTCAATTTGGGGCTTTGGGAACTCATAGTACATTTTCACGGTTCTGTCTAAACGAATTAAAGAAAATCCGACAGAAACCAGACTCAACAAACTATGGGATCTGAAAGTTCCATTTTTTAGTTCTCAACAAAACAAAATTCCAAAACTTTGCAGAGGAAAAATTAAAAAAAAATTCAACAAAAAGATTAGAAAAGAAAGATTGTACCAATGAAGATGAGGCGCTTCTCGGGTTTGGTTGCACACTTCATACGGCGGAGAAGCTCACTCATGAGTGATTCGGAGGGCACATCTTCCAAGTCCACTGAACTGCTCGCCATTTTCAATCTCTTTCTTGTTTTTGAAGGGTTTTGGGGTTTTAAACAGAAGTGGGAAACCAGAGAAACAGAGCATTTGAGATTTCAGATAGGCATTTTTAAGGTTCTTTACTTTTGGTTCGGTTCGGACTTCGGAGCCACCAATGCATCAAACTCAAGCACCAGTCTTTCTTTCCTGCTTTGTTTCAAAGTTACTGTTTTGCCCTTTCTCATTTACAGTCCCATTTTTTTTATTTTATTTTTCTAATTTTACTCTGCCCTAATTGGTTCTTTATTTAAAAAAATAAATTTTGTATTTTGTTTTTGAATGGTGGAATTTAGTTAACATATAAATTCTAAAATGTATAATGCAAGTACCAATAATTATTGGCTAAAGTGAGAAGAATTTTTTTTTATTTATCTGACTTTAAATCCATTAAAAATTTATTTAAAAAATTATTTTTTTATGAAACAGTTAAATTCACTGTAAATAAATTTGCATAAATCGCTCAAAAAATTAATAATAATGCAGGTGAGAAATATCAAAAAAGACAGCTAGAAAAACGTTTTTCATTTGTATTTTTCAATCCACTTTTCTCTTCACCAATGAAGTCAATTTCTGCCAAACAAAAACATGTAATAAAACATGTAATAAATGTTATTGCATGTAACATGTAAATACAAGAATCAACCAAAAGGAAGGTCAAATTTTAGATAAATAAGACAAGAATCACATGTTCAATGCTAGAAGGAAGTTCAGGCACCTAAATTCGTTCATACGACAGAAGTTAAGAAAGTTTACTTTTAAAAACAAAAGAAGAAAAAAGCATATAACCATTTCCACAAGCTTGCATTAGGACAAAATTTAGCAAATAGTGATAAATTCACTCTTGGGACTTTTTCTTTTTCTTTTTAGTTTCACCTGCAGCTCCTTCATCTTTGCTCTTCTTCTTCTTCTTCTTGTTGGCTGTCTCGTCCTGCTCAGTATCATCCCCATTTGCACCGTTTGTTTTCTCCTCTTCCTCATCTTGCTCTTGCTCCATCTTTCTTTTCTCCTTTTTCTTTTTCTTCTCTGATTTAACATCCTCTGAAGCATCTCCATTTGTGGCAGCAAGTGGGGCGTCTTCAGTTTTTGATTTCTTTTTCTTGCTTTTCTTTACAGAAGCTTCATCAGGTTGTGCTTCTTCCATTTCCACATCTGATTTGACATGGTAATAGATAAAAACTGTAAATGGAAATTATAATTACCAAAGCAGATAGAATAACAGCAATAAAATAATCCGTAAAAATATGACAGGCAGAAAATGCAGCATGCAGCATGCCACACTTCCATTAGAAGCTGATTAGCTCAACAGCATATCAAATTTTCAAAGGCCTCAGGTGCACGGTATTGAATTTCCATCTCTTACTTCTACCAAACATCCTCTTCAAATGAGACACCAAATATTTGAAATTGTATAAAAAGAAAGAGTCAAAGCTCCGTGTACCTTTGCTCTGGGTACTTTCAATTGCAGACTTCATGACATCAATGTTTTTCCGAGGTGCAACGCCCTTGTCATAGAATTCAAGTCGCTCTTCCACTTGTTCCCGCAGTTTCTCCCCAAAAACAGTGCTGCCCCTCTCTGCAAACAGTAAGAGAATTGATTGACTTATTGGGAAAACTTGCAGTCTATGAGGAAAGGACAGTAGCGATTACCTGCAAAACAATCTATGCGAGATGCAATGGAACACTTGTTTGCAAGATAGCGTGCCATTCGGCCCTTGTTTCTTGCAGATGCTCGGCCAATGAAAGATGAATGGAAAATTAGACCATACTTAGGTGTGTTTCCCCTTGTTTTCAGTGCCCTGAAGACAACAGGCAAAACGTGAAACCAACAACTTAAAACTAAGGATAAGAAAAATGTCAACAAAAAAAGAAGTTATACAATAATGCAATGGGATTAGCACTCAAGATTTTGAGCAGGACTAAAATCAAGGTTCTGCTCAAAGAAGGCATAAATTTTAGCAAGCAGTCCAGCTCCCCATACATTCCACAACTCCACCATATCATAAGAATATAAGATGAGAAGTAAAATACCTGAAGAGGGCCTTCTCTGCTCCAAGAATCTGAAGAGTGGAAGAGGGGCACTTCGCCAAATTTGTGAGACTACCAGCATGAGAGATTAATCGGGCCCCAACAACTTCCCCAATCAATGATGCCAAATTTGGTGCAATGTCATTCATCTTAGTCACTAGATAATCATAAAGATTTTTTCTGTACTCAGCAAGATCCATTACCCTCTGAGCAAATAACTGAACATTAATCAAATCAACCGGGGTCAAATCCTGTCCTGCAAAGGTGGAGAAAAAAAACAAGTGAATAGGGGTATAAGGTTGAATTGTAGTATAAGTCCAAGAGATCTACCCATTGATGCTTTGCCAGCTTCTACAATTTCTTTTGCTTTGTCCTCATCCCCGAGTATCTCAGTTAAGGCAGGGATGTGTTCTTCAGACAACTTTGACTTGTCCTCTATAAGCTTTGCAACTTTAGCATAGAGATAATTGTCATTGACAATCTTTACCAACTCAGGGAAATGCCACGAGTACCATTCCCTGCAAGGAAGTAATCAGTCAGAGAATAAAATCCATGCCAGTGAATAACAAGTGTACTAGTTATGGTCATGCATTAAACTTAAAAGATGCTAGTTTTGGGGGTAAAGTAATAACAAACCTTACTCTCATGGAAAAGGAATTGATATCCTTGTCAAGGGTATCAAGAAGGAAAATGGCTTGAATAACCATATTGTCAACTCGGTTGACATTGAACTTAACCTTTGCTCTGCTGTAACTGTGGGCCAAACCAAGCTGAGCCTTTTCCAAGTCCCCAGGCTACGAAGTTTAAAAGAGACAGGACAAGAGAAGAGAAGCAAATGAGAAAAACACACATGTGTAGCAGTGTTTTTTAAAGAGAAACTAAAGGTAAAACATAGAGAAATATGCAAACCTTTAGGTCCTTGATAAACTTATCAAAATGCAACCGCACACCACGAAGAAGCTCAAGAACAAATTCTCCACTTTGGCAAGGAATTTTAGTTGTCTCAAAGATGTGAGAACCAAGTTTAGGCTCTGCAACTCCCAGACTGAACTTGGACTTCTTGCCTTCCTTGACTTTAGGCAGATTCAGCTCTAAAAAACTCCTCAACTCATCAGTCATAAGCCCTGCCAATCAACCCAGACATAACCCAATAGTTAACTGTGCCTGAAAAGCAAGCAACCTCATGTTCAAATGAATATGCACAGGTAATAATTCAATCATTGTGTCTTTCTTTATATAGTAGTTTGAAGAGCTTGTTACAGATGAAACTTCAAGACGACCTAAAAGCATACAGCAGCCAAAGGTAGTTATAGAAATAAAAGGGCAAGAATGTGTACTCCTAGTTGAAGTGAATCCTATAGAGCATAGAACAGAAAACCAATAATCTACCACCAAAAACAAGGTAAAATCAGAGTGTTCAGTCCAACTATTCCAAAAGTACTAAATAAACCTGTATTGTTCTGCCAATTAACATGACTGGAGGAAAGTGTCAGAACCTTACACTATGTTTGGATTGAAGGGAGGGGAAGGAAAGAAAAGGAAAATAAAGGAAAGTAATGGAAACAGAAAAACCCTTCCTTTGTTTGTATAAACTTTTAATTTAAAGGAAAGGAAAGAGATGGAAACTCAATAACCTTTGGTTTCCCTTGTAATCCTCACTTTTTTAATACCCCAATTTGGGGGAAAAGCTAAGAAAAGGAAAGTTGAAAAAATTTTGTTTTTATGAATAAACTATTATATCCATCTTTTTATTAATACTAAAAACCTAGTAAAAAAAACCTAACCACATCACAATCTTCCTGTAATTTTTCAAAGCCATCTCTTTTTTCAAGTAAGTTTCACATGTCTCTTCCAATATAAAAATTTTTTATAATTTTTTGGTGATTTGATTTTGATGAATGATTGAATATGAATAGACATATTTTTTTGGTTCATGAGATGTAATGTTTTTATGTGATTGCATTTTTTATATTTAATAGCTTTTATATGAATACATCGCCAAAGTGATAGTGTGTTGAAATTTTGGCAATGGCCAAAAAATCCATCAATACATGTTTGTAAAACATCTTTTTATTTCACTTGATTAAAAACTACTGGTATAGCAGCAATTGTCTACTGGTATAGCAGCAATTGTGAGGTCATACAAGATAGCAAACATATCATAGTCTAGAATTGCTCTAAAATCACAAGCAATAAAAGGGTATAATTGAAAAAAATTATTATAATGAATCATTTCCTTTCTTTTTCACTCTTTATCCAAACAATAGTTGTTAGAATTCTTTTCCTTTCCTTTTCTTTATTAATTTTAATTGTCCAAACAAAGGTACATATATCCTTTCCTTTAAAAAACTTTTTTTTCCTATTTTTTCCTATGTTTTCCTTTCCTTTATTAATATTTATCCAAACATTACCTTATAGTTGTTGAGGATAGTCTCGACTGAAAGGTGTAAAACATCTTTGGTAGATCATTACAGCTTATTTATCATTGGAGGTTCCTCTTACAAGCCTTATGACCCGAGAGGCTTCACTTGACGAGCAAAAGTCTATGTCACATGGAAAAGTTTACTAAGGCTACGGCAGAAGGACACAATAGACAATGCCTTTTTACAGCCATGTCCATCAGGAATGGACATATATACAGAAAGGCACACTCACTTCAGCTCACTAAATTCAAAAATCAGCAAAAATCATCTAGCAACACCCATATATACAGAAATCACATATACAGAACGTGACAAAATCATTTATTCTAGCAACTCCCAATAACGCCACAAAATAAAGATAATAATTTCAAACTAAAACATCACAAACTCGTACCTGCTGAAGCCCACGCAGAAAAACATATTCCAGAAAAGCCAAATAACCAAAACAATATTACTAGGGACAAAGAAAAACAAACCCAAAAGCTAGAAAAACAAAATGATTCAGAAACGATTAAAACAAAACAAAGAAAAAGGCGAAACCTTTTAATACCTTCAGAAACGGAGTTACATTGGTTGAGACCATCAACAGCAGACTCATAAGGCTGAAAAGCAGTGAGTTGGACCACCTTACCAAACCGGTTCAGATCCACAACCGAGTTCCTGACAGCCTCTGAGTTCTGACCGATTTCATCGAGCCCCTGTGCCTGGAACAGGGCATATCCAGAAGCTGACTCGTACAATAAGTAAAGAGCCATTGAAGAAAGGCTCCAAAAACCCACCCACAAAAAAAAAAAAAAACGAAGTTTTGTTAGCTTCAAAACAATCAAGTTAACTGAAAAGGCTTGTTCGGTGGTTTAAGGGTTTCGGGGAAAGAGAAAGAGTGGTGTGAGTAACTAGGGTTTAACGCATTCGAGTTCAAGCCTTCATAATGGTGCCCTTCTACCAAAATGTTGAATTCGACCAAGTCTGGGGTTTATTTTGGGTTTTCCTTGTTTTGGGACTTTGATATGTTTGGGTTTTGATTTGGGTTTCTCTTTAAGTGCATTATCGTTGAGAGAAACAGGGAGGAGCCCAAACTGGCAAGGACAAAAGCCATTCTGCCCATTACAATCCTTTGTGTGGGCTCAGTACTTGTAACATATAGAAAGTGTGTGGAGCCCAAAAGATGATTGTGAAAAAAACTGTAGCCCATTTCCCTGCCCAGAAGGAGTGATAGACCCAGTGAAATTGTTGTTTTGAAGTACAAATTTGTGTTTTGATCCCAACAATCGGCTTTGTTCTTGCTATTTGATCCATGGCAAATATTGATACATGTAAAGTCGTCTTCTGGTTTTTTTGGTGATAGGTTTTGTGCTTATTAGCATATGATCAAGCACCAAAAAGCTGTAACTGATCTCAGATTTTTCTGCAGAGGATTTGAAGATATGTTCATAGTTGAGAGGTGTAAATGAGTGAGATTGCAGACTAGCTGTCCCCACTAAGAGAGATCTTTCTTTTGATAAATGATCTCTAATGGTGGCTTTATTTCAATTATTTTCTTAGGATGATAAGAGCTGAGGCAACTTGTAATGAAAACATATTTTATCCTGAATGAGTAATTATTGCCAATGGTGACGTAATTTATTGTTAAGGGTGTTCGACTCTTTATTTCATTGATTAAAATTTAATTTTTGATAATTTTAAATAAAAAAAATAAGTATTTCATAAAGATGTACCATATGATTCTGAAGAAAAAAAGAAGTCCATAGGTTAGTAGGCCCTTTCTTTGTACCAAAGGGGCACTTGAATGTGAAAATTCAATTTGTCATGGCCTCTCTCCCAACTGCAATTTGCATCTCATTACTCTCTTGTTACTTCGAATCCAATTCATTCTTCTTTTTCTTTTTGTTTTTTATCTCTCTGGTTGCTTAGATGCTGTCCTCATTCTTAACCCAACAATGATTCTTGCTAATCTAACATTGTAAGACACGGCAAGGCTTGGATTCAAGTCCAAACTATCCCTCAAAGTTCCCTCTGTTTAAAGAAAAAAACATGGGTCCTTGGGTCAAATAACCTGAATGCAAGGTTATAGAGTAAGGAGGGTAGGTTCATTATTAATGAGAAGTAAGATGGTGATTGGTGATAGCGTCAAGTCTGCAGTCCACTCATGACTCATTGCTGTTCCTTTCAAAGGTCTTCCAGCTTGGCCCTACCGTTTATGAATGTTGCCTGTGGGGCTTTCTCCTATCTCATTTTCAGCTTTCAATCATCTTTTCCAAAGCTGGAATCACTAAACATAAAACGACAGTGAATCTAAAACTATGAAAGTGAACAGTTTGACGCCCCAATTTTAAAATTCTTAATTCATGCAGGTAAACTTGAATTCCCCTAATTGAGTGGTAAATGAATCAGTAAAGGTTAAAGGGGAATGTCCTGCCATTATATTCTTTTCACGTACATTTCTCCAACAATATTCACCATTCAAATGCTCTCTTTATAGCCATGTCCTAACCTGACCATTGATTGAAAAAGAGCTCACGTTCAGCAATAAAAGACCTCACTTCCATTGACATTTTCCCTTGAGTCTGGTGAATTGACTCAAATTGGAAGTTAAGTCTTTCATTGTAAACATTTGAGTAAAGGTTGGTGTCTAATTTGTTTGTTTTACTTACTGGGTGAGGGATGAGTTGGAAGTACTTGAGGTAGCGCAATTGCCTTGGTCACATTCATCAGAGAAATGGAGATTGCAGACAAGAAAACAAATTGCCCTGGCTAAAACCCTTCTCTTGTTGTTTTAGGACCTGCTAAGTCAATAGAGTATTCGACAGACTTTGTATGGGCAAATGGATATTTGCCAGTTGTCCTGTTGGAGACAGCCTGTCCACCATTATTATAAGCTGCAATAACCAGTCCCAAGGAAATTCATTTGTAACTCCCAGCTGCTTGTGCCTTTCTTTTGGTAATAATAATTTCATTATAATTACACCACGATCCACTTCCAATGTGCTCTTGGTAAGTATTAAAAAAGACCAATCTGTTGTGTTTAAATTAATGTCTTATGGCAACCCATGATGTGAACCAAATGGCATGTTTGGTGGTCTGATTCGATAAGCCAAAATAATAGTAGTAGCAGATTAAGAATGAAAAACCTTGAAATAGTAATTGACAGTAAATTAAAAAGTAGTTTCTTAGCCAGGGATTTTTGAGTCACGGTTTTCAAAGATAATTTCAAGAATTACCTGTTTTATCAAAAAAGAGGAGGAATCTAACTGTTGAACTTCTAACTGCATTTTGCTTATTTTTCTAGCAAGTCCTGCTTCTAAGCTAAAGAATTTCTGCGTTCAGTTTCAAGAAATAGGCCTGTGCTTTACCAATAGATGTTTAGTTCCAGTGGCGAAAGAGAATGAGCTCTTCTTTTGATTGTCTAGATTGGATAATTTATCATGAATTCGATAGATTTCGGCGTAAATAAATATGATAATACCAACTCAAAATAAAGCATACCGGACAAAACCTAATAAACATTTACCGTTAGCTCTGAGCTTTTAACTCTAAATAGAATGAGAATCCCATTTCATTGCTGTTGGAAATAGCCTGAAATCTCCAAGAACACCATGTGGAAGTAGTAAATGCATTAACTCGTTACCCCACCACTAAAAATCCTTGCATTTACACTCCCATAAGTCAAGTTTTATTATTCCTTGCCATTATTAAGTGGTTGGTGTCCACTTGATAAAATAAATAAATAAATGAACAAAAAAAAAAAAAAAGGAGAAATCAGGAAAAAAATAACTAAAAAAAAGAGTAAAATACCTCCACTTGCAGAGAAGAACATTTAAACTTTACAAAGATCATTTTTTTTTTTTATAAAGTGAATACTTAACCAGTGGCCTGTTTTAATTCTCCTGCGTCGCCTTAGCTTTGCAGTTTCCTTGTTTCTGCTTAAATGTTGAGTTCATAATTTGCTGAAAAGTTCAGCATTGAAAAATCTCCAGCTTTTAAGGTTCTATAACTGCGAGGTTAAGTTTCTCAGAATCTCACTTCTTTGTTTCATTACCTTGTTCTTTTTTTTCCCCAAAATTGTAGTAACAAAAACGTTTATGTCACACTTGTGACAAGTCTGTGTCATTGGTTGTCGGTGCCTTCTGTTTCAAATCCTTTTTCAGTAATAAGCTTTTGCCTTGTTTGCATTGGCTTCATACCAGGTTCAACTGGCTTCTCCCATATCTGTCTTTTTGTATTCGGTTCTTCTGAAGTATATGTAAAAGGCAGAAAACTTTCCATGGAGAGTTGTAGCTTGTTCTTACTGTTGTGTCTTTCATGGAGTTTGTTTATCTTGGGTGACTTTCAATTACAGACCTCTCAAACACAAGTGCTTCTTCAGCTGAAGAAGCATTTGGAGTATCCAAAGCAACTGGAGATATGGTATGATCGTAAAACGGAGTTTTGTTCGTTACCTCCATCTGCACAAGTAAACATCTCATGCGAGTACAACTCTGTCACTGAGCTCAAAATAATGGGCGATAAGCCAGCCACTAAGGTTACAGATTTTGATGGTTTTGCAATACCAAACCGAACATTATCTGAGAGCTTCTTGATGGATTCGTTTGTTACAACTCTGTCAAGGCTATCAGGTTTGAAAGTTCTTAGTCTGGTCTCTTTGGGCATTTGGGGTTCTCTCCCAGATAAAATTCATCGGTTGTCTTCACTTGAATACTTGGATTTGAGTTCCAATTTTCTCTTTGGTTCAATTCCTCCTAAAATTTCAACATTGGTGAAGCTTCAAACTTTTGTATTGGATGATAATTTCTTTAATGGAACGGTTCCCAGTTGGTTAGATTCTTTTTCTAATCTGACAGTTCTAAGCATGAGGAATAACCGGCTGAAAGGTCCTTTTCCATCTTCAATAAAGGGCATTACTAATCTCATTAATCTTGCTTTGCCTGGCAATGAGATTTCAGGGAAATTGCCAGATCTTAGCAGCTTAAGGAATCTGAATGTGCTGGATTTGGGTGGAAACAAATTGGATTCTCATTTGCCGGCAATGCCTAAAGGATTGCTTATGGCTTTCTTGAGCAACAACTCCTTCTTGGGGGAAATTCCATCACAATATAGCCAGCTAAGTCAGCTTCAGCATATTGATGTGTCATTCAATATGCTAAGTGGCAAACCTCCAGCTGAACTTTTCTCATTGCCAAATATCAGTTACTTGAATTTGGCATCAAATGGATTAAGTGGATCCCTTTCAGACAATCTAAGCTGTGGCAGCAACCTTGAGTTTGTTGATATATCAAACAATAGGCTAACGGGAAGCTTGCCTTCTTGTTTGCACACTGAATCAGGCAATAGAGTTGTTAAGTTCAGTGGCAATTGTTTATCCATCAATGGACATCACCAGCATCCAGAGTCATATTGCAGAGAACCAGAAGTTCAAATGTACAGGAGCAACACTGGTGCAAAAGGCATTGGAGTATTAGTTGGTCTTATTGTTGGAATAGGTGTTGTCATTGTGCTTCTGGCTATTGGTTTTCTTATTGTGTGTAGGAGATACTGCCCCCGAAGGACATCGGAGCAACATTTGCTGCACAAATCAGTACAAGACAACTCGACAGCGGGGTTCTCGTCTGAGATCCTAACCAATGCAAGTAGGTTATTCACTAAACCAGGAAATAGCTTAATTTTTCTCTCCGAAATATTTTTCTATGAGAAAATTTGATGAATATTTCTTCAGGGTACATTTCTGAAGCTTCAAAGTTGGGGGCACAAGGTCTTCCAGCTTGTCGGTCGTTCACTTTGGAAGAGTTAAAGGAAGCTACAAACAACTTTGATAACTCTGCTTTTCTGGGTGAAGGTTCTTATGGAAAGGTAAAATCTACGACTTAAATTTCCACTAAAACAATTACCCTTGTTCAGTTAATCTTTACTCTTCATTCCTTTTCCCAGCTTTTCAAAGGAAGACTGGAGAGTGGAATCGAAGTTGCTATAAGGTGCCTGCCTACGTCAAAGAAATACTCAATTCGAAATCTCAAACTCAGGTTGGATATGCTGGCAAAGATTCGCCACCCGCATTTGGTTTGCATTATGGGGCACTGCATTGAAGTTAGACAAGATGACTGCAGCGTGAACAGGGTCTTCCTTGTATATGAATACATTTCTAATGGGAATTTTCGTTGTCATCTCTCTGGTAATCTTGGATTCCAGTTTTTTCTACTTTCGATTGCTAGATTATACCATATCCATAAACATGCGGATGCATTCTTTTTTGTAGATAACTCTCCTGGAGAGGTTCTTAGTTGGTCAGAACGATTAGCAGTTTTGATTGGTGTTTGCAAGGCTGTGCACTTCTTGCATACTGGAGTTATTCCTGCTTTCTTTCACAACAGATTGAAGACGAATAATATCTTGCTCAACGAGCATCGAATGGCAAAATTGGGTGACTACGGGCTGTCAATTATCTCAGAAGAAACAGGCAATTATGGGGTAAGAGTCCTTATTTTGCTAATCCAATGGTTAACTTTCCTCTAATCCTTTGTTTCAATTCATCTTGCAGGCAAAAGGAAAGGACCCTAAATCATGGTATGTGCTATTTTCATTTGATCTGCTTCAGTTCCAATTTTACTTTCAGTGTCAGTTCAGCATATCAGCAGTTTTAGGCAGAGATATTTACTACATGAACAATATTTTTCAGGCAAATGACAAGATTAGAGGATGATGTCTATAGCTTTGGTCTCATCTTGCTGGAGTCCATGGTTGGTCCTTCGGTGGCTGCTAAAAAAGAGGCGACTCTACGTGATGAATTGGTATGTGATGGAACTCTTTGTGTGCACAGAAATACCCATGCATGAATCATGAAAAAGCCTTGCATCTTCAATGTCTATTACCTATCTTTTACGTTGTCCACCGATATTTTAACAGGCATCCTTAAGCAACCAAGATGGGCGTGCAGGGATCATGAACCCAGCTGTTTCGGCTACTTGCTCACAACAATCTATAGCAATCGTGATTTCCATAACAAATAAGTGCATTTGTCCAGAATTATGGAGCCGCCCATCTTTTGAGGACATCCTTTGGAATTTGCAATATGCTGCACAAGTCCAGGCAAATGCAGATGGTGAACAAAGATTCAGTCCTGTATAGTCCTTTCCATATTGAGCAAGTTTGTTGTTAATTCTTTATTTTGTTCGCAATTGTAATAACACATGAATTTTATTTGGAACGTACGTGTTAAAACCAAGCAAGTAGTAGAAACCAAAAAGTTCAGGGAAAAACAATGGGGTGATAGAAACCAAAAAGAATAGTGCCAGAGACAGTGTGAGGTGAAAAATTAAAAGAAGTTTCTCCTCTGCTGAATTGGCCAAAACTATAAGAAAAGTGCATTCCAGAAATAGCTCATTCTAGGGCAACAAGAAAGCTGGGAAACATATACCATCTCGTATCTACACTTGCTATCAATTTTTCACTCATATGCTGAAATTGATATTTACAGTAAAGGTTGTAACTGATTCTTTACCGGCAATCAAAATTTTAGGGCAAAATCGATCCTCCGGTCCGTTTCTGTGAATGACTACCAGCAATCATATGCTGTAGATGCAATGCAGTCAAAAGTCCTCGCCAAGTTTCCATATGTGCACTTCCAACTTGAAAGTCAAGAAGCTTTTTCTGTTCCTTGTAATAATCTTCTAATGGTTTAATCTATCGAAGGCCATAAAGATTATACATCAAAAACTCATCCCTTTTGTTTGTCATACAAAATTCTCAATAACATTGATTTAACAGCCTAACAATATGAACTGTAAATGGAAAACTTTTTAGGAAATATATCAGGAAAGCTCATTGGAGACTTGAAAAGTGAAGAAAAATGAAGGTCACTTGTTAACAAAAGTGATTGATTGCTTCAACCACCATGGGTTTTAATAATTGATCTTTTTCCTATATATAACCAAAAATTGACTGATCTAGATATATGTCACATAAGAGGCTAAATCATTCAGCTTTCCCTCTTCTTACATAGGTTTATAGGGATTCAATAATGCAAAATTTTTTCAAAAGGAGATTAAGAGGTAGCGGGACAGGGTTATTATGGAAATGAAAGGTGCAGAAAAATCTTATCTAAAGCTTACACATGGAGTGACTGGCATGACCAACTCAACTGCTATTGCACAAACAAAAGAAATTGAAGTATGTGAAATGTGCAAATTTTTAGATCAGGTACTCATAAATAATTGCTCAAAGTCAAACCATTCAAGACGTTTGCTATCTCTAATCTTAGCTCTTCAAGTATGTTGATATCTTTGTCGAGAATGAGGAACACAACTTGAGTATTATTAAGATAACGACATGGATTCTAAATTATTATCACAAGGATAGATAGCAATTTAGATAAATGAACATGTAGGGTTGCCTAGTAGTAGATAAACTATTGGGTTTGCAACTATGCAAATAAAGGGAAAACATTTCAGGCAAACAAAGTGATGAATAAAGAATAATGCTGAATATTAATGACCAAGTTCACAGAAAAATCATAAAACCGTCACTTCAATGCAAAAGAGATATGAGAATCGCTGCCTACCTGTTTGATATAGTCTTGGAGTTTTTCTGACCATGAAGCTTCTGCAATAGCAATGAAGGGAATTAGGTCTGTCTATGCTGTAAGGGCATATCAAATGTAGCACTATGGAAGTCAATAAGGGAAAAGAACTCACCTCCTTGGGTATTCATCATTAAATCTTCTGTGCATTTGAAATTCACAACAAGATCAATCTCAGCAAGTTGGTCTAGAATCTCCTACAGTTACATATAAAACAATAAGCAGATTCATATCATATAATGCAACAACAAGAACTATATAATCTTCTTGGACAAGGGGTTAGACATCAAAGTCATTTTTTGATTAGTAAAAGACTTACAGCCTGAATCCGTGATCGAGGAATTCCATCCAGAATAAAACCAGTTTCACCTCTGCCATGCCCATCTTCCAACCTCTTTGACAACAGTCCGAAAATAGTATCCTCCTGGACAAGCTCACCGTGATTAACTGCATTTGCAATCTACAACAATCACAAAAGAGTGATTAATCAAGTAAAAATGATCAATCAAACAAAGGGTAGATAAAAAAAAGAGGAAATTGTAAATGATGTAGAACATTCATTTCTTTGATTCTTGTCTATATTAAAGCAGAAAAAAAAAAAAAACAATTTCAAGAAATAAAGAAATAAGGAAAAACAATGAAAAGAAGAGGTGAGAGAGAGACCTGTTTGTAAAGAGTAGAGTGAGGGCTGAGTTCTTGACGAACAAGGCTCGCCGTTGAAATATGGGGAACTTCTAGAAGTTTCGACAGCATTTCAGCGTACACGTGCTTCTTAGCGCGTGGGCTTCCAATGAACGCCCACTGCACTCCTCTTAAAGGAACGGAACCTTCGGTGTCAACCATTGGAGTCGACCCAACAAGATGATCGCCGCGAGTCTCCTGTGATGACCAGTAGCAGTAGCAATTGTCGGGGTCAAGTTGCGGCTGGGCAGCACCATGGAATCGGTTAAAGGTGAGCTTAAGAAGTCGAAATAGTGGCCGCACAGACGTTACGACCGCCGCGGCGCTGGTGTTTAGCCGGCTTACCGGCGTAGTGATCATTGCATGCGATGGCAGAGAGACGCAGAGCCAGAGGGTTTAATTCGACAACAAACAAAAAAAAAAAAAAGGGATTGTGATTTTTTCCCTTGCTATATTGGAACAGGCAGCCATTAGTTTTGTCTGCCACGTCACTTTCGGCCTTTGGGGCCCATGGGCTTGTTGATAATCTTTTGGCATTTGAAGCTTCAAGATTATATGATAAATGAAATTAAAAATTAGTCACTCGTTAAGCAGAAAATCTCAAGTGCATTGATAATAATTATAATTATAAACTTAAGCCTTGAAATTCATAGGTTAATACAAAAAGAAAAAAAATTTAGATGCCCTTCTCAAGCATTGCCCTGACCCTCATTGGAAGACCATACAGCCTAATAAACCCAGCAGCATCAGCCTGGTTATATATGTCCCCACTCTCAAAAGAGGAGATATCCTCCCTGTACAAGCTAAGGGGACTGGTACGACTTGTTACAGAAACTGATCCTTTGTATAGTTTCAGAGTGACAGAACCGGTGGTGGTTTCAGTAATCTTCTCCATAAATGCATCCATGGACTCACGAAGTGGGTCGAACCACCTTCCTGCATAAACTAGCTCAGCATACTTGAGAGCAAGTGAATCTTTAACTTGAATGGTTTCCCGATCAAGGGTTAAAGACTCCAGCTCACGAACAGCATTGAATAGGATGGTACCACCAGGAGTTTCATAGACTCCCCGGCTTTTCATACCAACAAGCCGGTTTTCAACCAAGTCGATTCGACCAATTCCATGTCTCCCACCAATCTCATTGAGTTCAGCAAGAAGAGAAGCTGGTGAAAGATTCTTACCATTAACTGAAACAGGGATGCCCGAAACAATTCCAATTTCCAAATATCTGCAGCGATTGTGTGCATAAAAAATTGTTAATTGGGATACGAAACACACGAAAATCATTAAGGGGCAACTAAGCATACTCAGGTTGATCAGGTGCATCTTCTGGGTCAACACTCATCATGTACATATCTTTCTTTGGCTCATTTGCTGGATCCTCCAAGATATCTCCCTTCAATTCCAAGATAGACTAATGTCAGATAGAGGCAAATATTATCATGTTAAGCAAAAAGGCTTATACAAAGATTGAAGTGCCTACATGAAAACAGACGGTAATACTCAGTTACTTACCTCATGGCTTAAGTGCCATAAGTTCCTGTCTCGACTGTATATTGATTTCTTGGTCACTGGAACCGGCACATTATGCTTCTTAGCGTACTCAATGGCATCTTCTCGCCCTGTGATATCCCATTCTCTCCAAGGAGCAACAACGTTTAATTCAGGATTTAAAGCAAAGAATGTGAGCTCAAAGCGAACCTGCAGGAATAAACACACTAGTGAATTTGTGTTTGAACTAAAGAAATACAAATAAAAGATTAATTATACAAAAGAAGTTGTGTTTGAGGAAATAGAAGGGTATAATAACTAAAGCTTGGTTGAGAGGCATGCCTGATCATTTCCTTTCCCTGTACATCCGTGAGAAACAGCATCTGCCCCAACCTCTCTGGCAACATCCACCATGGCCTGTCATAATAAGTGCATTACAACAAGAGGTAGGAAAAAACCAAAGAAAACGGAGCCAACATAAAAGAAGAATGCATTTAAAGTGTTGAGCACAAAGAAGCTTCTATTAAACAGCAACCCATGCATCATCCATGGTTATATCATAATAATGTAGTCAATGGAAGAAGGAATTGAAGTGGCTAACACTTATTCCATTCCCTCAAATAACAAACCTTAATCACATTTAAAAGTAAAAGAGGTAAAATAGGATGCAAAAGAAAGCAAATAAAGTAAAAAATTGCAAAAGTGAGGTAGCATCCGATTTAGGCTTCAATAAGAACCTTCATTAAGTTATGCTTTGATAGAATGTAAAACTAGAAAAATCTATAAATTCCAAAATAGTTAGTAAGTAGTAACCTTTGCAATAACAGGCCGGGCCATTGAGGTCCCTAACAAGTATTTTCGTTCATAAATCGCACCAGCTCGCAAGCAAGGAAATATGTAGTCTCTCACAAATTCCTCCTTTAAGTCCTTCACAACTAACTGGCATGCCCCGCTTGCTTTGGCCTTTTCTTCCAAACCATCCAATTCCTGTATGCCCTGCATAAGTTTGAAACGGGGTATAAGAGTGCACATAACAAAATGCTATAATAAACTTAAGCCACATCATACAAGAACATAAAATAAATTAAACTGTTTAGCAAACTTGTTACTATCACTTACTTGGCCAACATCAGCTGTGAAGCAAACAACCTCACAACCATAATTCTCCCTGCAAATGCAAAATACTTAAATCACATAAATGAATCATATAGTTATTATTAAAAACCAAAAAAAAAAAAAGCACGTCCAAAGGATCAAGGAAAACTAAAAGTAAAAATGTCAATTCTAGTTTAAACATCACCTGCATGAAACAAAGCTAACATTCAGAGATAGATGGTTCAAGAATTATAAAAGAAGTGCGCTAACTCTTTTTACCAAAAAGATAAAATGTATTAGTATATATATACCATAAAACAGTAGAACTACCTTAGCCATGGCACAATAACAGAAGTGTCTAAACCACCACTATAGGCTAAAACAACTTTGTTTAATTTGCCTTGCAGCCCTCCACTCTTTGTAGCTGTGGAAATTTCCATCTCTCTGTTGCTGGACAAAACAGCTTGAATACCTGCAAGTTTGCAATGAAAATGCAGATGTAACTGAAACAGTAAAACGTTAAAACTAAAATGCAATAGTGAAAAACACCTCAGAAGATGCTTATCAGAAATGTGTGATGAAGCAGCTATGCAAGATGAATTATCCAAAAAGAGCAGATAAAGAATTCTTTTAAAATTTTCTGCTTGCGATCTCAGTATACTTGTGGTAAAGTTAAATAAAGTAATAAACAATGATATAGACTTCAAGTTAGAATTAGTAAAACTATGGCAACGAAGTAAACAAGAGCCATAATAAGTGCCATAGCAAACTGTCACTGTTAATATGAATAAAATTTACCATAAAATTTTTAAAGCACTTGTTGCACTAAAGGTAATTGTTCAAATAAAAGAGTCAAGAAGAAGTCAATTCTTACCATGTGCAATAAATGTATTGTGTTATTTCAACACATGCCGCATTTTCGCTGAGGACCATATGGAATTCCACTAAGCATCCAATCCTTTCAGATACAACCACAACCACCAAAGGACTTTACTAGCTTGGCTAGCAGATATCTTCACAAAGGTTGTGTCCTGGAAATTGCTTTATATCTTTTATATGATATGACTTCGAATTTTATGGGACCCAATTGATCAATCAATCTCGGCAAAAGCCAATATCCTTCTACTTTTCCATTTTCTCCTTTCTCATTGAGTTTTAACTATGAAAAGTACTTCTTAACTTCAAGGTTTTCCTCCAAGAAAATCCCTTTCTTTTTCCATTTATTCAAACAAAACAAGCAGAAAAAACATACAAAATCCGAAAGCAGAAAAGAGTAATCTCTATATTACTGAAACTGTGGAATAACCTAGTAATGTTTGCCTCAGTAAGCATCCAATCCTTTCAGATACAACCACAACCACCAAAGGACTTTACTAGCTTGGCTAGCAGATATCTTCACAAAGGTTGTGTCCTGGAAATTGCTTTATATCTTTTATATGATATGACTTCGAATTTTATGGGACCCAATTGATCAATCAATCTCGGCAAAAGCCAATATCCTTCTACTTTTCCATTTTCTCCTTTCTCATTGAGTTTTAACTATGAAAAGTACTTCTTAACTTCAAGGTTTTCCTCCAAGAAAATCCCTTTCTTTTTCCAGTTATTCAAACAAAACAAGCAGAAAAAACATACAAAATCCGAAAGCAGAAAAGAGTAATCTCTATATTACCGAAACTGTGGAATAACCTAGTAATGTTTGCCTCACCTTGATTATTAGGTGCTAGAGTGACAGGCCCATTGTTGCTTACAATTGCATGGCCATAGAGTGAACTTGCCCTTCCACTTAACTGTCAACAAAATTTCAAAAACCCATGTTGGAATGTCAAAAATAGTTTTTAAAAGGGAAAATTTTATAACATCATTTCAGTACAAATACCTCTTGGAAAGAAGACAACTTTCTATGGCAAGACAAGTAATCAGGATACAACAATGTGTCTGCAAATGGAAGAATGAAATTAGCATTTCAGCCCAGAAAATCATTCAAAAAGTAAACAAATTGAGCCCCAAATCCTAACAGAGAAAGTAATCAATTTGGGGTTAAAATGAAGCGAGGATCAGAAACGTTTACTCCTCTTGGGGACGTAGCAAGCGAGATTAATCGACGAAGATGGCGATATGGCCTTAAGCTGAGCCCTTTTCTTCTTTTCCTGATTTCGATCGGAAGCAGACAAATATCCGGAGTAACACTAGGGTTTTAGATTTTAAGACCGGTGGCAATAGACGTGGCGTTTTCTTATTGGATACAATTTGTCAGATCTTCAGAGAAGCAGACCCTCCCCACCCGCCAAAGGCCCCTCACCTCCGCCAAAATCTCCTACGATATTCAATTTTAAATTCTGGGATCTTATCTCCTGCGGTTACTCTAAGGAATATTTAGCTTTCTCGCCATTGGATTGGGGGTCCAATATTTAACTAAACAAAAAATGGGCCGGGCTTTTAATTGGATCTAATCCTGCCCGTAAACACCTTCATAATGGACTTTAGAATTTAACAAAATAGCATGAATTGTTATATGTACATTTAACCACAAATAAAGTAATCACTATTAACCAAAAAGGCCTTGGATCAATTGATATGCATTGATCATTTCAATAACAAAGGTTTTGTGTGCGAGTTTAGTTATTAATCTTTTGTAGAATTTTACATTTCAAATAATTTTTTATTAAAATTATTTTAAATACATAATTTTTAATTATTAAATATAATATATATTATTTTTAAATATGATATATTTTATTTTAATACATTCATTACAAGTTCACAAACATACTTTTTATCTACTTCAAAATGCATTGACATCCTATGAATAGGACTAGGTTTAATGTAATACTAATTATTAGTTCTATGCATGCCCATTTGATGTGAGTTAAAAAATTAAAAAAAATTTGTTTTAATTAAGATAAATACTAAAATAATAAAAAAATTTATCTTGAAATGTAAATGAGCTAAATAAACAAAACAAGTAAATGGGTTTTTTCACAAAATTTTAAATGATTATTATAAATATAATATTGATTTATTAACAAACAACTTACCTATTGCACTATATTATAAAATCAATATTAACAAAAAATAAAATTAATTTTAACAAATTGAAAACTTGAAGTTAATACATCACTAATACATATCAATTAAAATAGTGATATATTAAATTATGACTTACGATTTACACAAATATTATATTTCAAGTCAACGAATGAAAATAATTTATTTAATTAAAATATTTATCAATTTTTTTTAAATATCGTAACTTGATAATAAAAAAGTTATAAACGTTGAGATTTGAATATCAAATTTTAATGTTATTTTTTAATAATAATCATATAAATAAATTAAACTCTAAATTCAAATATATAGACATTTAAAATATTTTTTTAATATCTCTTAAATGAAAATAAATATAAAAAGTACAAAATTAATTATCAAATAAATTTTATACGTGTCAATATATATAATGATGGTAAATTTTGACATCATCGTATTAAATTCATAGTAATTATCATTATAATTTAAATTTGTGTCATTTATTTTTTTCTTTTATTTCTGTTTTTGGCATTAATTACTTCTTTACATTTCTTTTCCTAATTAAAATATTTGTTGTTATTATTTCATTATTATGATTTTTAATATTATATTTATTATCATGATTTTATTGATTTTGAAAACTTATTTAAATAATATATTTATTTTTAAAAATATTTTCAATTATAATTAAAATTATAATATAATTTTTAAGTTTAAAAAAATTTTAATATAATATTTAAATCATAAATATGTTAATTATATACCCATCATTTATTATCTTATTATCGTTTAAAATTAACTATATTATAAATAAATATCACATTAAATATAATTTTATAATTAAAATATAATATTAAATATTTTATTATAATTTAAAAAGCATTAGTCACATTAACAATTCTTTTAACACTTACAAATTTCAAAATAATAATTAAAAAAAAAAAGCAGCGTTAAAAATTTTTATGGACTTCTATTAGATCAAAGAAAACAACAAAATTTATTATTTTTTTAAGAAATAAAATATAGAAAAACAAGAAAAAGGGTATCTTTGCTCCCTCCCTTCAAATCTGGCTTCAGCTTCAACCCTTTGCTCTCCTTCATCTCATCACATTCACACTCTTTTTAAGTTTTCTTCAACTACAGCTTAAACCCAGAAATTGGATTCCCGAGAATAGTTATGGGCGGTAAAATTGACACTCTTTTCGTTATTTCAAATCCATTGTTTTTTGCCCCTTTTTTTAATATATATTATGTATATTATCGAGCTTCAGGTAATCAAATTCTTTGTTGTTTTTAGCTGATGAAGTAAAACCAATGTTTGGGGAAATGTGCAGGTGATTCTTCTTCCAGTTTATGGTTGGCTCCCAACCCGAGTAAGAGATGGGGCGAGCTCTTCTTTCTTTGCTACACTCCATTTTGGCTCACTCTCTGCTTGGGAATCGTCGTCCCGTACAAACTTTACGAGGTTTACCATTGACTATTACACTATGGCAGTTGAGGTTTTTTTTTTTTTTTTTTTTATGACAAGGATGGTTGATTTTGTCCGAAATGTCTGTTTGGCTAATGAATCTGAGTGTTTTTCAAATGCCAAAGAGTTAAATCAGTTTGACCTTCATGATATAATCAGACGAAGTGATTGATTATGTTTGTTTTATATTCGTGAACAATTTGATGATTAGGAGATTATGGGTAAATGGAGCAATGCTAGTTGGCTAGTGTAATTGCTAAAAGAAGGGTTTGGTTTCACAAACTTGGATGATACAATGTTGCCTGACAATGGCATTTATGGATATTCGTACTGTTTGTTTATATTTGTTGTAAAGAAGTACAAGTTTTGTGTGTAAATGGCTGTTCTCAAGAATTGTAATTGATTTTCCCCCCTTTTAACTCCGTTAATGATTGAGTCTGCACAAATTTGTACTTGAGAAGTACACTTATGATTAAAAACTATAATTATGGTCATTGACAGAGCTTCACGGAATTGGAATATTTGCTCCTGGGTTTGGTTTCAGCAATACCTTCTTTCGTGATACCAATGCTAGTTGTTGGGAAGGTAAGCTCTTGATGCATGAAACCTCTAATCTTTTTTTTTTTTTTTTCTGACTTTTTAAAATTCTTCTTCATCTACTATCTGTATAATTATTTATTATTCGAACTGAAAATAATTAAGAAAAATATGCTGGTCCCTGATCAATGAGCTTCCTTTGATATTGTCTTGGTAAATCATATGCTAAACTGATGAACTATTTGCATTGTTTTACTTAAATGTGGTCAATATATCCATATAAAATTTAGTTGAAATAATTATGGGGTGTATATGATGTGATATAGCATCAAATGAATGGTGACATACTAAAGATTTGCCTCTTCCTTGGAAATCTTATAGTTTTATCCACCAGGTAATAGTTTTTTTTCCTTATAGAACATTAATCTGACATGAAGCGAGCTGTTGAGTACGTTATAGAATTATAAAGTAGTCCATGACACAGGGAGCTTGATTGCTTTGGTAACTGGCTTGCTTCAAACATGCATTGCTTGCCTCTGGGCTTAACCAGATTTCAGAATCCTCACTAGTGGGTTAAAGCTTGGCTCAGCAATTTTATAGGGATCTCATGGCTCCATTTCTTGCTGTTAGATGAGGGGTTTAACCCCTCAAATATAAAAAGAATTTCTCATTCTGTCTGAGAATTGATCTCTATTGCAAACCAGCTCATTAATGTTGACTCACCAATGCTGAAGTTGAATTATAAGAAGCTGTCTTAGACACTGCAACTCTTTAATTGCTTGAAGGCTAACTGGAAGGAGCTTGAGCAGCTTAGCTTTTTTTTTCTCCTCCTCTTCCTTCTAGCATGCTAAAAACATAATTATTTCCTTTTGTTGTGGAATTTTGCAGGCTGACAGAAGCTTACATTGGAAGGACCGATACTGGGTCAAGGCAAGTGTTCTAGCAGAGTATCATTTTACATATTATTTTTGTAAAACAGATTATTGATGCACAGAATTTATGTTCAACTTGTCCAGATTTTTGCTAACATGTGTGTTGTCATTAGTTGGTGATCTGTTCTGATTTTCATGGACTATCCAGACACTTTACTATTTGCACCATCTTTTGCATTTATTCCTTGCTACCTTGTATTTCACTTAATTTACTTCTTTCAATGGTCAATAGAATAGTTTGTGTGATGGTTTAGACTAAGTTGATGGTTACATGATTATATGTAGAATGCTTTCCTCATGCTTTTCAATTTCCATTTTAATTTTCATGCATATTCTTGGTTTCACTAACTTTTAACGATCTCAAGTATGGCATTATCAGTAGAATCTCCTGTCTTCTGCATGATACAGTTAATCTTTTTGTAGAGGCTTAGATTCTAAAATAGATTGGAATGTGGCTTTTTGTTTAATATTTATGTCTGTGTGAACTATAGTAATAGCACCAAGAAAGTCATTGTATTGATTGATTTCAAGAGTATATATTTTTAGTTTTACAAATACAATAAGAGCCTTATTAAAGTTAGATACTTGGATATGGAACCTGTAAGCAAAATAGAAAAGGTTCAAGGTGATCTTTTATTGTTACATGATCGTTCAATTGTCATGAGAAACTCCTTATGTATTTGTTATGAGTTCTGGAAATGAAGTCAAACTAACTGTTTAACATAATTGTTCTGGATTATACCGTAAGGTGTATGTTCTTGTCCTGTGACATTTGAACATGATTTACTTCTCCAATGTGCAGTTGTTCTTGGCCTTGACTATAATTTTGTTATTGTTGCAGGCCAGTCTCTGGATTGTAATATTTAGTTACGTTGGGAATTATTTTTGGACCCATTATTTCTTCACAGTTCTTGGAGCTTCTTACACTTTCCCATCTTGGAAAATGAATAATGTAAGCTGCAGATAATAATTATTTATTTCATGCTAAAAGCTAGTTTGGCTTTATCAATTTATTGATTTTGTGGTGCAAGTCTACTTTATTTATCTGTTTCTCTTTGCAGGTACCGCACACGACTTTCCTTCTCACACATGTTGTCTTCCTGTTTTACCATGTTGCATCAAACATGACACTTCGCAGATTAAGACATTCTATTGCTGGCTTGCCAGAGAAAATTCAGTTGGTTACTGAGGCGGCATGGATTTTGGCCCTTTCTTATTTCATAGCATACCTGGAGACTTTGGCTATTTCTAATGTATGTGGTAATGTGGTTTCCCGCATTCATCTATCAAGAATTTCAAGCTAACTATATGATAATGCAGTCAATATTACTGAGGCTTCGTTTTCTTTTAATTCTGGGGTGTTTATTTTGAAGTAAGCTATGATACTTTTCCTTTTGGACATTTGCAGTTCCCATATTATGATTTTGTGGATCGGGCATCCATGTATAAGGTGGGGTCTTTGTTTTATGCCATATACTTCATCGTCAGCTTCCCAATGTTTCTGAGGTAAGAATTTAATCCAACTTTTATATTTGTTTGACTAGAAGAAATTGTGGGATCATATTCGTAGCTCATAAATGCTTTCATTTAAGCAGTTCTTTTTTGATATCTTAGGGTCAGAACCACATACCACTGCATAGCAGTAAAGGCTTGTTCACTTCTGATTTTACTTTAAAAGTTATAATATTATGCCTTTAGCCCATGTCATAACTTCTCTGCTTGCTATTTACTGGTCTGCTGGTTCATATGGTAGTATTGAAGAATCATTTTTTTTTTATAACAGATTGAGGTGTATTATATGCTTTGAAGGTGACTTTTAGTTGTAAATCATGAAAAAGGCCAGTTATAGATGCACGTTTTCTTTTATATACAAATAATATAGTATTTGTTTTATTTGGGTAAATATATTCTAACCCCATATCGCAGGATTGAGGAGAAACCTGGTGATCTATGGGACTTACCTCGGGTGGCTGTGGATTCTCTGGGTGCTGCAATGTTGGTCACGATAATACTTGATCTGTGGCGCATCTTTCTTGGACCTATTATTTCACTAGCAGATACAAAACAGTGCATTCAGCCAGGACTGCCATGGTTTGGAGGAAGTGCAAATGTAGCTTCACAAAACCAATGTGTAAAATAGGAGAACCTGGTTTACATCCTCATCCGAGTAAGGTAAAATTGTTCCGGTCCTGGATTTTGCGGTTAATGTTGTAATTGTAGCTTTACCTTATAACTGAATTATTATTGTAATTCTCACTGGTGTTCTGCAAAAGTTCTCGAGTTGCGGTGACTGATTGATGCATATCTATCCTTCCTGCATATGTGAGATTGTTGATGTACTGATTCAGTGATTTGTTTATGTTGCCATTTACATTGACTTCGCCTAGTGTGAGAACCATCTTAGCTCATTGTAATGGAAGTTCTGCGGAACTTGGTGACTTAAAAATTCAATCTTGGCTTATTGTCTTATGGCCATGGATGCCTGGTGGGAGAAATTCTTGCCATGTCATGGTTGCGTTTTATGATTGGATCTATGCATGAAGCATATTTGAATGCATTAATTGATGCCTTTTGCTTTGTGTAAAATAGTTTTTTTCATTAGCTTTGAATAGGAGAAGGAAACAAAGTTGTCAGTAATTGGTGTAGACTCCAAGTATCGTCCAAAATATCAGATGATAAGAAAAAAATTAGATTTTTGTATTGAGGATATTTGTATTTAATTCGAGAAATATTTTTCATTTTGATTCGAAAATTTTATGATCATGTCTTATAAAATAATATCTCATTAAAATTTGATATTTTTATTAAGCTTAATACAAAATACATATAAAATCAATCGAATGATATTTAAGTTGGATGTTTTCAACAAAATCGATAAAAAATAAACATAAAATTACATTAAATATTAAAATTTTAAAAGTAATTTTTATCATGTAATATTTAATATATGTTAGATTGATAATTTCATTAATTATAATTTTATTTCATAAAAAATTATTTAATTAAAGTTTGGTTTTTTTATTAAACTTAATACAAATCAATCGTTGCATTTAAGCTTGATATTCTCATCAAAATTAATACAAAATGCATACAAAATATTGAAATTTTAATGGAAGTTCTTACCTCTTTTGCGACTTTGACTCGAAAGATATTATGATTTTATTCAAAAAAAAAAAAAAAAAAACCTCACAAATATTAATTTAAAATTCTATTTATATAACAGATCATTTAAATATCTCCACGTGAGATGGGTAGTCACAAATACCGTGCTGCAGAAATTAAAAAAAAATCTCTTTGCACGTGTGAAGAGAAACACGCGTGGGTGAAAATTTGTCTTGCTTTCAAAAATGATAAGCAGGATATTTCTCAACCTTACAAAAATCTGCCCAGTTTCATTCACTCACTCACTCAATTTCGCGCTCCCAAAAAGCTCAATCATCTTCTTTCCTCCCTCTTACTAAACCCTATATAGCCAAAATGCAAAATCTTTAGGGTTAACTTCCACTGTTTTCGAAACCTAAAGAAACAGATGCAGTTAGGGTTTTTGGGAGGTTTATCTTTCTCTTACTCCCTCTACTTCACTTCTTTCACGCCATTAAAAGCACCCACAAAAATGGCTGCTTCCACTGCTTTCTCGCTTTGTCCGTACAGCTTCTCTTGCCGGCCAAGCCCTAGAAACCGTTACATTTCTTGCTCCGTCGGCTCTCCTACTCCTATAGGTACCTTTTTCTTTTTCGTTCTTCTTGTTTTGCTTTTTTTAAGCTGAAGGGGATTTTAGACTGGGTTTTGTTGCAGCTTAAAATAAGGTGAAATGGGGGATTTTAGAGTTGATTGGGTAATTTCTTTTACTAGTATAGAAACAAGGGGTGGAGAAATAAGTTGAAAGTTTTAGCTCCATCTTGGGCTCTTCAATTGGATAAATGGCTTATGGAGATTGTTGTGTTGTCTCACGCTTTTCATGCTATCATCAAGTGATAATGATGCTTGTTTAACTTTGTTTTACTGTTTTTGTCTTGTTTAGGCACACAAAGAACTAACGTACCTCGTAAAAATTCGGGAAGAATGGATGGGGCTAGAAAGAGTATGGAAGACTCTGTCCAACGCAAGATGGAGCAGTTTTATGAAGGGACTGCTGGGCCGCCACTTCGGGTCCTTCCAATTGGTGGCTTAGGTGAAATCGGGATGAATTGCATGCTTGTTGGGCATTATGATCGCTATATTCTAATTGACGCTGGTGTGATGTTTCCAGAGTAAGTCTTGTGTATTTTGAATTCCTGGAAGATTTGGGCTAAATATTATATTGTTAAATGCTATTTATCCTTTTAGGAGAGAAAATTAGTTCTTGTGTTCTGAGTTCTGTTGTTTCTTGAAGAATTTTCCAAATATCAGATGACAGCCAATTTTGACTAGGTTTTCACATATATATCAAATGTGCTGATGCAGAGCAGATATGGCTACTTTAGTTTTTGTTCTTTTTTTAATATATTAACATATCACTGTATGGTGATGCCATTTCAGCTATGATGAGCTTGGAGTCCAAAAGATTATACCTGATACAACATTTATTAAGAAATGGAGCCACAAAATTGAAGCAGTTGTGATAACTCATGGCCATGAAGATCACATTGGTGCGTTGCCTTGGGTAAATACTTGTCTTTCAAGCCTGTTAAGTCTTTTTTGCTTAGATTTTCAGCACCTGTTAAATAGTTCTTAATAGGATATCAAGACTTGTTATTCCTTTCCTTTATAGTGATGTATGATATGCTGAAGAAGCCGATATTGGTGCCTCAAGCTGCCTATGCTCTAAGGTTACCATGTTTAACTGGTGTACCTTGGCTTTTTTTTATGCGGAAGGAGCTATTTCTAGAGCTATACCATTTGCTACTTTATGGTGTTGTCAAGGATAGCATAATATTTGTGCACAGTGTAATGGTGATCTTTATGATTGAGTGAATCTCTTGTTGCCTTCATTTTAATTCTTTCCATGCTTGGTAGAATGATTTGTCTTTGTAGAAATTTGGCATATTCATGCTTGGTTGTTACACAGTCGATAATGCTTTTAGGGTGGGTGGCAAAAGAAAAGGATGAAATGAGTGGACCATGGTTTTCTTTCTTTAGTTTCATCATTTCTTGCTACCATGAATTTGTGTTGGCCATTCCCTATGAAATGGTAAATGTAGGTGAATCTAAAGTAAATGAGTTTTTGATCAAGGAATGATACTGTAATATTAGACACTTACCTATCTTGGTTTCTGGACCTTCCTTCCCACAGGGCAGGTGTATATTGTTCTCAGCATTTTCTTCTAGTTCTTCATTCTTATTACATTACAAAGCATTGCAGTCTTCTGCACTGTACCCTGGTCATTAGTTTTACGTCAACTTTGTATATACTGGAAACTAATTAAGAATCACAAAACCTAGCTATGTCTACACTGGGTTAGAACCTTTCAAAATAATGTATTGGATTGATCAGGATTTTTAGGAAACTAAATACCAAATAAGCTGATTTTCTTGGTAATTGGTATGGTAATGTAATGTTTTTATACTTGATGATACTAAAGTCTAGCATAGTGTTTTTGTTGCATTTTCTTTTTCTTTAACAATATTTTAGTAGTTTTCTGTATATTTGAGCAGGTTATCCCAGCATTGGATCCCAATACTCCAATATATGCATCATCCTTTACAATAGAGGTACTTTTTATGGTCAGACAAATATATGCAATATTAATACACAAGGCTTATAATACGTGGCACATGCCATTTTTTGAAAACGTACTATGTCTCATTTCATTTGATATGACATTCCTAGAGGTATTGGCCGAAATTACTTATTTATGTATACTTATTAACATCATTAGAGACTATGAAAATTACTTCTTAACGTCTATGCCTTTTAATAATTATGAACATTTGTCTTTGCAGCTCTTGGAATTTGTTTTCTGTGTCAGAACAAGAATGGTCTTACTATTTTTGAGGGGGGTTTTACCCCTTAATTATATATATTCCTGAGTCTGCAAACATGAAAATTTTTTGTTGCATATTTATCATGTCTTACTAAAAATGGACTGATGACACTCTTGAACTTATGTCAACAGTTGATTAAAAAGCGTTTGAAGGAGAATGGGATTTTTGTTCCATCTAGGCTTAAGGTATTTAAAATCAGGAAGAGATTTATGGCTGGGCCATTTGAAATAGAGCCTCTCAGAGTGACCCATTCTATTCCTGACTGTTGTGGATTAGTTCTTCGCTGTGCTGATGGTACAATTCTTCACACTGGGGACTGGAAGGTGAGTTTTTTTTCTTATATGTTTTCTTTTCTTGTTACTGTAACTTTCAGGCCACTTAAGCTGTTAAAAAATGACAGATTGATGAATCACCATTGGATGGAAAAGTTTTTGATAGGCAGTTTTTAAAGGAACTCTCTAAAGAAGGAGTAACACTGGTAAGCTTCCTGAATCTATTCTTCTGATTTCTATGAGAGGTTTTATAGAGCAGATTACAATGGTTACTATTTGGCAGTGGAGGTCAGGGTGTGTGAAAGTTCAGAAAGGACTTAGAAGTGAACTATTAGTTCCATCTGCAATTTTCTGAAACTGAATCAGGCATAGAAATATAATTATTTCTATGATCTGATTCATGATTGTGGCATGTCTGCTCAGACTTTTATAATCAACTGAGCTGATTGTTTCGAAATTATAGGATATTGCTTGATTTTCGGTACGTTATGATTTGTTTGATTTCAATTTCAAAGAAAAAAATTTTACAGCTGACACCTTGTCTTTCTCATGTCTGTTTTTGTCTTCCCAGGCATTTTACTCATCTCTTTTGCATAAATTAAATCCACAAAAAATAAATGAGAGATATATGTTTTTAAGATTTGTCTTGATATTTTAATCTGCAATTCTTATTTAGATGCAAATTGAGGTTTTATTTCTTTTGAAATTTTTGCAACTAATGTGTAATTCAGTAAATGCATGTTGTTTACAGATGATGAGCGACTCTACTAATGTATTGTCACCTGGAAGGACAATTAGTGAACGTGCTGTAGCAGATGCATTGTTGAGGCATATTTCAGAAGCTAAAGGAAGGATTATCACTACACAGTTTGCATCAAACATACACCGGCTTGGAAGTGTAAAAGCTGCTGCAGATTTGACTGGTAGAAAGTTGGTATGTTTTGTCTGCTGCACTTGTATCTTGTCAATCTAGTTGTCAGAATGATATGGTTGTCAATTTTGACTGCAGATTATACATCTTGACAGCTTAGATATTGTGTTCCTTGAACTAGGTATTTGTTGGCATGTCATTGAGGACATATCTAGATGCTGCTTGGAAGGATGGAAAAGCACCAATTGATCCATCAACTCTGGTATTCACTCTTTGAAACTTTGCTTGTTTTTTTTACGTATTTGGTTGTCACTTTGTGGCAAGAGTTTCTTTTTAAGTTTGTTTTTTTATTTACATTAAGCTAGTCAGTTACAAAACTGAGCTTTGTCTACATGCTGCAGTTCTTATTTAGCTCATTCAACGTGAAGTAAGTCTTTAATCCCAATAACTTGATTGGCAATGGTTATCCTCCTTTGCTACTTAATGTGCTTTGGGACCATATCTTCCAACAAAACCTATCTCATAGGATTACTTTATGTCTCTTCAGCCATGTTTGTGTTAGCTCTTCTGTTACCCTTAAACACATTCAACTTGAAATGGATTTCTGCCTGCTGTTATGTGTTCATTTTTCATTCTCCCAATAAACTGTTATTTTACCCAGAAAAAAATGAAACCATCTTTACTGAAATGCTCTCCTATCATTCAAAACTGATTGTTGATCTCGAATCATCTGTTCTCTGCTCTTTCCATTATGGTTTAAGGTGAAAGTGGAAGATATTGATGCCTATGCTCCAAAGGATTTGATAATTGTCACAACTGGATCTCAAGTAAGTTAATCTCTATGACTCCAATGACCATTCTTTTAGCTGATCATTTAGATGGCTTGTGACTGTGCACACTATTATGTCAGGCAGAGCCACGTGCTGCCTTGAATCTTGCATCGTATGGAAGTAGTCATTCCTTCAAACTTAACAAGGAAGATGTGATTCTCTACTCAGCTAAGGTAATGATAGAGTATGATATACATTGGTTTCTAACTGAAATTTACCTTAAATTGTAGTTCTTTGAGCTCTTAATAACTGAATATTTGCTGATGAAAAATATCAGTACGGTAAACCTTTGTTGTTAACTATTCTGGTCTAACATAACCTGTCCTAAATCCTATTTTAAGGGACAGGTTTCGTACATTGATTATTATTTACTATAGGGTTTGTTTAATCTTGCCCAAAGTCATTCAATTGTTAAGATATTTTGTACTTGATAATCAGGTAATCCCTGGTAATGAATCTCGGGTAATGAAGATGCTAAACCGCATATCAGAGATTGGATCAACTATAGTGATGGGTAAGAATGAGGGGCTGCATACTTCTGGTCATGGCTATCGTGGAGAACTGGTAAGACGATTCTCAGTGTTGCTTTGCATGATTTTGTTTTAAAATTTTTCAGTCACTATCTACTTCCTTGAACAAACAGAATAGAAAAGAATAAGGAAACTGCATAATGGTTAAAACTTGGGATAACATATTTTACATTGTTGAGGCATCCATGTTGTATTCACTTGTGGGGTCTCTAGCTGCAAGATAACATGAGTTTCTAGTTCTTTTTATACAAAGAAATTTTTTATTACTTCAGTAACAGCTAAACAAAAGGAGTCACATTAAAAATTTATTTCTTGATTACAAAAAAAAAAAGAAAAAGAGAGAAAACCAGGAGGTGAATTGAATGTCCTATGAATGTAATTTGAGTTGACCTCATCAGATGTTTAGGTTTTGATAGTGATATTCTTTTTGTCCTGTTCTCCTGGATTGTATGTAACACTCTATCTCAATGGGGATTTAATTTTGAAGGAGGAAGTGCTTAAAATTGTAAAGCCACAACATTTTTTACCAATACATGGAGAGCTGTTGTTCCTGAAAGAGCATGAGCTACTTGGGAAATCGACTGGCATTCGTCACACCACTGTAAGTTGCTATTTTTGTTGTTATATTATTATCTAGTTAAGGAATTTATTTTTTGGATTCTCTAAAGTTAAGTTGATTTTTGTGAATGCAGTAGTTCCCAAGTAAATTGTCTTTACAAATGGATGAAATATAATTTTTTGCATTTTTTAGTCTTTAAGTTAGCTAGGATAATCTGGAAGTGAAATGACAGCAACTAGATAAGACTAGATAATTTTGGTAAGCCTTTTTTTTCTCTGTTTATAGAAATAGGGATAATTTAACAGAGAAAGTTTGTTAAAGTAAAAATATACCGAACAAGGTATAAGTAGATTGGAATTGAGTGGTTAAAAGATAAGTTGATTGGGAGATGTGAATATAAAGAAACATGTTGCAAGAAAGGGGAAAAATAAGATGGCCTTTTCCACTGTATAGACATCATGGAACCCCCATTTATTTAGGAACTCAAGGGGAGCACTTTGCTCATGACGTGTGAACTATCATAGTAATCATATTCATAGGGGTTAATCTATGATTCATCATAGGGATTGCTTCTAGATTATCTATCATGTTAATGTATGATGTACATTATAATTCAATTTTTTATTTGTGAAAATTATAATATAATTCATATCATTTTATCAGGTTATAAAGAATGGAGAGATGCTTGGGGTTTCTCATTTGAGGAATAGAAGAGTTCTGTCTAATGGTTTTAGTTCCCTTGGGAAGGAGAGTTTGCAGGTTGGTGCTATCCTTAAAGTATTTCCCATTATTCAGAAAAAAAGTTAATTGAGAAGGGTATTTATGAATTTAGTCTTAAATTGCAGCTGATGTACAGTGATGGTGATAAAGCATTTGGCACATCAGCCGAACTTTGCATTGATGAGAGACTAAGAATTGCATCTGATGGCATTATAGTGGTCAGGTAGATAAAATTTAGATGCTTAAATGAAACCTAATGTTTCTTATTTATTTCATGTGTGTTAACATCTTCCTTTTGCAGCATCGAAATTTTGCGCCCCCAAAAGATAGATGGCATAATTGAAAATAGCTTAAAAGGGAAGATAAGAATCACAACGCGCTGCTTATGGCTTGATAAGGGGAAACTTTTAGATGCACTCCATAAAGCTGCACATGCTGCACTGTCAAGCTGTCCTGTGAATAGTCCTCTAGCTCACATGGAAAGAACGGTTTCAGAGGTATTAAGGAAGATGGTAAGGAAGTACAGTGGTAAGAGGCCTGAAGTCATTGCCATTGCATTGGAGAACCCAGCAGGCATTCTATCTGATGAGATAAATGCAAAGCTATGTGGCAATTCGAATGTTGGTTTCGGGTTACCAACATTGAGAAAAGTGGTAGATGGGCATCCAAAAAGGAGACAACGGAACAAGATAAAATCAGAAGAAGATGACATTAATCTGCATTTGGAGAATGCCTCAGCACAAAATTTGATAGGTTGGTCGTTATCTTCTTGTTTGCAATTCCTTCCATTCTTTCTCACTTTTTCATGCAAGTGTCTATCTGCATACATGTCCATGCATGTAGGTAAATATGTGATCACAGATGTGTGTCTATATTGGAATTAATATTCTATTGAGGTGAAAGCTAGTTTATTTTGCGATGTAAAGCACTGAGTTCATTGATGCATTCTACTTTCTTCATCAGGATTTCTTCGTGCAGTTGGTAATAGTGAAGTTGAAAGGCTCTTACCCGAGGAAGACACCACTACTTCAAGTCCTGACCATGCAGAAAGGCTTGCACCCAATACTGAGGATTCTGATGAATTCTGGAAAGAATTCATCACATCATCATCACCTGTTGAGAATTTGGAAGAAGATAACAATGGCTTGGTACCAAAAGAGGAACATAAGCCAGAACTTAAGAGTGGTGGCACTGCAAGCGGTGGAGATGACTCTGAAATTCCCAGCTCTCAACCAAAGTCATCAAAGCCTACCAAGCGGAACAAATGGAAACCTGAGGAGGTTAAGAAGCTAATAAAAACCCGGGGAAAATTGCATAATAGATTTCAAGTTGTGAAGGGGAGAATGGCCCTCTGGGAAGAAGTATCTGCAAGCTTGTTGGCTGAAGGAATTAGTCGAAGCCCTGCACAGTGTAAATCTTTATGGGCATCTCTGGTTCAGAAATATGAGGTTCGTCCTTTCTCTTTATTTAGCATTTGGTATCACTTTTAAGATCACCGTGATGATCTAATTACCATGGTGATTTATTTATTTGATCACTAGTGATCTTAGATTATCATGTTTGGTGTAATTATATAAATTACTAGCAATCTTTAATCACTATGTTTGGTATTGCATAGAAAAAGAAGATCACCAAATATAAAACACCCAAAATAACTTTGTTATTAGTTATAAGATTATTATCTAAAAGAAAGTAACAATTTGAACTTTTATTGAATAAACGATTTATATAAAAAGAATTCATTGTTCTATAGAAAATTAATAGGTATGAACTAGTTCTAATGATTATTGACTTGTTCAATGTTATTGTATAAAATAAGAATTCAATGTTATTGACGTTCACATTTCAGGATCATATAAGTTGTCTTGTATAAATGATTAAAAAGTGGAGATTTGCTTATAAAACTAAAAATTTGGATAGAAATATGTTTTGACGGGCATCACTTTGAGGGTAAATTTGTCCTAAAATGATTTTGAAGATTATTTTTCCTCAGTGATAAAACTTTTTCACCCTTTATGATGGGATTCAAGATCATCCCACAAGGCAATGATTATCTAATCATTCTTGTTGATCTTAAGATCACTGTCATGTAGGATTCCTAAGTTACTACCTAAAACTGATCTAATCACGGTGATTAGGTTACCTTCAATTTTAAAGAGATCACATCATTCTAAATGTCACATTAGTGTTTTTCAGGGAACTATGGGTTATATATCTCTATATTTATTCTGGGTAGCATACTTTAGGATGGACGATGTTTCATGTGGCTTGAGGTTCATAAACATTCATTTTGAGCCCTCTAGCTTCTCCAGCACCCTTAGGTACTCAAATTATTTACGTCAGGTATGATTGAATGACCACATCAAAATGAAATTGGAGATTGCAGGTACTTGCTTGGATGCTTGAACTAAACGTAAAAATAATGAGTACATCTTTTTAGCTACTTAGCTAGCTTATACCCTGTATTAGTATTGAGGTCTTTTTGTTGATCAAGTATGTTCTAGATGAAGGCAAGAAATTTCAATTTGTTTCCTCCTTCACTTGTGTTGCTTTTTTTGAGGCATATGTTGGCATATGTTTGACAGGAAAGCAAGAGTGAGGAGAAAAGCCATAAAGTTTGGCCCTATTTTGAGGACATGAATCAAGTTTTATCTGATTTTGAGGCAACAGCCACAAAATGACTAGTTTGGAGGAGCTAAACATGAAATGTTCAAATATAGCGGATTCATAAGGCAAGACAAGTATTGTTCCATTGATTTCATCATGTGGAATTCGATGGTGCGGTGGGGGGAATGGAAAATAAGAAATGGGGCTAGTTTTGATACGGTAATGTGTGCAACTGTTCCCATAATCAGATACGGAATGGCAAAATAATTTTGTAGCAATAGACCTTCTGTAAATTGCAAGTTATATAGACCAGAAGGGCATGACAATGGTGGAATTTACAGCAAGGGGGTTGTTTTCTTTTCTCCTTTCCTATATTTCTTATTTCCCATTATACATTTGAAAACTTATTTTTTTACCATATTATGAGTAAAATTACAAAAGGCTTCATTCTTTTGCTCAGGTGTTCTACTTCTGCATTTTTTTTTCCCCTTTTCAATGGTAAGAGTAGGTTTTCACTTTCTCTAAATGTAAAAAGCTTACAGTTAACAGCAAAAACAATGCATTTGTCTTATGTGTAGGATTCAGGAATCCTTTGAACCTCAGCCTGCTTCCTTCCTATATCCTTTGATGATGCAATGTTACTTTAAACTTTCTCTTTTTGCCCGTTTCCTTTGGTCTTTCCTTGCCCTATAACACATCTCATTTATTGTTTAATAGAGTTTTAGGGTCTAGGGTTTGACAAAGTTTTAGGGCTGAGGGTTGGCTATTCATCAATAGGCTAGAATGAAATTTTCTGTAATAGAGATGATGCGTTAGAGCGTGTTTGGCATGTATAGCAACAAAATGTCAACAAGCTCATTGATTGTACCTTCTTTTTTGTTAGGAATAAATCCACACGACTTAGGCAGACCAAACGCCTAACTTTTTCGGTAAAAAATCCGCAATAATATTTAATGTTTAGTACAAAAAAATTATATTATAAATTCAGTACTTAATATTCAATATTTAATTTTATATTGTTAACAATAAATTATTTTGGTTATTACTACATATTAGATATGAACCTATTCACATCCCATAATTGTTTCCAAAATAATTCAAGGGATAGAGTTTCAATTTTTAATTTATAAGAATTAACTATTAAGTTAAAATTTAAGGATGACAAGAGTCATGTTTGAGAAATAAGAAATGATTATCAATCATGGTTACCCCTTGAGAGGATTTATGTAACATAATTATAAGCAACTGGAATTAATTATTTTAAAAAGTTAAAAGAAATTAAGATATATTTATATAATTATACCAAAATGTAAAAATCATCTAATAGATTTACCAAAAAAAAAAAAAAATTCCATTAGAGCTCCTTTCACCGGTTTAACCTAACCATCAAGGCAAGCATGAATCATTTGTTAACGATAAATAATCTAAATTAGTTTAATTGTTTGATACAATAATTATAAAAAAATTCCACTATTTGGTTTACATTAAAAATTATTTATTACATTTTATTTTGAAAAAATAAAAAATCCATTCTTTTAATAAAATTTTTAATTTTACGTATAATATTATCTCTTTCACAACGCAACGCATACTAATTACAATTAAATAAATTTTGATTTCAAAATTTTTTTTAATTAAAAAATTTTCAATTTAAAAAATTAAAGTGAGAGAAAATTATTCTGTTTAATATAAATTTATAAATCATTCATAAAAAAAAAAAGGAAAAAGGAGGAATAACAAAAATTAAATTTAAATCTTATAAATAAATTATTCGATCATTATCGATTAATTTCTATTGACTTGTAACAAAAGAAATTGATTTCATAATAAAGTCTGAACATTTTCTTATTTTATTAGTTTATTGATAGAGTCTCCGATAAAATGGGGAATCATTCTTGTTCATATAAAAATAAAGCCGCCATTAAAATTAAAGTATGACGGTTTGGCAAGTAAAACAAACAATTGGGCTAACATAAAGAATCTACACATTTTTCAACCGCCACTTGCCTCCAAACTCATTTGTCCTTTTCCTTCAACCGACCAAATACACGCAAATCTATTCCTCATATCTAAAAATTTACTATAATTAAATTTTTTTTAATTCTTTATTTCTTAGATCTTATAATTTTAAATATAATATGATTTAAAATTTTAATAAAATTATATATTAATTTAATCAAAATTTTAAATATATATTTTATATTTAATATATCAATTTGAACTATAATAAAATAATTTTTATATTTTATAAATTTTGATATAAAATTACTTAATAATCTAAAATATAATATAATAATATGATATAAAAATAATACAAATAAAAATATAAAAATAATATATTTTAAATTTTTAATAAAAATATAAATAAATTTAATAAAATTTAAAAAATATATTTTATATTTTCATATATATACAAATTATAAAATAATTTTATATAAAGTATAATATTAATACATAAAATATTAATATTTTACAATATAAATATATAAATTATTAAATCTATAAGAAACAAACTTGACATAAATGCCTGGAGTAACGGCCGTACTATTTATAATTTTTTTATTGGAAACAAAGAAAAGTTCGTTTTGACTGTTAAACTAATAGTTTTCAATGTACATTTGAACTTGTCCTTGAGGTCTATTTCGTCCTTGTTTCCTTTGGACATGTCTGCCATTTAACCAATAATTAATTCAACGAAGTTCCCCACTTTTATCGTCGTCTTCTACTTCATTATTCCTCGTTTTGAACACTTTTCTTTGAAGTTTCGAAAATTCACAGATCTTTTTTCTTAATATCTTAGATAAGTCGGTTAAAGACTGGCACACACGGCCTTGACGTCTGCGTTGAAACTTATCTTTATCTGTATATAAAATTGGCTTCGGCTGCCACCCATTCCTGCAAGTTTTAAATATCCTTGTTTGTAATTGTATGTATATAATATAACCAAATCTTTTCCATAAGAGTTAGAGTTTGAATCCAAAAGTTTCCTTTCAGCCAATCAGTGACAGACAGTTTTGTTTCTTGAGGTTACCTGATCGATTTGCAGTGTGAAATATGATGAGAAGCGAAGACTATGAACGAGTTTTCCGTTACTTCGACAAAGATGGAGATGGGAAAGTTTCAGCGTCAGAGTTGAGCCATAGATTAGGGCAGATGGGTGGGGAGCTGCTGTTGAATGAAGCAGAAGTTGTGGTGGAAGAATTGGACTCGAACGGGGATGGGTTGTTGGATTTGGAGGATTTCATAGGGTTAATGGAAGAAGGAGGGGAAGAAGAAAAGCTGAAGGATTTGAGAGAAGCTTTTGGGATGTATGATGTAGATGGATGTGGGTTCATTACACCTAAAGGACTCAAGAAAATGCTCAGCAAACTTGGGGAGTCAAAGTCCGTTGATGAATGCAAGATGATGATCAAGCAATTTGACCTCAATGGAGATGGCGTTCTCTGCTTTGAGGAGTTCAGAATAATGATGCAGTAATCCATGGCTATGTCTAGCTGTTTCTTTTTTTTTATTATTCATTATTCTTTGAGACTCAGCATTCTTTGCATTGTATTCTTGTAATTATTCATGATTGTTTACCAGTTAATTACTGAATTCATTCTTTCAGAAATTCATAATTAGCTTAAGGCTTTCAGCTCTTACAAATTAAATAGCAGTGATCATGGAAAATTTATATCCGGCCATTCGTATTTTTATATCTGTTTTTTTATATTAAATATGGATAAAATACAAAAATTACTGTATTTTGTATCAACATGCAAAGACAAAACATATATTTTGGTTTTTTTTAAATTTATATATAATTTTTATTAAAATTTTAAATCATATCTATTTCATAATTTTTTGTCCTATCTCTTCAAATTGCCATTGAAATGGAAATGGATATGCTGATTAATAATCCCCTGTCCAGCAGCTGCACATGCTTAATTAGTTTGACTGTTGATTAGGTTTTTTTTTTTTTTTTGGTTATGGGAAATAGCGGGAACAACGCGGGGAGAGAACTATGATGGAAATTCAATATAAGTAGGCAAACATAAAGTACAACAATATAGGAGTACGGACTAATAAAATCAATTCCTTTTTTTTTTTTTGGTATAAGGAACTCTATGCTATTGTTCTCTGTGAGTTTCCTCCGATTATGGCTTTCATGAATTTGGGATTTTAACCTCAAAAATTGTTTTCATGGAGCTGTTTAACCAACCCACTAATTTTTAAGCATCAAAGGGAATAATATGCCATTTCCTGTCGGTAAAAATTGTTACATTTGAGAGAGACGTTGCAATGAATGATGAATTCCGAGTTATAGCAGGAATGGGGAAGTTTGGTGACCGATGCTTTAGTCCAATGATTATTCATTGCCGATTGAATAATCATGTCATCTAAACTAATACTCCATGACCTTCTACGATCATAAGTTCTACTTCTAATCCACCCATGAGTCGCATCTTATCACTATCAGTTGCTAATAGCTATTTTAAGGCTACCAACTGAATTCTTAATATGGGGTTAGAGGCAGCTCAAGTAAATTTTCCGTTTGACATTTGAAGCAAATGCAAGAACCAATAGAAGATACTGTGATTTGCTAAAGATATTTGAATGATACCATCGTAATCTTTGTTGATAATTTTGGAAGGATAAAGTTTTCATACTAAAACAACGAAATTTTCAAGGGTGGATAAAAACATTTTCGTAGTAATACTAAATAATGATTCAAAAATCAAACAGAACAAGTGAATCAGACCTTGGGTCCAATCATGTGCTTGTTTGATTTTTTTTTCAACCATGCACAAGTGATGAAATTTTCACAACTCGCAGGATCGACAGGTTTATCAAAAAGAACTCTTTGAAAATTAAACAAATCTGTTAGCATTACTTATTGATGAATTCTGACAAACACGAAAAGAATCACTATAAATATATTCACAGCATCCTCTCTTTTTTATGGGATGTTCAATAACTTAAATACAAAAAAAAAAATTCTCTTTATGCTGGCGTTAAGGAGATGAGGAACAAAACAAAAGCAGTGCAACCAAACCAGAAGTTTGGTCAGGTTTCACTCCCCTAAAATACCAACCATCCCCAAGCTAGCCTGAGAAGTGAGAAACATGACTTAAAACCTATACTCTCATTTTACAGACAAAATAGCTTCCCAGTGAGCTCCCCCAACAAAATTACATGCATACAGGCTTTTAGAAGAAGAGCAGAGAAAAGAACCATTTGTACAAAGAAACCTTCACATGAAGTAGCTGAGAGCATTCTTTCTTCTTGAACCACCCTCACCATAGAGCTCATTCCACTGAAGCAGCTCAGTCATGTTTACAGACTCGGATGATACACTGGCACATACCTGTTAAAATTTGAAATGAAGTAGCTGAATTAGTTATAACTATTATCTTTCCTTTTTTTGAGGAAAAAAGAACTAGTATAACTTTTATGTTTCAATTACCCGGTCATGAGCATATATTAAGTCCTCCATGTTTAGGGGGCGTATATCAGCACTCCCACTCAAAGGTGGAGGAGGTTTACCCTCGGCTAGAGCAGCAGCTCGTTCCTGCCATCAATGTTGAAACTATTAAAAACAAAGTGACAATATGCACATAGTGATATGATCACTTAAATACCTTTTTTCTTTATGAAGTTAGATTCCCTAGAACTATCCTTTTTATTTTAGTTCTCATCTCTATGTCAGTAAATTAAAAAGAAAATAAAAATCCTAGGAGTCGACTTTTGCATAATGGTTGAAAGCCAAGTCACTTAAAGCTACATTGTAACCTTAGGAATTAGTTTCATTCAAAAACTTGGAAAGGCCACATCACGCACTGGTACTTTGATTAGGGAATATATGATACTAATCTATCCGACATAACATGGTCAATTCAACATTAAAAATCACAACTGCAATTCTAAGTACGAAGACCAGCTCATTCCTTCTAGCTATGGCCATTAATCCTAACTTCATGCAGTCATCATCATTACATAGACAAATATACAAATAGAGCCAAAATCCCTCTATATAATAAAAATCGTAAACACCTATCATTGACCACAATACCTACCTTTTTCTCCTTTTCCAGAATCTCTTTAATTGGACGGTGCGCAGCAGTCACACATAGATTCTGCAATGTACGAGTAAACAAGCAGTCATCTAAAAAAGTTCAAGAGGAAATTCATTAGAAGTTAGCCAAAGTGTAGTCAATGTAACCTTAAGATCGCTCCCAGAATATCCATCTGTCATGCTAGCAACAGCATCAAAATCAACATCAGGAGACAAGTCCTCCTTTGCCAGAATAACCTTCAGTATCTTTGCTCTATTTGCAGCATCTGGCAAATTTACCATCAATCTGCCAAATTACTAAACCATTAGTAGATGGTCCCAAACTACCAGTAAGTTAAAATGGAGTAAGCTGGTGATGTATGCACATATATAGCTTATGTGCTAGAGTTAGACTGCAGTCTAAAGGATCTGTTTGGGTTATCGATGAAATATTGCAATAGTAATCTTTGAGAAAAAGAAGCGAAAGAAAGGGGGAGTAAAAGAAAAGGCCTTTTCATTCTGCATTTTTCTACTAAAAATGTATGATCACATCTGGAGGAAATGCTGTGGCATCAAAGTAGTCAGTGCTGTTCCCACAGTTTGTGTTAGCGGAAAAATAAAAAAAGGAAAGAAAGGAAATGGGCATTATTTGCATTTTTCTGTTTCTTTTTTCCTCCAAAAGGAATCAAAGTGATACGTTACCTACGTGGCAGCCTTCTAATGACAGCTTCATCAAGGTCAAAAGGCCTATTTGTGGCAGCAAGTACAAGAACCCTTTCTGTGTCTTTAGTACGAAGACCATCCCAGTTCACCATAAATTCATTTTTCATCTTACGCATGGCTTCATGCTCCCCTGGATTTTCCCTCCGGCCCAACATGCTATCAACCTATAAGTCACAGCAAAGATGAAAGGAAAAGTACAATGAATTGGTGTAAACCCAAAATGAAAATACTAATTGAGGATCAAGAATAACCAACCTCATCAACAAATACAACGCTAGGAGCAATTTTACTGGCTAGGGAAAAAACAGCTTTCACATATTTCTCACCCTCACCAAACCACTGCAGCAAAATAGATACATAAATTTCAAATAAGATACAATACAGAGCAAAACCAAATCAGTTAAAAGGAAGAATAGAACTGACCTTTGATGTGATGCTTGACATGGATATATTGATGAAGTTTGCACCAGCTTCAGTAGCCACAGCCTTTGCCAGCATAGTCTTCCCAGTTCCAGGAGGTCCAAATAAGAGTATGCCCTTGCAAGGCTGTTCATGTATAGGTAGAGAATAGAACAAATCAATAGACGAGCACCAAAAAGAGGCAACTTAATCAAATAAAGGTTAATGAAATATCAGGGGGGAAAAGAGGAGGGAAAAGAGCATTACAACTGATAGAAACAAAAACATATTGCAAATCAACATAAACGACTAGCAAAATTTTAAGTGAAACAGCTCGTTGCTGTATATTAGATAACCTTGGTTAGTTGGCCTTTGCAAAAGAGTTCAGGCCTCTGTAAAGGAAGCATAACCAACTCCTTTAATGTATCCTTCACATTTTCAAGAGCTCCGATATCATCAAAGGTAACTCCAATATCACTGGGTGGAATGACATCAGCTAAGAGTCTTTTCTCAAATTCATTTTCCGTTACGACATCCTGAGATCAGCAAAACCACCAGAATGAAGATTAATCGGCAGATACTCGTAAAAAATACAATAGTTTTGAGATCAGAATAAACAAATCGATATAGTGCATTTCAGTTTACAGGAAAGCACAATAACGACCTTAAACGACTTCAAGCATTTAGATTCATTCTGTACAGCCTGTAAGATTCCAATGCCATATTGGATGCTGCCAAAATAGCAATTGCGTTATAAATTGTGTGTTTATCATCTGACAATTAACTGTGCAGCTAAAAATATTGTAGCAGAAATGAGAAGATTATCTATCAGAAACCTTTCACAAGACAAAACAAGCCTTGAATCAGCATCAGCTTCAGGATTCTGCATTAAATGGTTACTTAGAGCCCATCCAACTACCTTCTCAGCACCTGCAATGGATGCCAAAATATAAATTATGGGGAAAATTTATCGGCAATTATTGAGATGATGATATGTCAAAAGAAAACTTACTTTCATTTGCAAGTGTTTGATCCTTGATGCACAAAGTTTCAAGACCTTCACATTCCATCCCACTCCGACCCAAAACCTACATACAAAAATGAAAAATATAACAATAGTAATCATTATCAAAATGCCACATCTATAACCATAGCACATCAAGAGAGTTGTCAAACATTCAATAAGCTCAAATTTAAATCATTTTAACATGAAGTCGAATACTAATTGAAACCTCGTCCAGGTAATAAACAAGGTAATCACAAGCTCTAATTTGCCAGGGGGCTCATTGCTAAGGGCCAGAGGAGGTCAGGAGGCAGGAAGAGAGAAATTATAAAGCCAAATTACCTAGATGGAAACAACTCCCAACAGGTGAAAACATTAGGCTAAAGGGGTCAAAAATGCCCTTGAACTATAATTCAATAATCATTT